CATAGAAACAGGCATTTAAAAATGGGAAAAACGATATAAACTCGGATATAAAAGTACCGGGTGTCCCACTAAGAATAGCTCTCGGCTGTATCTCGGAAAGTCTTAGCCGTAGGGCTTACGGAAAAAAATATTTATAACTAAAGGGGCTCTGAGAAATTGCTGGAAATTATTTTCAAGTTTGTAGAACGGCCGCTAGGTGGCGCAACTGCTATGGAAAATAAGAAAATAGATTTTTTACAGAATTTTGCCTAGATAATGGGTACTATAAATAATAGCTTCATAATCTTCAGTAAATTTTGGATTTTTTTTTGTTAGAACCATTTTCCCATATCTGCTAAAATAAAGTGGTGGGGGAAGGTTAGATCTATCTTTATTTAAATGTTAATAACTCCGGACTGGATGATCAGAATCCAGCAAACGAGGGTTCGTTTAAAAGAGCGTTTCTTACTCTATATTATACCATAATAATAATAATAATAATAATAAGGTTTTAAACGTAGACGCTTTCTTACAATTTAATAAACATAGCGCGTTTTTTTAAAAAAATTAAATACGATAGTATGTGTTATTTTAGCTGGTAGTAAAGAGTAGTAAAAGCTTAAAAAGTCAGCGAAAACCGCATCTTGATATCTTCTTTCAAACCGAAAATATTAGCAAAATTATAGTAAATACCAAAAAATAGCCCTTAATTACCTTATTTTTACAATACAGTATCAGTAGCCCTCTTGATTAGGCCCGTTCTAATAAAAAATAAGATAGAAACAGTTAGTTTATTTTAAAATCGACGAAATACCAGAATACCATAATACCAGATGTATTAATATCTAATAATTAAGATATTAATAATAGTGAACAAGAAACGATGATTCAGTGAAGTCGTGGTAGGCTTTGGAAAAAAGTTGCTTTTCGCGTAATAGTATAAACGTCAAATTGTTGTTAGATCAACATTTTGATAGATTTAGCAGCGTTTTTTTATCTTTTGATTGATTTTTCAAAATGCCTTTATTATTTGAAGAAGTTGAAGTTGTTGGCATTTGAAAAAGCAATCAAAAGATAAAAAACGCTGCTAAGACTATCAAAATGTTGATCTAATAACAATTTGACGTTTATACTATTACGTCAAAAGCAACTTTTTTCCAAAGCCTACCATGACTTTACTGAGGCGTCGAGCGTCGTTTCTTTTTCACTATCATTTATATCTTAATTATAAGATATTAATACATCTGGTATTTTATCGTATTCTGGTATATTGTCGATTTTAGAATAAAGCAATCGTTTCTATCTTATTTTTTATTAGAATGGTCATAATCGAGAGGGCTACTATAACCGTGTTAAAAAAAATAATGTAATTAAGGGCCTATTTTTTCGTATTTATTATAATTTTGCTAATATCTTCGGTTTGAAAGCGGTTATCAAGATGCGGTTTTCGCTGACTTTTTAAGATTTTACTACTCTTTACTAACAGCTAAAATTACATATACTATTGCATTTAATTTTTTTTGAAAAAACGCGCAATGTTTGTTAAATTGTAAGACAACGCCCCCTAGCGTCTACGTTCAAAAGCTTATTATTATTGTTTATATGGTACAATATAGAGTAAGAAACGCTCTCTTAAACGAGCCCTCGCTTGTTGGATTCCGATCATTCAGTCCAGAGTTATTAATATTCAAATAAAAACAGATCTAACCTTCCCCCACCACTTCATTTTGGTAGATAGGGGAAAATGGTTCTAACAAAAAATATTCAAAATTTACTGAAGATTATGAAGCTGTTACTTATAGTACACCTTATCTAGGCAAAATTGTGTAAAAACTCCATTTTCTTATTTTTTGTTGCCCCCTAGCGGTCATTCTACAAACTTGAAAATAATTTCCAGCAATTTCCCATAGCCTCTTTAGTCATAAATATTTTTTTTCCGTAAGCCCTACGGCTAATAATTTCCGAGATACAGCCGAGAGCTATTCTTAGTGGGACACCCTGTACATGCGTAATTTGAATTAAAAAAAAAACGGTTTCCTGAACATTTATCATTTCTGGATACTCATCGTTTTTTCCATGTGCTCGTCAATTTTTATATTTACTGTTACATAAAATTTAGTAAAAATTCTAAAAAACGTATCAATAGCAGAACAAGTTGTACGCACGTATTTTTATTACCTGACGATAAAATTTGGACTTTCCAGGTAGGTAGTTAAAGTTAAATACAAACATCTAAAAAGTAAAACATGCTATTTAAAATAATGCAAATATCTTAAGAAATAATTTAATGTGTACTTTGCCATACCGGTAAATACTACAAAATCCAAAACATAATAGTAAAGTATCTACTACTACTCTAAAATTATCTACTAAAATAATAAACTAATTGTTAAAAATAAATATGTTGTGCATATTTCGAGTAAAATCTTTTCTTAATTTATATGTATATTTTTAAAACAATTTATTCATAGTTAGGTTTCCATAATTATAATATACTTAATATGTCTAATACTTTAATTATTATATACTTAATATCCTATAATATATAAACTCATACCTTCCTTCATCTTTTAGGCACCTAAAGAACGATATATTGTCTGTCATTCTACTTTCACAACCATCCACTGCACAAATATTTCTAGTAGACATTTTATTCAGAATTCGAACAAAACAACTAAAACACTATTTTTGGTTCACCCTATGCGTCGGACCGAAAACAAAACTAAAATAAACTTGGAACGCTGTGTACACGTCGAGCAACGGATGTAGACTGACCCTAGTCTACAAGAGAGGCGGGAAGCGGCGGGAGAAATTTTGATACGGGCGAAGAGTGGGTCAACTGATATACTTATATTCTTTAAACTGTGCTATAGGGCTGAAACTCGGAATGTATATCTGGCTCGAGGAGCCCCATCTTTTCATGATATTTTGACGACGTTTCGTGTTCTACGAAACCCCATCAGCAGTGAATAAAATAAAAAAATCGTCCGATTTAAATGAAATTTGGTATGTCGATAGATTGAACCAAGGCCAACTTGACCGTGTACGAGGTGGTATTGGTACGACACGTGTCACTGTGACAGTTTTCACGTCAGAAACTTTAAAAGTTGATGTCGTCCGATCGCGACCAAATTTGGTTTTTGTTTACATCTTCATCAGGGTGGGACTAAGGATTTGATATTGAAGAAAAATGTGGATCGATTTCGGCATAATTGGGCGTCCCTAATTATGCTAAAGGCTACAGGATGACGCTCTCGGCGTTTTTTTTTAGAGGCAACCGATGCCTCTAAATGGACGAAATCATCAGGATGTTTCTTAATTATGGGTCGATTCAAACCAAACTCGGCATGTGGATAGAGGTCCCGAGACGGACAGACAGATAGACGGAAGTTAGAAGAAGTTTCACTTCCAATATACGCACATAGTGCGCACTATATGCTACTTTTACTTGATTTGCTTTGTCTGAACAGGAAAAACGTAATGTAAAACGTTATATGTAGAGGAGGTTTTCTACTTGTTGTCTCAAGAGCTGTAATTGTGTACTTTACCACGATTTAACACTAATACCTTCCTAATTCTTCCTCCTTTCCGCCATAACTCTTTCTCTTACAACTTTTAACTTATTCCGGAGTACCCTCCGCTTTCCCATTTAACCGAATACAATAATATAAAACGAGGCCCTATGTTATTCGTACATATATAATACGGGGAGTTTTGTAAGTATTTAGTATTCAGATAACGCATAACGAGCCGCCTCGGCATCCCGAGCCCATTCATGCATATTCATCGCGCCATAATTAATCATCCAGAGGCGGGTGGGAGGTGTAGGGGAATCACCCCACTGGAAGGGGGTTCGACGAAAGGGGGTTGTGTTAAAGTTAGAACGAAAATCGCAAAAATATTAAATACTAGGTTGTTAGAGCCATTGAATAAAATAAAAAGGAGTATACCACTGCTGCTGCTTTTGAGCACGGCGCTTGAATTGCGATTTTGAGAAATCGCAACATCATTTTCGTGATGTGCCACACATCACAAAAGTAAAGACTAACAAAAAGATAGAACCGTTGCTCCTTGATATATATATACTATTGCTTCCGCCGAAAGTAGATTCAGAAGAATTGATTTTTTTATTACAATGGTTGACGGCGTGACACACAAGATTTACTGCATTCACTGAATATTACGACAATTTTGGATTCTTGTACGACACAAATAATTTAAAATCTTTGCCAAATAACGAGCTTTTGAATGGCTGTAATGATTTAAGTGTAGTACTTCAAGATGGAGAAAGCAAAGACATGGAATCTTATGAACTTTACGACGAACTACAACTTTTAATGCCTAATCTACCAAACTCCATTAGAGATGCCAATCAGATGATTCAATAAATAATTACAAATGATTTGGAAGACATCTATCCCAATTTTTATATTGTTATTAGAACAATGTTAACTATGCTTGTAAGTAGAGCTTCCGGAGAAAGAAGTTTTTCTAAATTAAAAATTATAAAAAACTACTTAAAAAACAGTATGAAGAGAAACCGGCTGTCTGCTTTAGCAATACTCTCAATCGAAACAGATTTAGCTACAAAAATCAATTACAAATCCTTACTAGAAGACTTTCAGTAAAGCAACAAGCCGAAGAAGAATATTACTTTTATAAAATATTAAATCAGTGAAGTTACAAAATAAGGTGCCCGGTGGCGTAGAGGTACAGGCTCTCGTCTACCAATCTCAAGGTAGTGGGTTCGAATCAAAGACATCTAAATAAAAGGAGACGAAACAATTTACATTTTACCGCGATCACGAACCGTGTTGCACAAAAATCGATGATGCCAATTTTAAATGACCGGTGGTAGATTTCGGCTGATTACGGTTTGAGTTCTAAATGCTATTGTCATTACAAGGTCATTAGACTAAATATTTGTGTAGATATATAATTTTAATTATAATACATTAATTATACTAGGATTATACCTTTGAAATCATTATTAGTTTTCTAATTAAATTATATTAAAATTACGATTAAAATATATTAGAGAAATTACTAAGACAATCCGGCATCGCTACGGATTAATTTTTACTACGAATTGTCGGAATCTGTAGAAATTACGCTGACATTTGACGTATTCATTCAACTTTTGTCCAACGGAGCATTGTTGCGAGTTTTCTGCGACCGTTGGAAGTGTTTGTGGATTTCGGACAACTTTCGAATAATTATTAGTGTTTATTGCAAAGAAAACTATTTAAAGTAGTTTTTTAACTATCTACAATGGTTCGCCAGTGCATAGTTTGTTAAAGGCGGACTATTCTAACTCCTGATTGATATTTGGACGGTAAGTGTTATTAAATTTTTTTACCTTTAGCAATGCCTTTACAGTAGCGTATCTAAGTACTTTTAGTTATAAGTAGATTATTACAAAAATACGTATATTTTCTTATTTGCTGGCGTTTTTGATTGTGAAATTAGACTTATCCTCAGTTAGACCTCAGGCAAAACCTTGGCAAAACCGATCTACGTTTTAAGTCAATTATTTTAAGTATTTGTCCATTTCGCTGTTATGCTGGATTCAGAGTTCCGTAGCCGTCAGACGTAAGCCATATCGTTAGCCGTAAGACTTAAGACGCAAGGAAAGCCATTCATAGTTGCCGTAAGACGTAACGATAACTTCATCGTAAGCGTGCGCTTTACCGTTTTTAATAGGTTATGTTGTTGTTTGGGCTGTGAATGTTGTGAATAAAACTATAATACTCCTTATTTATTTTGTTATTATTAATTTAATTGAACTAAAATGGACACGGACAATTATATTTTCGTTGCCGAAGTGAAATATCTGTGAAATATTTTATAAAAGTTGTAGAAATAGCCATAAAATAATTAACTAGAAAGAAGTGTCAACTCTGTGTTAAATCGTGGAAACACGATACGCCACCGAAAGCCTTCGTTGTCGTCTGGAGAACTAATTTTCCAATTGACAGGTTGACATGATAAGGACATGATGGCTTAATTTTCATTTCCGTTTGCGGTTATTCAATGGCGGGTCCTCTTTCAGTTCAAATGTATTTTTTGTATTTTTACTTTTCATAAATAAAACCAAAAATTATTTATTCACATATATTTATTTGAAATATGGAACAACGTGACTAAATAAATATAAAAATATAGAGGATTGTATTGTTTCAATACCAATTAGTTAATTATATGTACTTTTAACGTAAATTAGTTAAGGTATAAGCATGACTTACAGTAATTTGTAAATAAACACACGTATTCGCAGACTTCAAGGACAGAAAACGGACACACGAACATGAAAACGGGAGCCTTATACAAAAACCTGAAAACAGAAAAACAATTTTTTTTATACTAAAATTAACAATGTAAAAATATCAATAGGTATAAAATATAAATATACTGTTTAAAAAAGCGTGCATTATTCTCAAAGAGGCCTGGCTTATAAATCAAAAAGAAGCAAAAAGAGACTTTTAGTCGGATAACATAAGGAGATTATCAGTCCGATTTATTGTGCATTATTGACAATAAGTCGCACATACTGGAGATAACTAATGTTGGCTATAGTTAAAAATGATCTTACCTTGCTGTAAATTGCTTCCATTTTCAGAAAAATCGCCGATCAAAGATATTATAACACCATTTTCTTGCATCTAAAAAATGTAAAAACAGTGTTTATTTACTACCTATTTTTCATATACATGGGACATACCTACTACTGCAGAAACGTCGTTTTCTCCAGGATTCTTCATGTAATATATATTTTATATACTTTATTACCATTATATTTATAAATTTCAACCGAAATATTAAATTGAACTTCCAAAACGAAAGTAAAGGGAATGAATTAAAATGGCGTCGAATATTTTCGAATTTGTTCTAGAACAAATCTGAAGTTGTCTCTGAAACTGAAATCTGTCAATTCTAAACTGTGAAGTTAGACAATAGTTAGACAAAAACAATGCTGTCCTTGTCTAGGCGGCCATACTTGTCGTGAGGAGAATGACAGGAATGACACTAATGACTGTTTCCAATTTTCCTATTTCACTATCACCCCCCTGGAAATAGCTACCGAGTACCACCGAACCTAGCCGACAACACCCGATTCGATAAGACGTAACGTAAGAATTAAAATTGGTTCATTTCTTACGTCTTAAGCATAGGCAAACTAACAAAAGCAAGACGCGTCAACGCTGTACTGCAAAACGGCAACAAGTTTGATAAGAGTTTATTACCGCGCTTGCGTCAACTGGCCTTTTAGACGAGGACGGTTTACTTATGGATTGTGTATTTTGTAGTAGTCTTTTAGACGAGGATGTTTTACTTATGGATTGGGTATTTTGTAAAAGGATGTTTAATTAATAAGCGTTTATTAAAAATCAAATACATTTATTTCCATTTCCATCGGTAAAATAAACAATAATTTCTGGACGTAACAGATATAAAAACAAAAAGTCAAATAAGCGAAAACGTATTCCTCTTTAATAAGAGGAATACGTTTTCGTTATTTGACTTTCGTTATTTTAATAAATAACAAAAAGATGATAAAAAAAACAACAGTTATATGGCAAACGAAATAAAAGCATTATTCTTCAAAAGGTACAAAAAAATAATTATGTATATTATAATATTGATAATAGGAACAACAAGAAACATCTTAAAAATATACAACTTTTCAAATATAAAACAAAAACATAAACTTCACATTTCCACAAGAATTTAAAAAATATTAACATTTAGAGTCTATTATAAAATATAAAGCACGAAAATTCAAATCATAAAAGATTTAAAAGATAAAGATTCTTATAACTTACAGTCAATTTGTAGGACCTTCGGTTTGTGTACGTTAGCGATGTAATCACAATAATATGTATAATCACAGTAATTATTATGCTCTTCATAAGTGTAAAATGTATTACATTACTTGTTTTCGTTTTGTACGCTAATAAAATAATAGTAATAACCAATCAAAACGCAAAATCAGGAATTCAACAGTTCGTTCAAGGCAAAAACGTTTTTCGTTTTATTTAGGTTAGGTTTGACGAGTGCGACTGCGCGATGAATTCTGACTCAACTGGCCAGCGCAAAAACAATAATTCGACTTCCTCAATCGTTTGAAAAGTCTTGCTTTTGTTAGTTTGTCTATGGTCTTAAGGCATACGGCTTACGGCATACGGAGATCTATGAACGCAATCATGTGATTGTGAAGGTCGATATCCCTTACGTCTTACGTCTTACGGCTACGGAACCCTGAATCCAGCATTACAGTTGGTGGTAAAAAATGCTCACGGGTAATACTGGCTGTTCTCAACTTAACATTTAAAAACCTTTTTTATATTATATATCTAAGTACCAACTAACATTCGAAACCGCTATAAATATCTTAAAAATTGTGTATGTTATTGCTAATATCTGCTGAAATAAAACAGCTGTTGCTGTTATAGGTAGTTAATACCTGAAATTTGAACACGATTTGAACATCATCAAACCTATATGTATGTTAAATTAGTATGACAAAGTTAGCTAATGTTCAATTAAAGACATTTAATTTTTATAATTACTTCAGACTTTGGCTAGATAATTTCCACATTTCTCCCCCAATGTTGAAAGAAAACTGTTTTTGCAATCTAAATATTAATATTATTGAACTCTAGTTAACATTAGCAGGTTTTTTAGATATTAACCGTAACACATATGATTGATCTATTATTTATTTATTATAAAAATTCTATAAGTAATTACATAATAGGTAAGGTTTAGATATAGGTATTCAAAATTCAAATTAAAAAAATTAATAAAATAAATAAAATTATAATGATGCTTCAGTACTTAAAAAATATGCACTGTTTTGAATGATAATGATAAGCCTTACTTATGATAATTCTTTACTCTTTCATTTATGATATTTTTTTTTAGTTTTGGAACCCTTTACACTTTTACCCACACTTACCTATACACCCACACACACACAATTCACAGTACATATCTGGTGTTTTAAATAGAGGAAAATAAACCTTGGAAAATTTTTCCTTTAGGTTAATTTTTCCTTTTTTTTACCACATATTTTTATTATTTTACATATATTATTAAATAGATTTATAATACTTAATATGTATATGTGTTGCATATGTAACCAATAGTACTTTTGTAGCGTTCCTATAAATACTGAGCTTAGACAATGATCGATTTCACTCTTGAATTTGAAAAATCAAACTAACGTGTGTCCAAATTTGTTCTGATGATTTTGATAAGAGCAATATTATGATCGCCGAATTAACTGATCGAAGGCAAATAAGACCAAATTCTGAGCCTCAAATAGATAGTACCATTTTTGCTGGGGCTTTATCATACAGGTAAAAATATATAAGGTATAAGTATAATAATATAATAATAATATAAAATGCTAATGTTTATCTGTGTCGCCTCTACTGAAGTAACGACTTGCTCTAGAAAGTTGCTTTTTTACTAAAAGATAGCTAATTGGCTCTTCTAAAAACTGTCATCGCCGGATTTTTTGTTTTTCATTTAATAAAAAAAAAATAAAAAGTATTTTTTTTCCTGATGTCGTGGCGGATGCGCCAGGCTTCAACTAGTATGTAATATATTTTAAATGAAATACTCTCATTATAACTATTATTGTCAAGTAGTGTACTGTGCCTTATTGAATACAGGTGTACACCCTCTTGCGAAGTAAATACTTTTTAACATACAGGGTGTCACAATAGTAAGTTTAATTTTGACAGGTATTTCTTTAAAAAAATAGAGACGCGAAATTTCGTAGACACAATTTTTGCGGTAAAAAATCTAAATACATTCTTAATCATACTTTTGACGTAACTATAGTAGACGGGATACTTTGACACATTGAGCTTTTTCAAAATAACATTTTTTCTGCTTTTGTTTGCCGTCTTAATTATTTAAAAATTGACATCTCTATCTTTCTTGCAGAAAAGGGGACACTTTGTTTATGTCATTAGCAGTAATAGATTTCAAGGAAGCTGTTATAATATTTAATAGAACAATATAACGTAATATAACATTACTAATATCACTTTGTATCTTATTAATTAAGCACTTTATGGGTTTACTTCCCTATCTTAATTTTTATAAAAATACGAGACTTGTTGCTTCTCATTGTCAAGCTTTATCGGTCGAATATCCAGAAACCCTGTATAATTAACATAGCTATCTTTTATTTTATATGTTTTGTCAAGGATATGTTATTTGGAATTATATTTCGCAGTCCCGTCTCATATTACAAAAACACCATGTAGTTGTAGCTTGCTGCACGATTTCGGTACGACGTTTAAAGAGCTGAAAATAAAAAACCCCTTTGCGTCACCTGACGCATGCTATCAATCTCAGTGTGGTTTGTCGTACGATAAGGCGCAGATCGTTTTGTAGTGAGTGTTCAAAAATTGTTTGTTATCAGTGTGTTTTGGAAATTGTACACTTATCTATAATGGGAAAGTATAGTGAAAATAGAAAACGCCGTAGTAAAGCCAAAATCGACAAGGTTTTGAAGAAGCTACGTCGGGAATTAGCCCGGAGTAGCAGTAGTGAAAGTTAATTTTTAGATCTAGATGTTTTTTTAATTTTTCTTTTTGTTTTTGAAGGCAAAGTGTTGGGTTACAAGACCATAAAAGCCATTTAGGCATTTAAATTTTGCATGTAGAAGACTCTTTATAGGCAAAAAATTTTTGTTTTTTGTGCGGAAGGCGACGAGAAATAAATAGTATAAAAATATTCTTTTTATCGATCGCCTGAACCAAACCTGAACCGAGAATGTTTTTGTTTACGTTTCAAATTCTTATCAATTGACTATTAACATTCTAAAATTAAGAGAGTTTTTGCGTTTACCCATTGTTTTGACAAACTTTTTTTGTTAATTAAAAGGGTTTACTTTAGTTGTCACCTTTGTGATCAACGATGCAAAAACTTGGCCACCCTTTGTGTGCCACTTTGGTTTGCCGCTTTTTGTGTGCAAGCTCGAAATCCGTTGATGATATTTAAAAATTATCGAATAAGACAGTTTTTGCGTTTACCCATTGTTTTGACAAACTTTTTGGTTAATTAATAGGGTTTACTTAAGTTGTCACCTTTGTGATCAACGATGCAAAAACTTGGCCACCCTTTGTGCGCCACTTTGGTTTGCCGCTTTTTGTGTGCAAGCTCGAAATCCGTTGATGATATTTAAAAATTATCGAATAAGAGAGTTTTTGCGTTTACCCATTGTTTTGACAAACTTTTTTGTTAATTAATAGGGTTTACTTAAGTTGTCACCTTTGTGATCAACGATGCAAAAACTTGGCCACCCTTTGTGTGCCACTTTGGTTTGCCGCTTTTTGTGTGCAAGCTCGAAATCCGTTGATGATATTTAAAAATTATCGAATAAGAGAGTTTTTGCGTTTACCCATTGTTTTGACAAACTTTTTTGTTAATTAATAGGGTTTACTTAAGTTGTCACCTTTGTGATCAACGATGCAAAAACTTGGCCACCCTTTGTGTGCCACTTTGGTTTGCCGCTTTTTGTGTGCAAGCTCGAAATCCGTTGATGATATTTAAAAATTATCGAATAAGAGAGTTTTTGCGTTTACCCATTGTTTTGACACACTTTTTTGTTAATTAATAGGGTTTACTTAAGTTGTCACCTTTGTGATCAACGATGCAAAAACTTGGCCACCCTTTGTGTGCCACTTTGGTTTGCCGCTTTTTGTGTGCAGGCTCGAAAAACGAGAATGTGCCCGAATAATTTTTATTTTTTTGTTTATTAAGGGCCAATGCTACCCAGCTATTGAAATTTTTGAAAACACAGCTCCTTAATACATACGTACGTTTATTACAGGCTCATCAGATATAAGTTCTTGTTCTTCCTATGTTTTGGGATCGGAGGAAGAGGAGCAAAAAGATACTAATCCTATAGTTACTCAAGCAGTAATAAATGAGGACCAGCGGGGAACCTCAAAAATTAGAGACTGTTTGGGGAGGATCCAATAAAATCTGTCAAAACGGGGCCTCCCGTAAATGAAGAGACAGCCACGTATTGGCTGTCAATTCTAAAAAATGGCTTAAATACGGACAGTCGGAAAGAACTGATGGACAAACATGCTATAACCGAAAACTATAACCGAAAAATGAAGAAGTTTCAGTGGTCCTTACAGAGGCTGTCATCCGTCATGATAATTTTTTCTTGCATATACAAAACCAGATTGGGGCAGGAATAAGTGCCTTAGTCAAGCCAATTGAAAGTCAACTTCAGCAAGAAGCGAATGGTACCAGTGAAATTCTACAAAGCTTAGTGGACTCATCAAAAATATTGGCGGACGTTCACTATAAAATATCAATCCATAGGCGATATTTAATGGTGAATTTTCTTGATTCAGCAGCAAGAAAGGTCAGCGAAACATGCCCAGTTGACAAGAAATCTAAAAATTTTCTAAAGAAATGCAGAGAGCAGGCCTGGGATTAAAAAGACCAATACCTCAGCGCCCGGGAAGGAAGGTTAGGAGTCAAAATCAAGGAAATGAGTCTTTAAACTGGAAGTTTCAGAGAGGGAAGAAACGGAAGAAGGAGGAGGGTAGCAAATACAGACACACTGTCCGAATCAGGAACGTGTACCCGGGTCGTTCCAGGAAATAGAGGTACAATATGCTGGTAGATTATATAAATTTGTTGGCAACTGGGAATCTATTGTTAAGGCAAATTCAGTTGTTCTTAACTGGATTAAAGGTTGCAAAATTCGTTTTTGTAGTATGCCTAGGCAGGACTTTGTTCCTAAAAGTAATATTACCCAAACGGATAAATACATAGTAGGTAAAAAAATTCAGGAGCTATTACAAATTGGAGCCATCTCTCCTTGTAATCACTGTGAAGGTGAATTTTTATCGATTTTTTCTGATTTCAAAGCCCGAGGGTAAAAGTCGATTTATATTGCCCGTGGGCCTAAGTACAGCACCATTCATTTTTACAAAGCTTCTGAAACCGGTGGTTGCACATCTTAGAAAAGAAGGTGTTATATCAGTTATTTATTTGGATGACATTTTAGTAATCAGCAGTAGTGAAGAAATTTGTCGGCAGCATGTTGCAAAAACGCAAGAAACTCTTTGTTTATTAGGTTTTATAATAAATTGGGAAAAAAAAGTAGACTCATTCCATCACGTAAATGTCAACATTTAGGTTTTATTTTTGACACAGTTAAAGTGGAAATGACTTTGCCTGATGATAGAGTTAATAAAATTTTAACAGCGTGTAAAAACATTCTTAGAAAAACGTTTTGTTCTATTTTGACATTTGCTAAAGTCTTAGGTATGTTAGTTGCGGCATGTCCTGCTGTTAAGTACGGTTGGATGCACACTAAGATTTTAGAAAGAGTAAAATTTCTAGCACTATTGGACTCGCAAGGCAATTACTCGAAACAAATGAAAATTGGGAACAAAGTTATTGACGAATTGAATTGGTGGTTAAATAACTTGAAAATCAGTAGTTTTTCCATTAGTGATATTGATTATCAGTTAGAGATTTATTCAGATGCCTCAAAGGTCGGATGGGGCGGAGTTTGTAAAGGGGAAAAAACTAATGGTTTCTGGGATAGTACAGACTCGGATAAACATATAAATTATTTAGAGTTATTAGGGGCTTTTAATTGTTTGAAATTTTTTACCAATCATAAAAATAATCTGAATGTTCTTTTAAGAATAGACAATACAATTTCATGGAAGGACCTCTCATTTTATGCTTTTCCTCCATTTTCTCTGGTAGTTAAAGTCTTAAAAAAAGTTAAAAATGACCAGGCAAAAGGTATATTGATGGTACCAAACTGGCAAGGGCAACCATGGTTCCCAGTTTTCCATCAAATGTTAATTGCAGAACCTTTTTTTGTGGGGCCCAATAAAGAACTCTTACTTTCTTCTACTAGGCAACTACATCCGTTATGGAGGAAGCTTATCCTGGTTGCAGGGCTTATATCAGGAAAGCATTCTTAGAGAGGTCATTTCCAGAATCTGGTATGAGTGGAATAATTTCTTCCATTAGTACACAAACTTTAAAACAATATGATAGCGTCCACCGAAAATGGTGGAGTTTTTGTATTCATAGGTATAATAGTCCTTATAATTATGTGTTAGGAGATGTTATAACTTTTTTAAATGAAATTTTCCAAACAAGTGGTCCTTATTCTTTAGTTAACACGCATAAGTCCGCATTAACCTTAGTCTTACCAATACATAAGGCTGATGAAGATCTTATTCGTAGATTTTTAAAAGGGTTGCACAATATTAAACCCCCCGAGCCAGATATTCAAATACTTGGAACCCTCATCCAGTCCTTATGTACCTCAAAGACTTGTATCCATTAGAAAGTCTATCTCTGGAAAACATTATATTAAAATTAGTCACTCTTTTGGCTCTGATTTCAGCGCACAGAATGCAGACGTTAACAAAGATAAAACTTACTAATATAAATAAGACGGAAGAGGGTATCAAAATTTTAATAGATGGATTAATAGAAAGGATCAAAACGTCAGGAAAAAATACACCTCAACCGGTTCTATTTTTGCCTTTCTATAGAGACAATTTAAACTTGTGTTTGGCTTCCACATTAGAAATATATACGCAAAAAAAAAAAAAAAAAAATCGACCAATTGGTCTTGATTACCTTGTTTTAACGACTAAAAAACCGTTTCACGCAGCTACTTCACAGACAATTAGTCGTTGGATCAAATTAGTATTATCTCGAAGTATATAGCATTATATACAGGCTATAGCATTAAGCTTTCGGCAGTGTCCACAGCTAGCTTAGCTGGGGCTAACATTGAGGTAATACGGAAAGTGGCGGGTTGGTCGAAAAAATCCACCGTTTTTTTGCTCTTTTTATAATAAACCTATTATAGCTTCGTCTGATACCTTTGCAAAGGCTGTTCTGGCGGGGGCGGGTATAAAAATATGATTTCCTCTTTTCACTAGTTTATAGTGCTTGAATTTATTAATTATAGTTAAGTGTTACAAGTTTACATTATTTAATTAATTGTACTGTGTTGGTTGGTTCAATTGTAATTTCCAATTGTCTAAGGGTTTTTCTTTTTAGATATTTTCAAAAGTTAATAAAATATTTTTTTGCAATAATTGTAATATGTGTTTAAATTATGCAAAATATTTTTATTATAATAATTATATGATTGGCCCTAATTTTCTTTAAACATCTACATGGTGTTTTTTGTAATATGAGACAGGACTGCGAAATATAATTATAAGATCAATCGACTTACCTTAGGAAGGTTGATCATAATTATATGAGCAGTCCCGTCGAAATATTACAAAATCCTCTCCCAAATATATGTATTTTTTATTAATTGTTAGAGAGTAAAACCCACCCTATACAAATTAGGGGCCAATCTCGCCACGTACTTCCAACCACTGAGATTGATAGCATGCGTCAGGTGACGCAAAGGGGTTTTTTATTTTCAGCTCTTTAAACGTCGTACCGAAATCGTGCAGCAAGCTACAACTACATGGTGTTTTTGTAATATTTCGACGGGACTGCTCATATAATTATGATCAACCTTCCTAAGGTAAGTCGATTGATCTTATAATTATCTTCCACATTATAAGATCATAAACTACATAATTTTTGTTTACATATATTTTCTATGAGTGAGCTTTTGTTTTGCACTAGAAAACATTCTCGCTTAATGATAAATTTAATACTATAGAAGGAAATTATTAGTATTTAGGAAAAAATTAAAAACGAAAATAGGTTTTATTGAAAAATTAATTATTAATGTTTTTTTGTTTGTTTACAGCATAGTAAGACAATCCTCATCTTCTGATCTCTCAATAGTTGGATATTTATTATCTCAAGAAAGTCGTCAAAGTATCAGAAAAAGGTAAAAATTACCTCTACATTATATACAAGGTGGTGCCTCTCCTACGACGCGGAGGCTCCAAAGAGAACGGTGGTTTTTATCGTTAATGTAATTTTGGGAGCATATGTAGGATAATGGAAAGCATTTTATAGAAATATCAAGAGTTCTGCGCGGTGTCCCCAAAGTTATGCATCAAAGTTTTTTTTTGTAATGGAACACCTATATATTAATTGATTTTCGGATTCTAGGAAAGAAATAAAAGTGAGTTTTGTTAAAGAAGCATATGTCTAAAATGTAAGGCTTGTCATATTTCACATTTGGTGAAAATAATGAATAAACTTTAAATTTCAATAACAGCTACCTAGATGGAAATTTACTCATTGTATATTTAACCAAATTAAAATTTGACCTTAAGCATTCTATTAATTGATGAATGCACACTGCAATTAAAAGATCGGAATAGTATTCTGGGTGTTCAAATAAAAGGGAACTTGCTGTGTTCATTTCAAATAAAAGGGAATAAAATTACATTTTAGTCCAATAATGAAATTCACCTTTATTTTTCTCATAGAATCCGAAAATCAAATAATATATAAGGTGTCCCATTCCAAAAAACAAAACTTTGTTGTGTAACTTTTTTGGCGACACCCTGTAGAACTCCATATTTTAAAAAAACACATATTTTATCACATTTATATGTTTAAATGCTCTAAATTAACCTACATATACTCCCAAAATTTAATTTCAATACAAACTCTTTCTCCTTGGTAGCATTTAAGAGGCGCCACCCTGTATCTTAAGTAAAATTGTGCATAAGTTATTTTAATTTCAGAAAGAAGTATGTTAATGAGGCATTATAATGATATTATGTAGAAATTTAAGTCTTGTAAAAATTTGGAAACAAAGAAAATGAAAAATACATACTTTACAAATAGGTCTTAGAAGATTGAAAAATAAAATAATATCAATGCATCAGTTAATTGATTACTTAAAAGAAAAATCTTTGATAAGTGAATCAACTGAATTGACCATTCAGGTATGAATATAGGTATGCAGGGTGACATTTTAAAAACATAATGGTTATAAGTCAAAGGTTATATGTGAGGATCCAAAAAAATATAAAAATCAAGTAAAAATCGCTAAAAACAATTTCTAATAATTGAAGCTGTATCTCTTACTGTTTCTGAGATCCCAGTGCTTGTAATTATTATCTTGGACACACTATTTTATGTATATATTTGAGTGGCGGGCGGAGGGGAACTATAATAATGTAAAGTTATCGGCCATTTAATAATTTAGTCCTACAGCCATTATGTCAAAATCTGTCCCCAAGATTCATTAACAAGTTTTAAATTTAGTTCTGGTCTAATTTTGTGAATGATACACTAATCCATATGACAGTGGCATAAATACGATTAATGGAAGGTTCTAATTTCCATGACAAGGCCAGGTCTAAATTTTAAAACCCTTTAGTGAATTTGGATGTGTCTAAAAAAGACTAATAATAATATTATAGAGATATAACATTAATAGAGATAATATATGTTTTTTTAGGCTTCCTTAGCTGAACCAGTACAAAGTATTTTTGAAAGAATGTTAAAAGGACCTGCCACACAAAAATCCAATCTTCTGCTACTATCCTTTGCTTTAACATTGTCATTTTATTCGCCGAAAACATAGAATTTTATAAGGGATACATAAACTGGCCCAGAGTTTTCTTAGGAGGCCTCTAAATTCCATTTAGTTTTCAACAATATTTTTGATATTTTTAACTCTCAGAATGGATTTACAAAATATTCATATAAAAAAATTATCAAAAATATAAGAACAACATACTTTTTAATAATTTTGAGATAATTAAATTGTATATTATTGGACTTACTTTAAAAGACCAACCATAGTCACAAAGAAAAACGGGATTTTTGGGCTTTCTAATTTGTATGGAAAGCTTACAACATATGTATAAATACTATGTAAAAGAAAATCAAATATTAAAATATATTTTGACTAACTGGTGGAGGTCCACGTATACAAAAAGCAAAAACGGAAGATAATAATATATTCAATCAATGTAAAAATGAGAAGAGCATTGTGGATTAAAAAACATGATGGTGATAGATTGTCTAAAACTAATAGGAGTACTGGTATTGTAAGTACTAACCTTTCATTGTGTTTTTGAATTTTTTATTACTTTTAAGAGAATTCAATATATTTAGATATTTTTTCAGTCTCAAAACAAAACTGATGGTTACAAAGAAACAGAAGAAAAGGGAAGATATTAATTTACTAGACAAAAGGCTGTTCTTTTGTAATATGGAGATGGGCAAAATTCAAAGTAGTAGTATTCAAAACAGAGAAGAACATAAGCTAAAGAAAAAAAGGGTTGTTAGACATTGAAATAAAAAAGAACAGTAAAGTTCTCAAAAGAGAACTTATTTAATAATTTTAATTAGTGTTTATATTGTAATGTAAAAATGTAATGTATGTTATTTCTGAATAAAAGACATTTAATAATGATATTTTATAGAAATTAATACTCAAGAGATTTAATAACAACATAAAAAAACATGTCTATAATAAGTTAAAAAAATATTGCCCTAATCTTTCAAAATAATTTATTATTTCTCTTCTTATTAATTTGGTCCATATTTATTTCATCTAACGGCGGCAGCTCTTGTTCAGGCATCATTCTGGCTGTATTGTGTAGCACATTGAAACAACAAAATCTAAAAATTTAAGTACATACATTAAATTTTTAAATTTTTATTCTATAATTAAACAGATAATATTTTTTCTTAACTCACTGTTGTGCAACAATAACTGACACTGTGTTTTGTAATTTTGGTCTTATACCATAAAACACATATTGGAAAGTGGCGTTTCCATATAACGATAATTCTGAAACATTTCTTCAGCTCTATTTCTGCATATATCCCCTCAATGCATATGCAATCTCACCTTATAACAGATAATAAAATAATTTAATAGAGTATATGAACCCTTTGAATATTATCACATTTAATTTTAAAAAATTTTAAAAAATTTAATTTTAATAAAAACAAATTAGAAATAAGGAGGTTCATTTCTTGGCAATATGATTTTTCCTTACATCCACTCTTGAGGAAATCCATTTTCAATGAATATACCTACTGATCGACGTCTAGGATATCAAAAGTAATCATCGAACTTACGTAGAGGTATCATAATACACTTTTTAGCTTTCTCAAAGGAATAACAATAATTCTTCCTCGTAAAACAATTTTTTTGTGTCTAAGATAGGTTAAGTGGCCACTAGCCTGGAAATTTGACCGCTCAATTTAAATATAAATTCAAGTTAGATTAAAGCATAGTGCAAGAAAATAAGCTAAACATAATGTTAAGTTTTGCTTAAAAAACTTGGTGCAAACGCCCCTACATTGTATATTATCGATATTACTACGTATATTACAAATTAAAATTTAAATTAAAATGCACAAAATAACTATTTTAAAATTTTTGATAAAAAAACACCACACCATCGTCACGCCACTGATGGAGTAAAATGACAGAAAGACAGACGAAACTCAACCGTGTTGTCATATTTATGTACCCATCTCTTTTTAACTCGCATAAAAGTGCCAAACCATGTATGATTCTAAAAAAATTGAGTTTTATGAATGGAGTGTTCTGTCTACCTATATTTAGATGTCTTTGGTTCGAATCCTACACCCGGCATTTCATCAGCCGACTATTTTTATTAAAATAAAAATAGTTTGGGTACCTAATAAGTCGACTCAGCCTTAAATGAGTACTTGGAATTCACAATCCTGAGGTAATAATAGGCGGTTGATGCGTAGTGCTAGCCACATTACCTTCCTTGTATACCGAACGGCTCTAGCAAGGCAAGCTCTACCTTGCTACTCCCAAGGCGTCAAACGCTATATACGGGAGCTATTATTATTATATAAGTTACAAAATAAAACCTTTGTTCAAATCTATATTCTTTTCCATATTCTCCCACCACGCATTTATATTTTTTCACTATCATATAGGTTTATTCGTTATTGCGTAGATCTTAGGAAAGAAAGCAAAGAGGGCCTCGCCGATGCGACTTTGCCCACGCCTATATTAGTAATATTAGTCCACGCTACGCCACTGAGATTAGGTATTAGGGTATTAAGTATACTTACTTATATTAATAGTAATCAGATAAAAATAAGTGCTTCAGAAACATGTTAAAAATTTTTATCCTAACCAGATATAGGAAATTGCACCTTTACTCAGACTTTACTTTAGCAAAGCTAAAATGTCGCATTTGCAATCAAAAATTTTAGTGCAAGAGTTTAACAGGGCATTTAAAATTAAAATCATCTGCACAATCTGCACGAGTCAAATGTAAAAGGTCGATGCACATTATCATACACGTAGCACGTAGCGTTTCCTTTTCATCAATCGGACTGTACAGGGTGGGTCAAATTCGACGCTTTTAAATGGAAACACTCTTTTCTATAGGAGATAGACAAAAACTAATATCGGTGTCTGGAGCTCAATTTTTGTCAAAAACATGATGGTGAAAACCGCATATCGATATCTGTTACCGTTTCGGAGTTACGGGGTATTTTTCAAAAATATGCATTTTTAACAAATCGCTGTAACTTTTTTGCTATGAAAAATTTTGTATTTTTATTAAAACATTTCCAAAGCACCTTTTTACGTAGAATTTAATGGTTTAAGTATAATTTTTTTATAATTAATAATTTAAGAATTATCAACAGAAAACCCTATATATTTTTAATTTATTGAAAAGAATTTAAAATTACCTTTCCAAAAATATAACACACTTGATATTTTGCTCGAATCCTCTGCGAGATACAGAGTATATAAAAATTCGCCCGCTTTAAATAAGTAGGCTTTGAACGGCACCGGCTGTAATGCAAAAAAAATCTAGCTGTGAACTGTGAGCATGCTGTGAGCATCAATTAAAACGAAAATAATATTTGCTATGAGAGATGCAGAATTTTATAACAATTTAAAATATATTTAACCAACATCAACACATTTAAACTATATCTAATAACAATAAAAGTAAATAGCAAACCAAGACATGAGATTTTGCTACCGGTGTTCGAAATATTGACCGTCTTCTATTATGGACAGACGGGGCAGTTTTTGAACATTTCTCGCGGAATTCATTAACTCAGTGGGGGTGAAAGATACCCTCTCATAACTGCTAAGTATTTCTAATTCTTGTTTAGATTATATGGAAGAATAAGGAACCTTTATTCTTCCGCAAATATATCCAGGATTAGATCCATGGGCACTAAGTCAGGCGGCCTCGACGGCCAACGGCTGGGATCTTGGTTAGCTATTCAATTATTCTTGAAATTGGCTACAAAAATTTACTGATAACTTCAGCGTTCAGAGGCGGTGCGTCGTCTTGCTGGAAAAATATGTTTTCGAGTTCCATTAAGGGCATATCATCAATAAGGGGCCCAAAGCCTACTAGTTAAAAGTGGCGAACTTTTAAAAATTCTGTATTTCGCAGGGTATTATAACAAAATATCAAGTGTGCTATATTTTTGGAAAGGTAATTTTAAATTATTTTCAGTTAATTAAAAATATAGAGGGTGTCCCAAATAAAAAATCAATTATTCTGTTGATAACTCTTAAATTATTAATTTGAAAAAATATATACTTAAACCATTAAATTCTACGTAAAAAGATGCTTTGGAAATGTTTTCATAGAAATACAAAATTTTCCATAGCAAAAAAGTTACAGCGATTTGTTAAAAATGCACATTTTTAACAAACGATAACAAACGGTAAAGATATTGATGTGCGGTTTTCACCATCATGTTTTTGATGAAAATTGAGCTCCAGACACCGATATTAGTTTTCGTCTATCTCCTATAGAAAAGGGTGTTTCCATTTAAAAGCGTCGAATTTGACCCACCCTGTACATTAACATATGCATACAGGAAGCATTTAACATTGTTTTAGTAAAGTCAGAGATAACTAAGTTGTCTCTGGAAAAGTGATGTTTTTCCATTTTTCTCGCAAATAACATGTGCAATTGCCCTTCTACTGGATGTAAATTAAACAAGACAAGCTTCTGTTGGACCAACATTAAAAGCTCTATAGAATATAGATATATACCACTTTTGATAAAATATAATAAAGAATAAAAAAGAGCCTGGCAACAAAAATACAATACGATCGAAAAAAAAGGGGTCAGCGATGGCTATGAAATAAAGATCGCTGTCATTTTATATGTAAAATTAAATGTAGAATGTCATCGATATTCATTTCTAAGCCAAACTAGACGCCGTTTTTTTCGATCATGCGGTATTATTTAAAAAGGAAGCTTTAGAACAAAAATGAAGCTTAGAAAAACATTTTTGATAAACACCAGAAAACTAATTTAACTATCTGAACCAAAATAAAAATTATAAAAAAAATTAACATTGTTTATACATTGACTTATTATTTATTAGATAAGTTAACATTTCACACATAATAATTCATTATTTTTGTATTCTTAGAGATTTTCATTTTTAAATGGTTTGTTTAACGTCACTCTGAATAAAATTCAGTAAAAATCTAAATCTAATACTTTATCTAAAGTAGTTATATACTAATATATATTATATTTTTATAAACAAAATATAATATTTGAATTAAAAAAAATAGTAAAAATATCTTTCTAGATTATTTGAACTAACGTTCACTTTGAATAAAATGTAGTGAAAATTAAGATCTAATATTTGGCAACATTGTTGAGTACCCGAGTAAACTAGCACAGAATATCTATTGCGTAGCTAGATATTCTGTGAAACTAGTGAACTAGTGGGACTTTAGTAGACCCTAGTCATAAATGATCATCCTGTATACAATCCTTAATCAACCTGTCCACATAATTTATAAAAATATATTTAACTGAATCGACATTCTTAAATAAAATACTTAATATGGAATAATTATTTTCAATAATTCTAGGCCACCAGTTTATTTAAATTTTAAATAATATTAAAAATAATATAATAAATATCAGAAAATAGGCAGAATTAAAATAATACATCTTTAATACCCCAACGCGCGACCTAAAGCCAAGAATAAAAAGAAAAAAAATTAAAATAATATCAAGACATATGCTGACATCTATGGTCAACATCTCACATTGCCGTTTAAACTTTAAAAAGATTTCTACTCCCGATTAACAGTATGAATAGTGGCGCTCTCTAAACTGAGACGCTTGAAGTAGCAAATTCTTCAATACAGAGTTGCCATATGTTACCAAAAATAAAACAAACTTACACTTTTAATAGTATTTGTTCAGATATCAAAAATATATTACATTAAATGAGTGTTTAGTTGTCAAGTAAAAAGTAAATAATAATTATTTTACGTTTCGTCACTGTCACTTTTCCTTATATACATTTTTTATGTGTTTAAATAAATAATATTAAGAAAAATTCTATCTAGGATAAATAAGTGGCAACGTAGCAAATGCCGGTTTAAAAGGAGACGTAAAATAGACAGCTGTTTGGCTTCTTCATCAAATCGTTTTTGTGTTGTTGTTTGACGTATATTAAGGTGTTTAGTTGGAAATAATAATATTTTTGTTGTTTTCGTACGTATATTCTGCAACAATTCAGCAGAATGTTAAAAATTGTAATTTTTATTGCAATTAGCTGTTTCATAGGTAAGATAAGAGCTCCTATTTATATAATTTTTGCCTTTCTATTGTGTCTTTATATTATGGTTTTAATTCTCTTCAAAATTTTGTGATATATTTTGTTCTAACAACATTTATCTAATAAGATTTCAGAATTGTATAGAATGATGAATCACGTTATATATAGCCCCTATAAATATATAATAAGGTATAACTATAATTTTTGTAATAAAATTTTTACTACTAAAGTAAATGAGTCATCCACCAGCATAATGTACCTACTGGAATCAGCAATTCAATAATTGAAGTACTGTTCATACATCGGTAAACTACAGAAAAATTTGTTATCATTTTTGATCCTATATTAAATGTTAAAACAACGATATTTATTTTAAAGAAAAATCTCAACAATCCACAATTTCGGACTAATTTTAAATTTAATTCTAATTTTAAATTACTCTTTTCTGATTGTTTTCCAATGACTCAAATGTGTGTTTGTCTTAAATGCCTGGCTATAAATAACTAAGTTTTTTTCTTTGTTATTGCAATCTCAAAAAGTAAACTTAAGGTATTTCTGTCATTGCATTTCCTGATACCAATGATTATCCAAATATTAGTTGCTTAAATCTTAAATATTCATTATTTCTTATCAATATTTACTTTTTGTTTTTCAGTTGCTAATAAAAATTTCATTTCATGCTTCTTTGATAAAAAAGTTATTTATATTCATCAAAATCATACATCTATGACTGTATGCTTACATTAATTTGTCAGTTCTGACTAATCTGAATTCTTGTAGACTTTAAAATGACATGAATCACTGACAAGATTAAAAAAATATTATTTTAGCCCTATGAAGTCACTCACTTCAAAGTTTAGAGAAATTCTGTAAACTTTGCTCACATACCTACCTATTTCAGGATAATGTTGAATTCTCCAACATCATTATAATATGTAAAGTTATTAATCATAGAATTACAGTTGATCAGAATTATTGGAAATACATTCATTTTCCCAGAAAGATAAGGAATGCAATATGCAGTTAGATATTTATAAACATCTGACACCATCACAGACTGAATGTAACATAAAATGTATGACTTTGAATATGATTTATTCTTTTATTATTATTTTTAGTTTTTTAGTATTCTTTTATTGCTTTTTAATTTTGTATGCCATATTGCAGAATTAAAAATGTAAGTATCAAAATATATTTTCAACCCCGCGACGTTAGCATCATCAGAAGATGATTATAAGAAGATTAAAACCGAGTTAGTAATTTACGGTTGATGCAGAATTTATGAAAATTTTTTTTGAAAAACATGCTTTTCTAGAGCAGTTTTACATTTTTTACATAAATCAAATAAACAGCAAAGTATTTCTTCGTTTGTAATAACCTCGCTTGAAATCTATACTTTAAAGGACATTTATCTTACGTTAGGTTATTCTTGTTCCGAAACTAATTGTATTTAGTGTGCTTATGGTATAGCAATTAACGACTTCCACATTAAACTATGTTAAGCTTTAATTGTTTTAAACATTTTAATTCAAAACCAAATTAAATTCAATTATAAAATGTTTCAGTTAAACGCACTCTATAGCGATTTTACACCTGGCAATTTATCTTTTAAATTAGTTTGATCAAATAACTTGTAGAATTGATTTGGCAGTGTAAAATACCAATTTGATGTCAAATAAGTTTAAGGTCGTACTTTCAAATGGCTTTAAAAGATTAGGACACGTCCTATTTTTTTCACATATTTGATCAAATTTTTATCATGTTCTACATTAATAATATGATTAGAATTCTCAAACGGTGAATGAAAAAATGAGAGTTGCAGGGTTTCGTTCCAATAAAATTAAAAAAAAATTATCTAAAGTTATGATCTAAATTTATATTTCACACTATAATATAAACGAACTAATCACCTACAATAAAGGTCTTTATTTTTTTTATATTTGTCGATTATTGTATGCCGCACACGGTCTTACGTGCCGAATAATCCTCGAGACATACCTACCGAGGATTTGAATAATCGAGTGACCGAGTATTTTTCACTCGAGTGATCCCATCACTATGCGTGACCCTGTATAACAATTTTAAACATCCATCGGAAAAAATCGGCGTTAGAGATAGGCTGGAAACTGGAAATGAAGATCGCTATCATTTTGTATGTTAAATTATACGTATAGTCAATGTTATGGATCGTCATTTCCAACCAAGTAGACTTTTGATTAGTAGTAAACAGTTGTTAAAATATGATAACTGACATTCACATTAATGACGATGACTATCTTGATATGGTAATCGCAAAACTATTTCCGATGCACGTGATCAACTTTGAATGACAAGCGATGGCGACAGCCCTGCCAGATTGTGATGGATTTATGAGACGTATCTTAATTTAAAAGTGACAAACTATTATTTATCATTTTTTAAAGATTTTTACGTTTTATTTTTAATTTAATAACTAATATTTTAGTAATTAATTGATTTATTTGTTTTATAACTTATTTTACTTATTACATATTGGCAAAAACTATTCTATTATGAAGATTATTCTAAGCGTTATTATGGGTTATTTATTTATTGATGTACATCTTACAACAGATTCTTAATAATCACAGAATTTAATAAAACTAACGGAGAAATAACTTTAAAAGTGGTGTAATGTACTTATCAATTAAACTTACTTCTCTCACTGCAGTCAAGGGTAACAAAGGACCTTTATTGTCACGTTCTCGTTCAAAATAGTTTATCAGGGAAGCTACAAGCTCTTTGCTTCGACTGTTTAAATGCTTCGGCATATTTTCAACACACAATTTCAAGAAATGCAATACAAAAACTCGAAACTGTTTATGCTTAAAAGTACAATTTAAAAAAAATATGAAAATAGGCAAAAAACGAGAATTACTCACAAAAATTCAACAACACGATATTATACAAAATAATGACTGACATTAGGATAATTGTCAAATAATAAACGACAACCTTGCTGAAAACGCCGCAATATGACCAACATAGCAATAATAATATTCGGTTTAAACTAATTTTTGCAGCTTTAATCTAAATAAAATATCTGTTACAATCATTTGCTCTATCAATGAAGAGCTGCTCTGTATCTTAAATTATACAACAAATTTAAACATTTTTGGCAAAATTTCCTTTAGTCAGGTTTATAGATTTTAGTGTCAATGTCGATAAGATTGATGACGTGCATCGGAAAATGTTTTGCGATTACTTTATAAAATGTTCTTCATAAGTCTTAAACTAAGTTTTTCTATCGACTTCTAAAGTTCTGCTACTAAACTGTTAGACAACTCTGTGTAAATAAATAACTGCAAATTACTGAAGAAACAAATATCAATATCACTCAAATATCTTTCGCAATCTTTTCCATGTCAATGTTATTACTTATTCCTCTTAAATCCACGAACTACATATTTTTATGGCAAATAGTTTGTTATCGGAAACTACGACAATGTATTCGTCAAAATAATTATTTCTATTTCCATTTTAGTTGTTTCTACCGACACATGCGACCTATTTATACATGGACATAGAACTGCGACGTTTGTTGCTAATTTTGTATTAACCTTTGATCTTATTAATAAATAACCGCCGGAGATAAAGGAATTGGTAAACAAATGGTTTTGATTGATAAAGGAGGGTCAGATTGGAGGAATGAGTCAAAAACTGTTTTTTTTTCAGTATAATAAAAATGTCGTATGTTTTAATGACCTTGTCGATAACGCTGATTTCAATTAAGTAAAATCGTTTGTTTTTGCTCTAAATTTTTATGTTAATGTTTTATTATAGATTTATCTAACCGTTTCATTGTTTTTATTTATAGGAATTTTAATTTTTGTGCTCTTGCCAGATTTTATATTTTTCAAAGGACATCAACAAAAAACAAAACATAAATTTTCATGGTTCAACTGTCTAAATAACGAATTAAAAATTTTGACATCAAAAATATTGCGCCCTAAAAATGTACCGAATGATCGAAAAAAAACGGCGTCAAAGGCGGCTGTCAAAAATTATTCCTAATTATAGAAAGATTAAAAAAGGATAGAAAGTTTCCAGACACACAAGTCTATTTTCAAAAATGATTTTTTTGAATTTCAAACCAACTACACCATTTAAAAATAATTTTTACTTAATATAAAAATAAATTACAACCTTGTTAAAGCCGTAAGCGCTATTAAAAGATAAAGAAGAATACGGACAAGTAAATGATGTTAAAATTCTAATCGATGTCATTTCTCAGCCGCCTTTGACGCCGTTTTTTTCTCAATCGTATATCAAAAATCAAAATTGTGTGAATAATTAAAATTGGAAAACAATATAAATCTTGTATACCGTGTCGAATAGCGTAAACAACTCTGTATATTAAGATACAAGTACCATACAATCCAAAAAACGCCCTTGGAGATGGCTTGGAAAGAAAGATGAAGTTTTCAAGTAAACTTTTCGATTATAGAGTATTTGTCTAGTTACACAACTGTTTGGATCATATTTAATACATACTTATTTTTTCAGCCCACTCCTTGGGAGTATTTGTACCTCCCAGACATGAAACTAAGAAGAAGATCCATCTTCTTGGAGAAAAGGAGTGCACCTATGGACCATCGTATTGGTGTCAAAATTTAACGTAAGTAGGGCTAGTTGTTGGGGTAATGGCATGGTAATGGTAAACAGGGGCAATTGTAAGCAGGTCCAATAACTTTTGAATTTGGCGTGTAGGGAATAAGTCGACTGGCACTCACGTCTTTGATGTGTATTGACTCGATTAAATTAGTTTCTAGTACTATTTGTTTATGGTGTACAAATATATTTTTGGAGAGCTGCTTTAAAACTTGTAAAACGTTTTATACCTTAGCAAAATTTTGTTTAAAACTTTGAATTTGTGAATAAAGCTTCATTCAGAACCTCGAAATCAGTGGAATAAATTAGTAGTTTCAATTAGCCGTAGAAGTTTGTTCACCTAATTTTAATGTAAGCATTCAGAACGTCATAATTAGTGGCAGTAATTCTCAATTAGTGGAAAAAGTTAGAAACTTTTGACTTTTCGACTAATTATACTTCAAAATTTGTGAGAAATGTCATTTTGGCCTTTGATTATTACCCGTCAAGAAAAATTTTGGTTAGAAATCAAAAGTTTATTGTTTTATAGGCTAAATATTATGCTTTCTCTCTGGATACAACAGACTACCGCAAGCTAAGATATTTTATTAATTTTAATTGTGTTTTTTAGACATTGTGAATGATCGTAAACTAAAAAGTATAAAGTGTTATTGAAACCACTAATTTATTCCACTAATTCGGAGGTTCTGAATGAAGCTTAAGTTAAGATAATTTATATACATAGTAGTTTCATTTAGTGTTGTATTAGTAAAATGCATATTACAATTTGAGATTAACTTTTACGGGAAATGGAGTATAGAGGTGTTTACAAATGCCCCAGTAAAATAGGATTGCGGGGCAATTGTAAACCTAATTTTGGGGCAATAGTAAACACGTGTTAACACTGATAAGCTCGAAGAAAGATATGAAAAAGACCAAAAAAAAGAAAAACGTTAAAAATGCATTGGTTAGGTTTGTATGAAGGAGGATAATATATTCGTTTTCCAGAAAGGTAGATGTTTTTGAAAAACCTTAATATTTTTTAGACTTTTGATGAAACAGTAATAAATAATTTGTCTTTATAACAAAACGTTTTATTTTGTCTCCATGGGGAAAATTGTAAACAATTAATCACATTGATAAACCTAACTAAAAACAAACTTGTATAGTTCTTGGTTCGTTATTACCCCATTTAAAAAATAGCTTTACATTTACCCCAAAATAGGACAATATTTGATGTTCCTATGGAGTAAATGTAAACAAGTGTTTTTTTGGAACCTATTGCGAATTTCTAGCTGTCCATCAAAGCACCTATTAAGTAAAGTGTCTTAAAATATACCTTTTTAGAATTTTCAACGTCAAAGTTTCAAAGTTATACCTTGTTAAAATCGTTTACCATTGCCCCAACTAACCCTATATTGTCTTAAAATTATACATATATTAACATATTTTATATATAACATACATATTAAACTATACATACGGGTGTTGCATTGTCGGACGAGACATAGGAAATCCCATGTAAATGTTAATGGGGTCAATTATTGGCTTCCCTAATTATTTTAGAGAATAATTCTATTTAGGTTTATTGAAGAGCACTAAAACCCACATTTCAAAAGAATAACTTTAGATATTTTTGATTAGCTCGTTTACGAGTTATCGCCGATTTCTTTTTAAATATTTCTCCTTTCTTATGACCCTGTATTTACTTATGAGCACCAGGCAAGGTAAAAGATAACTGTCAAATGAAGTTGTCATTTCAGAAATTTACCTATTTAGTGCTTTATTATTATTGAAAACTCATTCCTATATACATCGGAAATCTTAAAGATGTATACAAATTAATATGAATTATAGTAAAATAAAGTATTAGTATTTTAATAAAGCACGCTTTTAGATGTTTAAAAAAACTTTTAATAAGAGTAACTTTAACTCTACATATATGTTTCGGCTTGTTACAACATTATTAAATTCAATTAACCCGAGAATACAATTTACTATTGAAAAAGGTATTAATACCATCAATTTTCTTGGTGTTACAATTATAAAACAGTCTAATAGATTACAATTTGATATTTACAGAAAACCCACTACCACAGACACTGTAATACATAGTCAATCACACCAATCCTGGCAAATCAAAATGTCACCCTTTCATAGTTTAATTCATAGATTAGTAATGTTTCCACTGACCCCAGAGAATTTTAAAAAAGAGTTAAATATTATTAAACAAATCGCTATCAACAATGGATATAAGTGTTCCCTTATTGATAATATGCTAAAGAAAAAACAAAAGAAAATATTAATGAAAAATTTTTATTCCGCTAATTTTAAAGACAATAACAATTATCGACTTTTAAACTACATTCCTAATTTAACTAACAAAATATCAAATAATCTCAATAAAATAGGATGTAAAACTATTAACGTAAATAAAAGAAATTTAGGTCAAATTTTATTAAATAATAAAGACAAAACTAATGTCAAAAATAAGTCGGGTGTATATAGGGTGGATTGCAATGATTGTGATGCCGTGCACATAGGCCAAACAGGTAGAAATGTAGATATAAGGATTAAAGAACATGTAAAGTATATTAATAATCTCCAGCATAGTTCTGGTCTTGCAACTCATTGTATAGTAAATAATCACAAAATTAATGAAAACTCAATTAACTTACTACACAGAGAAACAAAAGGTAGACGCTTAAATTACATTGAACAGTTAGACATACTAAAATCTGTTAAAAACGAAAATAATGTTAACGACCAACAAGGATTTCTAAACACATTTTTTATTACTCCTATTGTAAACTCTCTGAACCCACCCCAATAGCAAATATATATATAGTTACAGTGTAGTTAGACGATTAGTTCTTAAAAAACTCTTGAAAAAGGCCTAACAAGCCGAAACATATATGTAGAGTTAAAGTTACTCTTATTAAAAGTTTTTTGAAACATCTAAAAGCGTGCTTTATTAAAATACTAATATTTCAACGATGTTTCACAAGGAACCAACCACAGCTTCAGTACAATTTATTAAAATAAAGTAATCAATTACAAGGTTAATTATAGTATTATTACAATGTTCAATAACTTATTAATTTAGGTACTATTAAATTGTTAGAACTTTAGGATTTAAGATGTTCAAATATTCCTCCATCGACTGCTAGACAATAACCCAAGCGATCATAAAATTCTCTTCGTACATTCGCTAGTTGGTAAACTGAAATTCTATTGCATTCGGCAGAAATAGCATTTTTAACTCGTCTAGATTTGGGTATTTTTTATCCTTGTATATCCTGTTTTTTAAATGGCCCCAGAGAAAGAAATCATTTGGCGAAATATCAGGAGACCTTGCTGGCCAATTTACTGTATGATTTAGGCCAATAACGTTTCCGTTAAAACTATTGTCTAAATATTCCCGAACAGCCAGGGTACTATGTGCCAGGCAGTCATCCATTTGGTACCAAACTTCCTGATTTCCCTAGCGGCATCATGTAAAGCAGGTAAAATATGATTTACGAGTAGTTCCAAATAATATTCTGCATTTATATTTCGCGTAAGAAATAATGGCCCGATAATATTGTGTCCGAATATCCCTGCCCAAACATTTACTTTCTGTGAATATTGCGTCCTTGTTTCGACAAACCTGTGTTGGTTTTCTTTGTTCTAATATCGATAATTTTGAACATTGGGTTCATTATTTAAGGTAAACGTGCATTCGTCAGTGAAACATATGTTTTTCAAGGCTTCGGTGAACTATCCTGGCACACGATTTTTCTTAGAAAATGAAGTTTATGTTACCTTAAAATGATTTTCTTGGAATCTTTGACTAAAATCTGATGCGGAAAAACACGTTTCACATAAAAAATATTCCTAAAAACGTTTTTATTTGATTTTTATAGCAAAATCCATAACCGATAATGAAAAAGTCGCGGACTTATTTATACCCGTTTCTATGTCTATGCTGACAGTAGTGAAGGTCGAATTTTGACAAATATTGAGGATTGATACATGGTTGTCAGATCAGCTAGTAAATTATCCGGAATTTCATGCATTTTTTAAAAACTGTTTTTATTTATTTAGAGTTGGTACAAGCGATCATGGTTAGTCTTTGGTGTGAGTTTGACTAGTACAAAATTATTAAAAATGACTATTTATTTAAAATAAAAATAGAAAACAAAAAAAGAAAATTCAATGAAACTGACAACATTGCTTTTTATTCTGTCGCTATCATGTCAAATCAAGCGTTAAAATTCTCCATAACGTCAAATATGTGCCAAAAATTACTAAAATCAAATTAAAATATTTTAAAATTATGCGCATAATCTCCATTTATTGTTATTTATAACTACTACTAAAAATGGTTACTTTATGATAAAAAAAAAAGAAAAATACAAAATTCGTGTGTCAGGATAGTTCACCGGACCCGTTTTTCAAAAATTCCCTATCCGTGTTTGCTCTTTCCATCATATCAAAACAAAATGCCTGCCGCCGTATTTCGTCCCCATCTCGTAGCTCTTGGTGCTTTTCATATTTGAAGGAATAGTATTTATGTCGTTTCAAAATTCGAAACGCTGTAGTGTGATCTATTCCTATTTCATCCTCAAGTTTCCTTGTGCTGATCTTTCCATCGTTCTCTTCCACGCACAATAAAACTTCCAAGTCGGTATCACTTCTTGCATCTTCTTTTTGTTTCTGCCTTGCTTCATATTTGCAGTTATTTATTAGGGTACCTTTGGTCTCAAATCTCTGGATATTCCTTGCGATTGTAGATTGTCCAGGTATCGGTCTATTCGGATACAGAGCAGCAAACATGTCCGACACCTTTTGATAACTATTTCCTTGATAATACCATTTAATCTTCAATACATTTTCTTCGGTAGTGTAATTCATGGCTAATATTTTCGATGTAGGTATGAGTTTTTAATAATAATAATAAAGCACTAAATAGATAAATTTCTGAAATGACAACTTCATTTGACAGTTATCTTTACCTTGACTGGTGCTCATAAGTAAATACAGGGCCATAAGAAAGGAGAAATATTTAAAAATAAATCGGCGATAACTCGTAAACGGGCTAATCAAAAATATCTAAAGTTATTCTTTTGAATGTGAGTTTTCGTGCTCTTCAATAAACCTAAATAGAGTTATTCTCTAAAATAATTAGGGAAGCCAATAATTGACCCCATTAAAATTTGCATGGGATGTCCCGCTCGACGATGCAACACCCGGTATAGTTCATATCAAATAAACTTTTAGTCACGTGATTAAGCTTGACTGGCACAGCGTTGTCCGCTTTTACATATTTTCTTTTATTCAAAATATTTTGAGAAACAAAAACAAATTAATTATAAATATGTACACAGTTATTATTTACATCATCAAAACTCGCTTTCTTAACGGCACTTAAGGGACATAAAGGGCCATTACTACCGCTTTCCCGTTCAAAATATTCTAAAGGCGCACTCTGACCACTCGTATGCTTGGCAAACATTTTTTTTTATATTATAGAAATAGATAGAAATTCTGTATAGATGATCGACGCACCCTGTATATCAATAGCAAATGTTTGTCAAGTAGACGAGTCGACTGAGCACGCCATAATAAGGTTACAATGAGTTTTTTGCATCGGATATTAAGCTATATTTTGTACACTTCGCACTAAAAGAGATTCTAAAAAGAACAGTGTTCGACTGCAAGTTCTTCTAATAAGAATTTTTAAGCACAAAAGTATCACAACGAGGTTTATTTAAACCAAAAACTCGTAATACAAAACTAAAGTGTCAAAACGAATGACAATGTCGGGAAATAAATAAATAAATCTGGCAACTTGACATTTTTACAGCAGAGCTACCACCTAAATCTCCAGCGAAAAGTTTAAATTCCAATTAGTCAGCCCAGCGCCGAATATGTCCATGGTTGGCTACAATGAATTTAAAAATCGCGCCCTCGATTACGTAACTAAAAGTTTAATTGGTATCGAAATGTAAATCAATTTTTTGAATTTAAATTACTTTTTGTCATGGTATGGTGTATATTTCATTTAGAAATGCTGCTGACTGTCATGCTACTAAACATTGCATCCAAACAGTATGGATTCACAAGCAACTACCTCCAGACACATCAAATATCTGCGATACATGCAAGCAGATGGTTGAGCAGGCTAGAGATCAGTTGGAAAGCAATGAAACTCAAGTATATATATATTAATATTTTATTCGTTTAAATATTATAATCATACTTTTTCAGGAACTAATCAAAGAAGTCTTTGAAGGATCATGTGCACTTTTACGCGTTAAGCCCATCGTTAAGGAATGTGATAAAATCGCTGATGAATATATCCCCGATTTGGTTGAAACTCTTGCATCTCAGATGAATCCACAAGTTGTTTGCTCAGTAGCAGGTAAAACTAAAAATTTTGAATTTTACTGTACTTTATATATGTTACGGTTAAAGTCCGATGTCCGGTTAATGTCGACATTAACATGTTAATGTTTAGGTTAGGTTATGTTTTTGGTTGTTTTGTTGTGTGTTATTCTCGAGATTAACCGGGTAATGTCGACATTAACCGGACATCGGACCTTAACCGTAACATATACACTTACTGGCGCGAAAAACGGGCACCTTCAAATTTTGATGCATTTTAAAGGTTAATATACATGGTGGTCCGAACTGTATTCCGAAAACTTCGATAGCATATTCAAAAATAAGTAAAAAAGTTAATATAATATATATATAACTGGTATAAATGTATGTCCAAAAATGCTTAAATTCAGAGATACAGGGTGTAGAAGTTTCATTTTTAATTCGATTTTTTCCAAATAATTTTTGAAGTAACGTCAATATTTGGATGAAAATTGGTGTCTAGAGAATTTGTTGGCAGAAATTTGATTTTGATGTCATAATGACTCCTACTTGTAGAGGGCGCCACCTACATATTTTTAACTGGTTTGAAGAGTAATAACTTCTCGTCCGTACCTGCATAAAACAACTGAATGAAAAATTTGCATTTACGATATTTTTTACGTAAAAGTCTCTTGGTAAAAATCGCTACGAATAATGGTTTTCGAGATATATGGAATCGAAATTATCAATACCTGTCATCATTGACATAAATTAAATATGTTGTATTTAGTCAACAGTTGTAAAAAGACTGGAATAATAAATTTGAAATGTTATTGTGACAAAAGTCGTTAGTAGAAACTGTTTTGTCATCATTTTTTTGAAGAAAAATGTTTGATTAATTTAAAAAAAAAGTTCCCAAATTTATTATTTCAGTCAAATAACTATCTACTCAGCGTGTTTATTTTTTGTCAATAATGATATGTATTGACTATTTCCATTCTAAATACCTTAAGAACGGTTTCTCGTAGAGGTTATTAACAAGTAAACGAAAGGAAGAAGTAATAAAATGTATATTTTTTTCGCTCAATAGTTTTATACAGGTCCGGACGAAAAGTTATTACTCTTCAAAAGAGTTAAACCACTTGTAGATGGCGCCCCCTACAAATTAAAAATGAAAGTTTCCATCTGTCAATTATACGATGAAAAACAAAATGCTGATATTTTGGTGAAGGTTTGAAACACCCTGTGGAATATGTTAATAAAGCAAGGAATTTCAAAATAATTTTATCATCTAGGTACATCTCTTCTCGATAGTTTGTTTTTGGTTCATCTCAATAGCTTTATTTTTATTAAAGATGTTCGCTTTTGAAGAAGACAACAACGACTTACAGAATTTTTAGAATTAATGCATGCCTTTGTTTTTGGTCCCCGTCAACACACCTATGAAATAGTTTACTGTTTTCCTAATGTCACTGTCATTGAAAAGTCATATTATTACTGTTTGTTGAGATTTAAGCTTCATTCAGAACATCGCAATTAGTGGAATAAATTAATGGTTTCAATTATTACACTTTATACTTTTTAGTTTATGATCATTCATAATATTTAAAAACATAATTAAAATTAATAGAATATCCTAGCAACAGCTTGTGTTAGACAGTGGTATCCATGTTGTATCCATAGAGCCTAATATTTAGCTTATAAAACAACCAACTTTTGATTTCTAACCACAATTTCTCTTGACGGAAGATAATCAAAGGCCAAAATGACATTTCTCGCAAATTTTGAAGCTTAAAGCTTGATTTTCATGCATCCGTTGTCCGACGATACGTTGATACGATATTAATTTCATTGGTTGTATTTAAAGGCTTTTCTTTAAGCTTGATTTTTTTAAGCGATACGTTGATACGATATTAATTTTATTGGTAGAATTTAAAGACTTTGATTGGTTATAAAATAACGCAGTTTTTAAATTAATTGCATTTTCATACCTCCGTTTATCGGATATACGTTGGTGTCGTTTTATATTTTCGTGTCCATAACGATTTTGCTATTTTACTTATATTTTTATTAATGTTAGATTAAATTTGTCAAAAAAGTGTCAAAACGTCCGTTATCCGTATCTTTGAATAAGAAGACTAAGGAAGAGCATAATGCTATCCATGTATCCATGCATGGTGGGCGGAAAAAGCACTCTAGGGTGGGGATCCTTGACAGTTCTGTTTGACGATTCATTTGACACATTTGAATTTGATTTGAAATTTTGTGGATTTGTCAGTTTTTACGGAACTTATTTTATGTTATTTATTATTTATTCTACTACTGATAGTTGTATAAAGGTAGTAAATCTAGATGGAAATTGTGGCAGAACTTAAATTAACAGTGACACTATCGCGATTTATCGAAAAAGACTCTAAAATAGTTGGTTGTGTAGCGTGCAGTAGATCTCGGCAAAAATCGAATGAAATAATGGAACAACTTTTCGCTAGTAAGTGACTATATAATATACATACGTGTAGTAAACCGATCATTTATGAAATTCACTTAAATTAATTAATTATATATTTTTCTTGCATTTTTTTGCAAGTTTTTTACGTGTAACAATTTGAGTTTACCCCACGTTTACCCTACATCATAGTTTTATATTTTTTAAATAAAATTAGAACGGCACTGATAAACCGGAATTTAAGTCGGCCATATTTGAGGCCCATGGCGGTGGACCTAAGATTTTTGATATGCTTCTTCTTAGTCTTCTTATTCAAAGATCCGTATGAACGGGTCCGTCGACGGGCTGAAGTAAAATATTTACGAATGAAAAGTGGCACGAAAACGCTATGACCAATCAGAACACCGTCGAACCATCGTATCAACGTATAACGGATGCATGAAAATCAAGCTTAATTAGTGGAAAAGTTAAAAGTTTGATAACTTTTTCTACTAATTGAAAATGTCTACCACTAATTTTGACGTTCTCAATGCTTACATTGAAATTAAAGGAACAAACTTCTACGCTAATTGAAACTACTAATTTATTTTTATTCCACTAATTTCGAGGTTCTGAATGAAGCTTTACTCAAGCCGAGATGGTTTTAAGTTCGGAACTTCTATCCTATCCACTATTGTTGCATTAATTAAACATAGTAGAGATTAATTTCTGAACTTAAAACAGTCTCTGCTTGAAAAACTGCCCAACAGACAATAATACTATCATTTATCAATAACAGTAACATTACACAAATCATAAACACTATAGTCTGTCCAACGAGAAGATCCTTGACAGTGATAGTCTGTCATTTTAATTTCAAAGTAGTTTATTTTATTTTACAAAGAAATAAGTTGGTACATCTGGAACGCATAGCAGGAAATTAATATATGTATTTAAAATTTGACTGACAAGTAACTTCAAAATATTGTAAAAAAAACTGTATAAAACTGAAAAAATGTAATCGAGTTATTTTATTTAATAAAAAACGGTATGTGTTAATACAAAACAAACAAAAAGAAGACACCACATACCAAAAAATATAAAAAAGAACTATTTCTTACTTTCAAGCTTGATGAAACTTCCCGCATTTATGATTATATTTATCGATATAACTAATGTACAAATACAAATTTGTAATATTCTGCAGGAATAAATAAAACAACATAAATAAAACAAACTATTTTATTAATAATAAAACTTACCAAATTTTATACTTCACATTAATTAACTTTAATCTTAATTTTTTAAACCAGTACCTTTTGACATTATTTTTCTGCAGTACTAAAATCCATTATTTACCTATCGTGTGATGTCGATATTTTACAGCTACTCCAGTTTTTAGTATGGTCCTTCTACCATATTCGAGATGCACTTATCTACGACGAGATGGTATACGAACTTTATTGATAGTAACATTATTGGTATATCTGTATAAGACTTTCTGCCTGGGCAGCGAGTATTAACCATAAACTGTGGTCTGGGTTCTACAGTTAATTTTCACTCGATTTTTCCTCCACTTGACTTCAAAAGACACAAAACACGTAATAACACGAATCAAAATGCATCATCTTCCAAAACGCAGGGTATTTGTCAAAAGTTGTCACAAAATTATAACCTATAATTTGGCAAGACTTTGACAAACGTCAAAAATCTAAAGGCGAGTTCATACGCATCGGCGTCCGTTTGTCGTTTATCGTTCCGTCAAACCAATAAAATTGAAATACGATCTGTCATTTTTGAAATAAACCAATAAAACTGGTTAAAAACAAGTGACGACGCATGACGAATTTATATTTAAACCCATCCATAGTTAACTTAAAAATTATTAGAAACTTTTTTTAGTAAAATAAATAGATTGGTATGGGACGTCATCTGCTTTTCTTCTGTCATCGTCTGTCGAAATTTTACCTGAGAAAAAAAACAGAGTATATTTCATAGATCTGTTGACTGGGACCAAAAGCAAAGACATGGTTTTAATGTAGAAATTAGTAAAAAATGTTAGTGTCTTCTGCAAAAGCGAATATCTCCAAAAAAATAAAGTTATTGAGATAAACCAAATAACAAACTATCAAGAAAATATGCATCTAGATGATAAAGTGATTTTTGAATTCCTTGCTTTGTTAACATATTCCTCAGGATGCTTCAAACTTACACCAAAATATGAACATATTATTTTCCCTCATGTAATTGACAGATGAGAACTTTCATTTTTAATTTAGAAAGAGATACTAAAAAGTCAAATAATTTAGCTACAAATTGCTTAAACAACCATCAAAATCGATTCACTAGAACACAATATATAAAACTTTAAAATACATCAAAATTGTAAGGTGCCCGTTTTTCGTACCGGTGAGTGTATTAATAATTAAAAAAATATACTGGCCTTCTAGTCTGTCTAATAATTTAAAATTTAAATTATGAAAATATGTGTATCAATATTTACTTATTTACTATTTCAGAAATATTAATACAACAACATAATAATTGAAACACTACTATAGAAAGTTACAAAGAAAACATTTAATACTCAGATGCAAAAAAAACATATAAAATATAAAGTGTTATATTTTTGTTATTTTTAGCCCTATTTTCATGAATTTTTTAGCAAACTATATATGTATGATTATATCAACTTTTATTCTTAAACTAAGTTTTTTTTTAACTTTAGTATTTGGCATATTATACAGAGTTAATCGGTTTTTTTTTACTCTAAAACACCCTGTGCAATAATTTCGTGTGTAAATTTTCCTAAAATATAATTTTTCGGTCAGAACCATGACTCCTGAGCATTTTGATTTTTGCTTAATGTCAATACATGCTTTGGTTAATTTTTTAAGCCCCGTTCTCAGAACGACATCGTGTCGCTGGCGACACAGTTTGACGTTTCAAACAACCAACGGGAGCTGTACTAAATTTAAAATTGACAGCTGTTCTTTCTTTTGATGTGTCTCTCACTCGCGCTGTTCTGAGAACGGGGATTAAGAACGAAATGAACTGATGGCGGTATTTTACAATTTTTTCAATTATTTATCATTACTTTTTGATGTAATTTTTTAATATGACGAGATGGTTTTGGTGACTACTGTCGTAACGTCATATTACGCTGCATTGGATACTCTATACTAAATTAAAAAAGCGTTAAAGATTAACGATACAGTCCTGTTTTTAATAAACATTAATAACGATAACAGAACTAACGATATTAAAGAATACATCTGTAATACCCAAGTATACAAACAGAAAAAAAAATGTAAAAAATACCCCAATACTTTGTGTTGTCTCCCTTGACTGCTATAACTGCCTTATGCTTTCCCATTCTTCTTTAAGAATCAAGCGAAGTTCATTTAATGAAGCTGGCAACGCTTCGCGACCTCTAACCCTCCTACCAAACATTTAGCAAACAGCGTATATGATGGGCAGTTAATAATAATAGCTCCCGTTAGTAGCTCGGGAGTAGCAAGGTACACAGCTTGCCATACTAGAGCCGTTCGGTATACAAGGAAGGTAATGTGGCTAGCACTACGTTACAACCGCCTATTATTACCTCAGGATTGTGAATCCCAAGTAGGTACTCATTCAAGGCTGAGTCGACCTAGGTACCCAAACTATTTTTATTTTAATAAAAATAGTCCGCTGATGAAATGCCGGGTGTAGGATTCGAACCCACAACCTTGATTGGTAGACGAGAGCTTGTACCTCTACGCCACCAGGCACCATCATAATGGGCCATTCATAATAATATATAGTTCACAATAATCACCAAAGCCGGCTTGTCATATTAAAAAATAACTTTAAAAAGAAATGATAATTGAAAAAATTGTAAATTGTTGGTGGCAAGTTCATTTCGCTCTTAAAAATTAACCAAAGCATGTATTGATATGATCCAAAAAATAAAATGCTTAGGAGACATGATTCTGACCGTAAATTTATATTATAAGAAAATTTACACACGAAATTATTGCACAGGGCGTTTTAGAGTTAGGATAAAAAAATCCCTTTGATTAACCCTCAAATACTAAAGTTTATAAAAAGCTGAGTTTACGAATTAAAGTTGATATAATTATATACAGCTTGCTAAAAAAATCATGAAAATAGAGCTAAAAATAACAATGTAATACTTTAAATTTGACCAAAAATTTCTTCGTTGCGTTTTTTTTGCATCTGAATGTATAATAATTATGTTTCTAAATTCTAAATTTTAAATTACATATATTACATTTACAGGTTTATGTAACAATCCAAGAATCGAGAAACTCCTAGCAGAGAATAGCAAGGAAGTGGCAACTAAACCGACAGAATCCATCGCAAGAAATCGTTGTGACGATTGTAACACCGTCATGGATATTGTAGTAGACAAATTCAATGGTTTAAATGAAAATGAATTCTTAAATTATTTATTAGAGGTTTGTATAAATATATCCCGATTTCAGATTCTGTGTTGATTGTGTCAAGAAAAGATAGTAATTAGCAGTAATTTAAAATACAGTTTAATAGATTATTTGATTTTATTGATTTAAGATAACACATTGTTTTTTACATTCCAATTATGAATCATTTTCGCAAATATCGCATTTTTTGCAAAATCATCATAGATTTAAATTTCTTATACTGAGCGAGTTTCAGTGGTCCTGTTCCAATGGAATCATTTGTATAGAAAATTAGAATTTTTATTTTTTTAGGTTAGGAAACATAATTGAATTATTATTTATAATATAATAATAATAGCTCCCGTATATAGCGTTTAACGCCTTGAGAGTAGCAAGGTACAGCTTGCTATACTAGAGCCGTTCGGTATACAAGGAAGGTAATGTGGCTAGCACTACGCTTCAACCGCCTATTATTACCTCAGGATTGTGAATCATAACAATACATTTTACATTTCTTCTATATGGTATTGCCAGATTTTGCATCAAAATTTCAAACCGCACAAGTAGGCGTTTGCATCTAGAGTTGGAGCTTTATTTTTCAGTATTAGTTACTCATTTTACTACAGCTGTAATAGATTATATTTAGCTTAAATATATTATTTTCACTTCAGTAGTATACATGAAAATTTTTAAAATAGCTTATATTTTTCTACACACATTTTCCTACAAACGTAAAAAAAACGGCAACACTGTATGTCGCTTTTGATTTTCTCTCTGTCTGTCAACTGGTCATTTATATAATTCTGTCAGACGCATTAAAATCCAGACCACATCGTTTGGATGACCAGCAGGGTATACAGATTGTTAACTGGACGGTTTAGAATGAATTAGAATTTAGAATGAGTGGGAGGGGGGTTAATCACTTCGACCTTACAGATCCATTGTGTCCCCCTTTCTTGAATCATAACTCATCATACAGTCCCAGGGCTTTGACAAAAGCCAGTATCTGGGACGGTTTTATAGAGGGTAGTTCTCCATCTCCAATATCAGTCGTACCAAAATTCATGGCACGAATGGTTGTCGTCTCGGCGCACTCAGTGATGAGGTGTACTGGTGTTTCACCATCTTCCCCACAGAATCTGCATTCGCCGTTTCTTCTTAGTTTCAATCTACTGAGGTGTTCATTGAGGAGACAGTGTCCTGTTAAAAACCCCGTGACAATCCGAAGATTGTTCTTACTCAGACCCAGGAAGATCTGTGATTTTTCTTGATCATAAGCCCTCAGAAACTTCTTCGAGTGTCCTAGACCATTGCAAGATTTCCATTCCAGGTTGCGGATGGAATCTTCCAAGTTCTTGAGTTCCGCCTTGAGTTGGTTACCACTTGGAAAGCAGAACGGTTCTGGTCCAGTTAGTGGAGTGTTCGTAACTGGACGGTTACTTATTGGGGAACAGAATGGGAACACTGCCTGCATTCCAAATTAGTACTAAACTAAGCTGCCGACTCGTAGCGTCGCGTCATCTCTTGACGAGCGGGCCGAGGTTGCCATATTTTAACCATAAAGCTCTTGCCGCGAGTAATAAACAAATTAACAACCTGTATAGGGACTTTTAATTCAAATGTAGATTTATTTTTGTCATTTCTTTGTGTCCGACAAAATCATATGTTTTCTCCCTACATGGGATTGTAGGACATAGACTAGTTTGCATAAATAATAAAATTATTATGAAGTGTTTAAAGCAAACTCTAAAAAGTTTAAAACCTTTTGTTATGATACACTGTTGTAAAAAGAATTTGAAGTTGAATTCAAATATCCCAAAAATATACAGAATGGTGGAAATTACATATTTTATAAAAAAAATTAAAATGTATATTTTTATTTTCACAGATGTGCGGTAAATTGAGCAGTTATTCAGATTCCTGCAGCAACATTATTGTTAAATATTTCGCCGATATTTACGCATTCCTTAGATCAAGACTTAACGCCAATGATGTCTGTTTACTCTCTGGAGAATGTTACGTCAATTTCCATAAGCATGATGTAGAAATTACACCTATGTCAAAGATAGGTTATGTAAAACCTGAGTAAGTATATTTTTAAATATTTTTGAGTAATAAATAAGGCATTTTTAAAATAATATTACATTGGTATAGAAATCAGAAAAGTTAGCTTCAACAAAAATTTATTTTAGTAAAATTTACTTATTTTTTAGCTGTATTGTAACTTAAATCTTTTTATTCAGTAACTATCTGCGTTTCCTGATATTTTGTGTACCAAAAAGTGTACAACAGAATACGATTTTTTCATTATCGACTTATTGAAAAAAAGGTTATGCGGAATTTCTTTATAATTCAAACCCTCTCTTCAAAAACCCTTTACAGTATATGGGGTTAGGTGAGAAAATATTGAAAAAAAAATTGAACAAAAAAGTTGTTCAGAATTTGACTTTATGCAAGTATATTTTTTATATTTTCTTCAGATTTTCTAAATATCTTTATTTCTTACTCTAGAATCACATAAAACGTAGTGAATCTAACAAGAATAGTTTTTATTGCAATATATTTTTTTACAAATACCTTAGTAAGTTTCTTTTGTTCTTTCAGAAACAAGGACGATTTACCTTGTGAATTATGTGAACAACTCGTTAAACACCTTCGAGATATTCTAATTGCCAACACTACCGAAACGGAATTCAAGGAAGTATTGCAGGGTCTCTGTAAACAAACTCATGGTTTCAAAGATCAGTGTCTCAGCATTGTCAATGAGTATTACGGACTGATTTACAACTATCTGGTAGATTCATTAAATGCAACAGAAACTTGCAATCTGATTGGAATTTGTCCTTCAAGCCAGAAAGTAAGGTTTAATTAATTTTAAAAAAATGTTTTTGGTAATCTAAATTAATACTAACTGATATCAAATGGTACTCGTACAAAGAGTATTTACATAAAATTCTATATAAATGGAATTTTTTATTATCAAATTATAGAAAAAAGTTTATGTAGAATCAGTAAAACATCAGGTTCCATAACAAAAAATCATTTTGACGTATTGTGTGTGACAGCAGTCAAATTTCAAAAAATGCCAAATATATAAAAAGTGGGGTTAGATGATGATATATCACAACGACTAAAGAATACAAGGACATGTAACGGCCATATACGGGCTGCAGCAAAATTTGTGACCTTTAGACGCCATTTTTTTGGACATAACGGATGAATCATAAGCTGTTCATCAGCGATAATTTAGCGATTTTTAATAGTTGGTTGTGTGTAGTGAACTTTGTATAAGCTTTATTACATTGGTAATTTTTTCATCTTTCAAGTGTAAAAGGCGCAATGATAAGAAAGATCCAGGAGTTACGTTTTATAGGGAAATAAACAGTCCACTACACCTTTTTAGCGTTTTTTTTATTGAATTCGATAATTATTTTTCTAATATATGTACTTGATATGTGCTATACGTCGATATACTAGTTTTGTACCTTTTGTTTACATTTTAATACGTTTTTTTCGTAATTAATTAGTATGATACCACAGGGCACACCAGAGGCGTAGTGAAAATATTTACCAAAAATATAAATATCGCTTCAATCGGCTATGTTAAGAAAAATATGTGCCACGGCACTGTTTGGAAGAATGGTCACAGTTTGGTTTCGGTTGCTATTTGTCCTTGTATTCTTTAGTCATTGATATATCACAAGGTTTGAAATGCAAGATAAAATTTAGTCATAATTTAATTTTGCCCTTGTACTATCTTTCGAAAATATCCAAAGACAGTTTCATAAAACAAAGCAAATCTAACTTTAACTACTTCTTACTTTCTTACTCTAGTGGTTATGAGTACATCCTTATCTTTAATATACGTATTTAAAAGTGTACACTATGATAATTAAAAATTTACCAAGTAAGTGAGGAGGTATAACTAACTGCATAATTTGTGGCATCGTGTAGTTCAACAAAAGATATAAAAAATATACATTTTATTGTCACTCACTGAATTTTCAGTTTAAAATGTGTATTTTTTAAGATTCAACTTTCTATACAGTTGTATTAAGTTGTAATAATCTAATATTAATTTTAGAAACCACATATCATTGCCCCTCTACTGTTCGATGATCAAGCAGCAACAGCTATAAAACTGAAGGCACAGTCTGACCATGTATATATTCCTGAGAAGGATGTTGTTATAAAGGTATTTTTTATATTATTTGATACTATATAATTATATTATTGGTATTGAAGCATATTAGGAGATTTTAGAACGCGCTTTATAGAAAATTTTTATATATCCTATTATTTATGACAAATTTTGGACTACATATTGACAATAATCAGTATACTCTTTCTACATATCTGTTTGCAATAATAAAAATATTTTAATGTGATCATTTTTCCCAATATGGTGTAACACAATTCTTTAAAACAATTCAAATTCGTATATTAATATACAAAAAAATAAGTAGTTTGTACATCCTTCAATGATATGTCATCGTTATTTTTCTAATGTTCATTTAAAGGTGGGTTTATCCGGTGTCCCGCCACTTCAATCATGTTCAAGTATGATCTGTCATTTTTATTATTAAACCAATAAAATTGCATAAAAACGAGGGACAACGCATTACGAATGCATGTAAACCCACGTTAAGATGTGTCAGTTTAGTTCGTCTGTCATCAATTCATATTGCATACCAAATTTCATGTAAAGTTTGTCTAGAGTATGCAGTAATTTCCGAAATATTATAATCTATAATCTATTTCATCCTGTTTTCACTTGAAATAGAGAGTACGACAATATATTTGACATTAGCTCAAACGAGAGTTGTATAAACTATATGATGGAAAAATTATATCATGCATATTTTTAGGTAATTAAACCCACTCAAGAATTAACCATTGGAACACCTGAGCAGATGCAATTACCCATTGATTTACTCACTCCAGGCCGAAATGTATACAGCGAACAACTTTGCATGTTCTGCCAGTATTTCCTTCATTTTGTTCAGCAAGCTATAAGTAGTCCATCAGCTGAGGTAGGCATATTTTCTTATTAATTTAATTGTAGTTTATAGGTACTGAACTTTTAAGAATTTAAAGCCATATAATTCTTGTTTAATCCGAAAAAAACCTCGCCACAGTAACCTTTCAAATGAAAGTCAATAATTTATGTTGGACCGACACACAGTGTTGCGGCCCATAGACAAAAATACGAAAATCCAAATTAAAATTCGAATTTAGTAGCAGATTGTTTATTTGTAGCAGATTGCATTTATATAAGTTTTATTTTGCTATGTTTGCTGTTAGTTAAGGTAAGTGTATTAAAAATAGATAACGGAAAACGTATGAGTTCGTCACCCTAAATTTACAAAAAATGTAAACCTATCGTAGCTCACAAAGTATAAAATAAAAGTATCAAACTTTAATTAAGCTTTAACAAAAAACGTAAAAAACTGTATCGAACAGATTTTGTATATAAGTAGCCTTATATTTGGACATTATAAATCTGTGATCCGTTGCTGCTACTAACATGCACTTTTTGAGTTTTTTTTCTTTTTTTAAGCATAATTTTAAAACATTTTTTTAACGCAATACGAAGTATCTAGAAAACGAAGCAAGTTAGGACAAACGATTGTATGAAATATTTTTCATAGTATTCTCGTGAAAACGCCCTTAAAATCTGTGTACTCAGTTTTGAATCCCCCTGTATTTTTTTAGTTTTATGTTAGTTTTATTTATGTTATTATTATTTTTGTAAATCTTAAGTTTTATTTAAAATTTATTCATTGCGATATTATAAAAAATGTTTGTTTATTTATATTTTGTGTCAAAATGAATAATTAAAAAGACTGATGCAAAAGCTCTAGGATTTTTGTCCAAAATGACCATTTTCGCAACACTGTGCGACACCTATATGTCAGTTATTCAGAAATGACATTAAAATTTAATGGGGAACAACATATTTTCATAACTCTATTGTTTTTGTTTCCAGGCTGACATCAAGAGAGTCATTGACGGTGCCTGCTCCAAATTGCCCAAATCCGTTAACGAAACATGTTACGAATTCGTCAACACCTACGAACCTGCCATGGTCGCCATTTTGGCGCAAGAGATTGACCCTTCGCAGGTGTGCCCAATGCTCAGAGCTTGCCCATCGGACAAAGTTAAAGACGTCGACGTGTTCATGAACGCCAAATCGTCTGACAAATGTCCCTTCTGCCTGGCCATAGTTACTGAAATTGAATCGTTAGCCAAAGGCAAAACCAGCAAGGTAAGAATAATTATATGCAGTAAAATTTGGTACTGTTTTTTGGTACCTTTAACTTAATTTTATCAATTTGTCGCTTGTTACGCACCGATTTTGGTAGGGGAAACATAACTGAGGCTATTTCAGTTATATTTTCTTAAAGGTATATAATTATAATTTTAGAAGATGCTCATAAAAATTTAAGCACTAGTTGATTAAAACAAGTATACCATTAATATTGTAAATTATAATTTATCCTCTCATAGTATATGCCTATTTTTTGATTATGTAATGTGCACTTTGTTTACTCACTTGTTTTGTCAAGCTGCTCCTGTCCGTTTTTGCTTTTAATCAAATCAGTGTGAAGCTATAAAATGTTGTTTCGGGAGAGTTGAATATCCGGGAAAGTTGAGTTATTGAATGTTATTGCATCCAACAACCATGTAATTACGCCCTCCTTTATGTTTTAACAATGTTAGTAACATTTGAAATTGTAACAACTTACAATCTTTCCGAGACCGTGCTACAAAAAGTTACGTTTCAGGCCGTGTGGGGTAACTCTGATACCCCACCGAAATATTTCAAAAATTATTAACATTTTGTCACTAAGGTAAATTATTAATAATTATTTGTAAAGTTTTATAATAAAACGTCAATAATTTAAATAGTTTGTATTTGTTTAATATAAAAAACATTTAATTTTAAAACTAAACTGTTACTAATTTTCTACACATTATTTTGGTAGTCAGGGCATTACAACGTTTTACATGCTTTGCGGTAAATATTAAAAATGTTTTTTTTTGCATGTAAAACATAATATTTTTGTTTTTCTGTTACATGATCTGGCGCGAAAGCCGCATCTTTGGTTTGAATGTCTTTAGCAGCATTTATGCTTTGAATAAGAAGACTAAGGAAGGAGCATAATGCTATCCATGTATTCATGCATGGTGGGCGGAAAAAGCTCTCTAGGGTGGGGATCCTTGACAGTTCTGTTTGACGATTCATTTGACACATTTGAATTTGATTTGAAATTTTGTGGATTTGTCAGTCTTTACGGAGCTTATTTTATGTTATTTATTATTTATTCTACTACTAATAGTTGTATAAAGGTAGTAAATCTAGATGGAAATTGTGGCAGAACTTAAATTAACAGTGACATTATCGCGATTTATCGAAAAAAACTCTAAAATAGTTGGTTGTGTAGCGTGCGGTAGATCTCGGCAAAAATTGAGTGAAATAATGGAACAACTTTTCGCTAGTAAGTGACTGTATAATATACATACATGTAGTAAACCGATCATTTATGAAATTCACTTAAATTAACGAAATTATATATTTTCTTGCATTTTAGCTTTTATTTTACTACTTGTCAAAGATCAGATGTCAAAGAATTTTGATACGTTAATTTGACTTACCTGCTTCAGTAGCGTATCGGATGTTTGTGTTAATAAATACTTATTATAACTTATCTATTTTTATTAGAATTATATATTTTTATAACAATTTTAATAACTAGAGTAAACGCCACGAATGTTTGGCAGTGATTCATCGCTTGATGAAGTTTGAATCGATACGCGCGCTATCATTTTTACATTAACAACGTAAATTTTTACCGCAGACGTAGGTTTTTAAAGACCTGGTCTAATCATCTGCCTGCGCTCCTCCTACTTATTCTAAAATGTTAGCGCGATTGACAAAGACGATACTATATCGCGTTTCTTTGATTGATTCGTTTTTGTGCGTCAGTCCATTGGTGTGCTTGCAGTGCGACAAATGGGGCATTCCATTTTATATTTATAACCAAATATATGTTTTGACAAGACTTTGACAGTTACAACAAGAAATTACAACAGATTATATATTGATTATTATATGACTTGAAAGACCACGGCACTGGAATTAAGTTTTATGTGACCTTGAACAGATTAGTTCACATGGTAGCGACCGATGAATCACTCCCAAACATTCGTGGCGTTTACTATACCAACATTTATTCACAACGTAAAATAAAATAACAAATTATTGAGTCTACCCCACGTCTACCCTACATCATAGTTTTGTATTTTTTAAATAAAATTAGAACGGCACTGATAAACCGGAATTTAAGTCGGCCATATTTGAGGCCCATCGCGGTGTACCTAAGATTTTTGATATGCTCCTTCCTTAGTCTTCTTATTCAAAGCATTTATGGGAACTGTGGCATTGCTTTCGACAAGAAATAAATCTATTGCTGTTTTTACAGTTTTGTGAAAATTGTTACTATTTTATTTCCTTCTTAGAACGTTTAGAAGTACAAGTCCTTGTGCTCGAGGATTATTCTTCGTGCGTAAAATTCAAAGCAAATTCGTCAGGAATCTTTTTTTTTGTTAGCCCGTCATCAATATATTTCTATTGCGCCATTTTCCCAATAAATACACACACTAAATTACTACAGCACAGTAAATACCAACACTAAACTAGATAAAGAACTTGTTTACGTCTCCATACAAAGTCACCAACACGAAAAAACATGAATTGTGCGTGTAGGATTTCGAATCACTGCAGGCCGTGCGGGGTAACGGCGGTACCCTAGACAGTAAATTTCAGTTTTTCGCGGAAAATAAAAAAAAATATTTGGATATTTTTGTTAAAAAAGGGTTTTGTAGTATATTTTCTAGGATTACCTGAAATAAAGTGAGACATAAATATATATATATATATATATATATATATATATATATATATATATATATATATATATATATATATATATATATATATATATATATATATATATATATATATATATATATATATATATATATAATTGTGAAAGTTATTAAAGAAAAAACGCATCTGTGGTACCTAAAATGCCCCGCACGGTCCCAGAAAGGTTAAAGCGAAGCCCAGTTTGTGTTCTTTTTCACTTAATTTGTACTACCCGAAACAGCGTTGCATCGCACAAACTTCGTACCTGAGTGTTTTATGGTTTCAATAACTGCACTATTAAAAACTAAAATAGTTAAATATTATGACAAAGCCACGATTGTAATATCATTTCAATATGATCAACATAGGAACTGCGTGAAATACAGAGCTAAAACTTCTGATTTCTGCCGTATAGAGCGCTGCGGTCGGAATTTTCAAAATCAACTGAAATGCACCAAGCCTATAACCGTTTCTGAAATATTGACATTTAAATAAATATTTTTTTTGACCTGCTGCAGAATTCAAACAGTACAACATAGTAGTACGAGAGCTAGCAACGTCGGAAAAACACGTATTTTAAGACGTCTGGCTCTTTGATATATCTTTTACTATGCTCTCTAGAACAGCATGCGGCCCGTCTTGCTGCCGGTAAACGTTGCGTTCCCTACTGCGCATTGAAAGAAGATCCTATATTTTTATTAGCCCTTTAAATTCTAGTATTGAATATAAATCGAACATGTCTCCATAGCGCAGTGCGTATAGTTTCCGACCACAAACCGATGATTCAGAGTTCGAATCCGGGTCAGGGCAAAGACTTTTTTATTTTATTTTTGTTTATATTCTGATAGTAAAATATTAAATATTTGTTTTTTTTAATTACCAGAATTATTTAATACTTTACTATCAGAATATAAAATAAAATAAAAAATTCTTTGCCCTGACCCGGATTCGAACCCTGAATCATCGGTTCGTGGTCGGAAACTCTACGCACTGCGCTATGGAGACATGTTCGATTTATATTCAACACTGGAATTTATAGGACTAAATTAATAAAAAATATAGGATCTTCTTCCGATGCGCAGTAGTGAACGCAACGGGTATCGGCAGCCAGACGGGCCGCATGCTGTTCCAGAGAGCATAGTAAAAGATATATCAAAGAGCCAGACGTCTTAAAATACGTTCTCGAAAACGTTGCTAGCTCTTAGACTATAGAGCATCCTTCCTATCTTAGTTTTTTGTAAGCTATCAAATGACACTTACTTTATAGTTAACCAAGAGTTAAAAATTCCATTTAACCTCAGATTAAATTTAATAACAATATCCCATATTGTTTTTCCAATTTAATGTCAGAATAATAATAAACCAAATGTAGAGATAAAAATTATTTATATTATACACCATTTTAGGTGTGCACGTGTAGGAAAAAGATGTATTATTAGATTAGGAAAATTAACAATTTTATTTATTATTGTTAAATCAAATTTGAAGTTGTATTTTAATCGAAGATATGTTCTATGAGAGAATAGTCTTAAAGGTATTATATTATTATGTATTTTTTATATAAAATACATTTCTATACACATTACTACAGTATACAAAGTTATAAAAGACCAAAGCACCAATAAAATGACGTGCAAAAAACTAGCTGAAAAACGTAATCCCTATTTTTTTTGTTCTTTAATATTTTTGTAACTACATCCAAACAACTATAAAATGTCATATATTTGCATATATTACACTTTGTTTTTTCTATGTAACTATTTCAGGCTGAAATTAAAGCTGCATTGGACAAGGCCTGCAACCATTTACCTGGTAACCTTAAAGGCGAGTGCACAGATTTTATCGACACGTACACCGACGAACTGGTTGAGATGATCATAGCTGACTTTAAACCCGCCGAAGTCTGTGAATATTTGAAATTCTGCAACGACACCACACCTGCTTCGGATTATAAATCGCCCGAAGTTGTCGTTTATGGAGGAGATACAGGTAAGAACAACATTTAACACCAAAAAATCATCATTTTCAGCTTATTCAACCATTACCAATTATGGTATAGTCTCCCTTTGTAATTGCGTCCATTGTTGTCTATTGTTGGCTATGCTGACCCAAGTCAAAAACGGTAAACTAATAGTATTGCTCATCCTCATAAGACCTACGTTCGCCTCTTCCCGCGCTTCAGCTGACAGTTGTGACGTCATTGTAGTCCTTGTCATGACAGTGTGTATTATTGGTTACCTATAGTAAACTAATAAAAATAGCAGCTGAGAAATTTTGAGTTAATTATTTTGTCGATTTTAAATGTGAAAAAGGTGTTTTTAAGGTTTTTAGAGCTATAGAGTTTATAAATACGTTCATTTTGTGTTGTGGATTGTGACTAAGTGCCTACGATATTGTTTATTAATTATTTTAAAGCAAAATATGTAAGTACTCTAAAAAGAATGCCTGCAAAAGGTGATACTGGGGACTGCTGTTCTTAAAAATGCATTATGCGAATATTTAATACGATTTATATAGTTAATTTTCTATACTGCATACATATAAGGGGTTTAAATAAATAAACTAAATAATGAATGTTTTGCATACCAATAATACACACACTGTCACGACAAGGATTACAATGACGTCACAAAGCGAAGAGTTTTTGCATGCATCTGGCAGACACTTTCGGCTGAATGAGCAGTCCTATTAGGTTAACAACTGTTCTTGGGCCCAAGTTATTCCTGCTAATTTCCTAATATCATGGTCCCATCTCAGTTTTGGTTTTCTTCTAGATCTCTTAACTCCTTTGTTGTAATTTTTGTGGTCCATCTGTTGTCCGTCCTTCTTGCCTGGTTTCCTGCCCATATTGCCACTTGAGGGATTTGATTCTGCTGATGACATCTATTACCTGTTTTTTTTTGTCGTATCCGCTCTGTTCTTTTACGGTCTTTTTTGTTCATTCCCAGCATATTTCGTTCCATTGAGCGTTGAGCGACCTGCAGTTTCCTTATAATATTCATTTTAAGTGTCCAGGTTTTGCATGCATAGGTTATGACTGGTAGTACACATTGGTCGAATGTTTTCTTCTTGTGTGGCGTATTAGATTTGAATAAGATTGAGTTTCTTCCATAAGTACTCTATGCTAACTTAGCTTTAAAAATGTCTCTCTATTGTGAGGTCGGGTATGGTTTGTGGAAAATAATCATAAACAAAGATGATCCTCGATGATGCGGTAATGTTTCTCCTTTTGTCTCCTTATGAGTACTTAAGCTTTAATCAGAACCTCAAAATTAGTGGACTAAACTAGTGGTTTCAATTGGCGTAGAAGTTTTTTCCTGTAATTTCAATTAATCAAGCACATAAGCTTCTTTCAGAACATCGCAATTAGTGGTTTCAATTAGCGTAGAAGTTTGTTCCTTTAATATCAATGTAAGCATTCAGAACGTCAAAATTAGTGGTAGACAATTTCAATTAGTAGAAAAAGTTATCAAACTTTTAACTTTTCCACTAATTATACTTCAATATTTGCGAGAAATGTTATTAAGGCCTTTGATTATCTTCCGTCAAGAGAAATTGTGGTTAGAAATCAAAAGTTGATTGATTTATAAGCTAAATATTAGGCTTTCTCTATGGATACAACTGACTAGCGCAAGATTTTGCTAGGATATTCTATTAATTTTAATTGTGTTTTTAAACATTGTGAATGATCGTAAACTAAAAAGTATAAAGTGTAATTGAAACCACTAATTTATTCCACTAATTGCGAGGTTCTGAATGAAGCTTTAGAACGTCAAAATTAGTGGTAGTCATTGTCAATTAGTATCATTGTCGTAGTTGTTAGCAAACCTTTTAACTTATTCCACCATTATCATACCTATCTAACCCTAAACTCTTAAGCGTCATTCAGGACTTCAAAATTAGTGCAATAAATTAGTGAATTCAACTATGCTTTATACCCTTGTTTATATATTCTTAAAGTTGGTCAACCTCTCGACAAAATGTGCTGCCTCTGGTGAACAAATCGTAAAGCTTTAAAAGAATGAAGCATGTGATTAGGGGCGGAGTCAAAAATATCGATTATTTGCGGTATTTCCCTCAGAGTAATGTAATAATATAGCTCGGATTTTTGCGAACTATAATAGGGCTCAGCTGTTAAGAAATTTAAACAAAACTATTATTTCATTGTTGATTTTCGATTATTTTTGCTGTTATTTTAAGGATTCTAAACCGTATTTAACAAAGAAATAACAATTTTCAATATGTTAGTACATTAATGCTAATTACTGGTAATTATTAATATTTAAAAAAGTTACATACACTTACTTTATTTTTCCATTTGACCCAGGGCTATAAAATTTTATTTCATTCTTCAATCATTTTATTCTAAATTGAGGTTTTACGAATTTAAGATAATTTTTTTTTGAAAACAAAACGTTTATACAATTTTTTTCTTAATTAAAAATAAAACTTGGCACTTGTTTCAATAATATTATTTGACATTTAAATAAATATTATGTACTTAATACACCATTTAAATCTTTATTTAACATGGTCAGAGTCAAGTTTGCTTTAACTTTGTACCATATGAAAAAAAAACGGCGTCCAGTTGGCAGGGAAACGACGATCGACGACATTTCCCACATAAATTTACATATAAAATGACAGCAATCTTCATTTCATAGCCATCGCTGACGCCGTTTATTTTCGATCAAGAATTATAAAAACTGAAAATATCATTATGTTTTAACTCACAAAGCCCGTTAAACCATAAAACTTTCTAGTATATTGTTTTATTAGGAGTAAAAATGACACTTTTCGTGGCGAGACTGTAGGTTTGACATACAGCCGAAGCACAAAAGTCATTTTTACTCCGAATAGAACATGCTATTTTTTTTCAAACGCCACAAATAATGTTTTAAACAATTTCAAACGTTCCAAATAATATAAAATATTTAAAACTCATACCTTGTACGTAATTATCATGATACAAAAAAAAAAGGTATGATATTGCCAGGTTGGTCACCACGTCACAGGTGATAAACGGCAATATTGGTCGGCAAGCTCCACGCGCCAATTTCAAATTTTCAAACAGATGACACATAATAAATGTGTATAATGTGTCATAACTTTTCAAATGTCCAGCTCGATGATTTTACATAACTTTAGGGGTTATTTAATTCTTCCCTATTTTAGGTCTTTTTTTATTAGTGGCAATTGAACAATACGGATATTTTGTTGTATGGCATATGACGTCACAGGCGATATGCGCAAACTGAACGAAATTGGAGACGCTATCGACCATACCTTGTTTTCAAGTTTTCTTTGTACCATGAGTAATTATATATCGAGAAACTATGGTTACGGCTCGTTGAATTTGAGACTTATGTCATTTTAATAATATATTTTCATACTTTTATGCTTAGGCGTAAAGTGCTTTACTTTTATGCCTAGGCGTTAAAATGACTTTTTTATATTGTCAATCACGTCGCAAAAATTAATACTTTTGTGACGTTTGAAAAAAAAATAATATTTTGAAACTAACTGGTATATTTTTCTGCCACAACAAAGTTATTATACAGTGATAAATGATAAGATCATATTGAAATACGCTACTGGGTAAAAAAAATTGGCTAAATTTTATCAATAATACTCCATTTCAAAAGTTATTTTCCAAAATAATTAATATTTTTTAATAATTGATTGCAATTAATATTATTTGACTAGTTTAATTTGATTAATTAATAAGACTAGATTAATTTCATTTAAAATAAATTTGATCAGATTTTTTTCGTATATTCAACTACCAGAAAAGTAGAAGGAAGATTATAATGTATCTATCACAATATTTAAAAGAACTACTACAATAATTATTAGAAGAAAAACAAAAAGAAAAAAATACCCAAATACCTTCACCTTCTACTCAACTACAAAATAAATGAATATAATCTCTTACAAGAACACTACACAAACTACTTCTTGTATTCTACACTAAACAAATTATCAAACTTATTAATTAATCAAACATAAAGAAAAATTAACCAAATTACCCCTTCACCTACTACTTAACTTCAAAATAAAATATAAAAACACTACTAAATTTCTTCTGGTAGTCTACACTAAACATTATAATCAAACTTAATAAATTAATCTAATTTTACATTACAACTACAAAGAAACAAGAAAATATTTTAAAACTACAAGAAATAAAACTTCGATACGTGCGACCAGTATAATAGATCAAGCGGACAAAGAATATAAAATACTTTAAAATGTGCATTCAGAAAGAAAAAATATCTCGAAAATTATCTAAACAAACATTTTTTTTTCTTATCAGTGAAAAACATCGACCTCGTCGGCCTTGCGGAATTTGTCGGGTATTTACAATGGTCGAATTGTATAATTACCAGCTTTTATAGCATATCTAATAGACAAAAAGTATCTGGTCGATTAGTAACCAATTGGCACAGTCCGAAAATTATCGATTTTTATTTTCTCTAGTAAAAGACTGTGAAATACGCCCCGCCATCTGGTGCTTTACATCCATAAACGTCTTAGGTTGAGCTACTTTAAAAATTCATATACCAGGTTTATACTTAAGAGTTTACGATCATTCACAGAATTAAAAAAATATAATTAGAATTAATAGAATATCCTACCAACAGCCTGCCTATCTTACCTAGTCAATAATTGTATCCATAGAGTAAGCCTAAAGGTGAGTTTATATGCATCCGTAATGGTCATCCGTGGATCCGTCACTCCCCATCATATTGAAGTATGAACTGTATTTTTTTAAATAAACCACTAAAATTGCATCAAATCAACGACGGACGGAAAAGTTAAAAGTTTTTAAATTTTTCTGATTGAAAATCACTACTATTAATTTTGATACTTTGAATGCTTACATTGAAAGCAAGCATTACCTATTTTTTTCTCTAATTTAGAGGTTCTGAATTAAGCTTTATATACTAGAAAATAGGTACTTTTTAGTGTAGTGACACAACAATTCACTATTGATCAGTACTGTATTTAACTTTATATTGTTTGTTTTTCACAGAAACAAATGCTATTTTTGATGACACATTTAATGGAAAGCCTATCGAACATCTTGGCGATGAAACATGCGTTTTATGCGAATTTATCATGAAGGAACTGGAAAACGAATTGAAAGATAAGAAAACTGACGTTAGTAACCTATATTTGTTTTTAGTAATAAGAATTAACATTATTTTATATTGTTCTCTTTAGGACGAAATCAAATCTGTTGTGCATAGCATCTGCAAAGTGCTGCCTCAGTCAATCAGGTCCCAGTGTGATAATTTCGTGGACCAGTATGCCGATGCCATCATTATTTTATTAGAAGAATCTCTGGAACCAAGTCAAATTTGTGCCATGATGAAACTTTGTACCAAACCAAATGATTCAATAAAATTAATAAGAGGTAGGTGATTATTTCCTTAAATAAAAATATTTGGTAATTATTGGGAAAAGTGGAAATCGTCCGATTTTCACCAAAATTGGTATACACCCTATTTTGAGGTCGTAGATTACGAATCTGAACTTATTTCCTGGCGGTCTCGTACCGTTTTTCAGAAAAACGGAAAATTATGTCAACAATGAATTTTTCTTAATTTCCGCTGTATAAAGTAGTAATATCACTATATTTTCATTATATTATAGTTTATCTAAAAGCTGTTCTTGATTGTGGATAGAAAAATACCCAAAATTTTACTGAAAAACACTTTTCTTAATAAAATAAACAAAGAAAATTTCCACCAAAACTGACAAGTTTGACACTTGACCGTTCATATATCCTTCTTTTTCTCTCTTATGCAACGAGAGAGACAAATATAATCTAGACCTGATCTAGAAATCTGAAAATTTGCAACGTTGCCATGTCTTGTATTTTTTCGGGGGATTAGGGAGTTTAAGTAAAATACGTTTTATTTAATATACTTTTTAATAAAATAAGTATATATTTAATTAAACTACAATAATAATCCAACATTCAATGTAGGTTTTGTCCAACTTCGTCAACAACCTTCTTCTAAGAAGTTTATCAATATATAATATTCAAGCTTACATTAATTTTAACATTATAATAGGAGGTGTCTGTTAAGTAGATATCTTAATTAATTAATAGTAATTATGTCAAATAGAAAAAAGTTGCAGTCCAGCAGAGGCCACGTGGAGACGGGACAAATCTCTGCTAGGAAAGGGATGAGAGTGGGATCATTTTGCTCGCCATTTTCTAGGATATATGAGAGTAGTTGTGGATAGAATAATAAATTGAGTTTGGTTCAGGTCAAGTTGGTTTGGGTTTTGGTACAGTTTTTTTTGTTTTTTTTTGTCTACTCTCACAATAAAATAGAGGCACAGTAATCCACCTAAGCGTTTTGCTTCATATTGGCAGAGGGGGGATAGACATTTGAGATATATTTAAAAATTCATGGTACATCTCCTGATGTTTGGGTGTTCGAAATTTCCTTCGAAATAAATGTTCCGCCAAATAACAGGGAAAATGATCTTTGCCCGGCCATTTAGGAACATTTCCGCGCAGATCCCTCCGTGCTCTCTCAATATTTTGCGTGTGTGCTCCAGTGTCTGGATCGACAAAATTTTGGGAGTGGTTTACCGTCAGATGTTGGAAACCTTCATCTGCCAAGCAGTTGTACGATTTCCAACAATCCGATATTATTGTAGTACCCGGTAGTACCCATTCTTGAATAACCACCAGCAGATGCTCCTTCGACCGTTCTTCAACGGGTACCAAAAAGAGCTTTTTTGATTCCCGTTCGATTCCTCCGAAAATTCATTTACCGTCGATTACTCTACCTCTATTATATTTTCGTTTGCTCATCTTACATTCGTCGATCTCTACAATAACCCCTGGGCCCCCCACCTTTTGGGAGTTATCAACCAGACAAATTAAGCAAACTTTCCTGCAGAAATTTGTCCAGTTGACAACAGTATCGGACGCCAATTGCAGCTCGACCATTATCCACTCCTGCCCGTGATTATGGGCTAACCAGTAAAACACGAACTTACAAATTGTCTGAATGTCCAAATGCGCCTTCTCAAAAAAAGTTCCCCTCTTTGCCCCAATTTTAAACGTACATTTAGTCCCCCCTTTTTTAGACAAATACACTGTATTAGTGCAACGAAATCTAAATTTATCGCGTGCGTAAAATTTGCAGGGTACATGGCATCTCGGACAATGTTCGATAGAAAATACCCCATGAGAAAAATAAAAAATTATTTAGTTTACCCTCATCACATTGACTATATTATACATACCTCCGACGTCCAAAGTGCATCCATTGCAGGGCTCCATTGCTAAATACTTACTTGTCTTCAGTCGCAGAAAAAAGCTCTAACTGCACCTCGTGCACATTAATCAATAAAAATCAGTTGGAAAAATCGTTAGAATCTAACGGTTTTTGCCTTGGAATGTAGGGGAAAATATTTCCCTTTCCATGAATCTGGTAATCCCAGAGGGGGCGAAAAAAACGCGCTAAATTTAGGTTTAGCATTGGCAACGTCGCTTTAAATGTCAGAAACGCATAACCCAACATTTTCAGATTGTTTACAAATTTATTTTAGCAAATTTTCCTCTATTATGCATAGAATTGGTTAAAAAAGAAAATAGCAAAACCCTGATTGTTTATTGAATACCTAACAAAATATGTGCGAAAAAACCTTAAAAATACGAATTCAATGTTGACATAATTTTCCGTTTTTCTGAAAAACGGTAAGAGACCGCCAGGAATCAAGTTCAGATTCGTAATCTATGATCTCAAAATAGGGTGTATACCAATTTTGGTAAAAATCGGACGATTTCCACTTTTCCCAATAATTACCAAATATGTATTTACCTAAATCTTTGAATAAGAAGACTAAGGAAGGAGCATATCAAAAATCTTAGGTACACCGCGATGCTACACAACCAACTATTTTAGAGTATTTTTCGATAAATCGCGATAGTGTCACTGTTAATTTAAGTTCTGCCACAATTTCCATCTAGATTTACTACCTTTATACAACTATCAGTAGTAGAATAAATAATAAATAACATAAAATAAGCTCCGTAAAGACTGACAAATCCACAAAATTTCAAATCAAATTCAAATGTGTCAAATGAATCGTCAAACAGAACTGTCAAGGATCCCCACCCTAGAGAGCTTTTATGGTGCTTTTTCCGCCCACCATGCATGAATACATGGATAGCATTATGCTCCTTCCTTAGTCTTCTTATTCAAAGGTCTGCAAAGAGATAGCAGAAATATTAAAGTTTTTGAAAAAAACTACAATCAATTATTTCTAATGGATTTCGAGATATCGATTTTTGAATTCAGAGTTCTAATAGCGCGACCACTGTCGAACACCAACTCACTTCCACTTATTTTAACGAAATATATCCCCTTCCGCGTCTCTCAGTGTGCACAGATTATCGGTTTATTTCATACATTTGGCAACGTTTTTACTGTTCTCTCTTTGTTCAGTACATTATAAACGCATTGTACCGTAACCACCGTAATAACAAGGCCGGACAGCTTATTAGTGACGTCATCAACTGGAGGCCTAAACTTTGATTGCATTTGATACACTTTATACGTATATAATGGATATACATTTTAATTGCACCGAATTTTTAATAAATAATAATTAAACATGAAATTTAAAAAACATCAGATTGATATCCCATCTCACATTATCCATCGTCATTGTATTTATTTATGCTGTAAGTGTGTCTAAGTTTCTTTTATTTCCTTTTCCAAGTCTATCGTTTTTTTACAACCGTAGTTTTTCAGACGTGTATTTCTAATAGAATTTATGACAATTTTTACAATAACTTAGCATTATAAATAGTACATTGCGGAACTTTTAATAATGGTGTTTGTTAAAATATTTTTTTATTGTAAATTTTGAGAAACTCCTCATGGCTTTGCAAAACATTGTTAAAAATTATATATTCAAATAAAACTATATCATTTGGAAACCCAAGACTGCATTTAGTAAGTTTTTTTATAAGTGAATTTTGTTCAATATCAGTGTTGTCTGAAAATGATAAATTATTCTTACATGTATCGCATTTAATTTCCTTTAAAACAATATAACAACAATAAACCTCTAAATAAGTAATAATAGGCCTTTCTTCCTTCACACTTTCGATATCTTGTTCAGAAATAGTAATGTCGATGTTAAACCAATCTGATTCAATATGGTACTTGTATCGCGTGGTATTTCTTTAGACAAGGTATTGTCATCATAAAATCATAAAAAGTATCGATTTTTATAGAACCAAAACAAGTAGATTTTAGGAACATTAATGACTGAATCCTAAGTTTCTTTTTGCTTTCATATAAATGTCGAACACAAATACTCTACTGACTCGCAGCTACTTTTTCTGAATAGAACTTTAAGTAGAACTTTTTCGCTCTTCTATGATCGATTATAATTACCACGTCCACACACCTACCGATAAATCGATGACTGTCAACTGCGGCAATACCACTCCGCTACGACAGGCGCCGCCGCGCGACACCGTCGCCCCTGAGCAGGGGGCGTAAAATATCGATGAAATACATAATATATACTATAAAAAATATCTATTTTTTTATTGTTTTTTTCTTATACTATACACTATTGTGAACTTAAAATACTCCTTTATTAAATTTGATTGACAAAAAGTGAGATAAACATTTATTGACTGATATGATTTTTTCCGTATTCTATATATTCCGTAAACTATTTTTATATACTATAATATTTTTAAAAACTCAGAAAAAAACATTTTAAAATATATGTGCTGAGTGAAAAAAGATCCACAATTTGAACTTTTATCGGGTAATTATCAACGCTGCTAAATAACTCTATTTTAGGTGTTAGGCCTCTAGTTGGTGACGTCACGAGATTTTTACGTCACAGCTGTCGGGCCTTGTTATTACGGTGGTTATACGATTGTACTCTTCTTACATACGGAAATCTCGTCCCAAGACTAACCTTTGCCAGCCCTTAGTATACAGGGTCAGTCAAAACTAAGTGTTGTATTTTTCTCCACAATTTCAAATGGTACATATAGAAAACTATATGAAGGATATGGTGCTTTTTTGGAACATTTTAAATTAAGCTATTTGTTATAAAAAAGCCACTGCGACATATTTCTCGGTAAATTTTCTACCTAATATTTCTCTCTGTAAAATCGAGTAACCTATAAATCATGTATTTTAAGTTTAAAACTTTTTGAGTTTGTGAGTGTTTATTTACAGAACTTTGCAGGAATTCTAATGAACATATTTTTAAATAAACAAAATACAAAAAGCGGAAAAAGGCCAAAAGACCCTACATATATGCTTATTCTCTGCATTAAGTTCATCAGACCGAAGGTAACAGAAGGTGAACATATTTTTGTTTTTTAGATGAGGTGTCTAATTGTGGTGTTTGCATATCAGCAGTAGACATCATTAAAACCATAATGGAAAATCCCAAAATCGACCGCAACATCCAACATGTTTTTGAAAAAACTTGTCGTGGCATGCCATCAGACCAAAAGTCAGCGGTAAGTGATCTAAATTATTATAACCTAAAAACCTTAAAACTCATGGTTTTAAAAAAAGTATCGTTTGTTATCTTGAAAAGGAGTTAATATTAAGTGTGGGTTTACATGTATCCGGCTTGCGGCCTCTTCGTTGATTTTATGGAATTTTATTGGTTTATTTAAAAAATTACAGCTCGTACCTAATTATAATTGGAGCGACGGAACGACGTACGACTCATAACGGATGCATATAAACTCACCTTAAGATATATTTTGAAAATATTTTCTATTCTTTTGTTTTATTATTTTGAATTATTTATTTTTCTAATTTATTTTTTTAAATATTTTTATGCTTTATTGTACGAGTTTTTTTATTTATATGACACCGAGTATGACACGTATCTTTTATATGATGTTAAAAGTTTCAAGATATTCATTATCACAATTACCTCTATCTTTGCTTCATTAGAGAGGGTAAATAAAAAAATAAAATTATATTGAGCTGGGTCAAAGGATAGGTACAACCTAGTGGTAACAAAAAACCTGACATATGAACTATGCCAGAAAAAAATCAGCTATGACAGCTTGCAGCACCCCAAAAAGGAAGCAAGAATGATTTTTTAGGCTATGTCTAAAAGCACTCTTTGAAATGAACTAGAATTCTAACCAGACAGAGCCAACTTAATTGACAACTTAACAAACTGAAGCAGCCAATTGACACCTACTTTGTGATGTGTTTGAGATTTTCCAGAATGATTTTGATAGATGACATAGCATTACACAAGTCAGTTGCTGGTTGTTTCTCTAACGTCACGATGCGTGTTGATATGCACAACCGTCACTAAGATGTTGGGGTCCTCTTAATCAACCTAAACTCACTAAGGTCCCACTAATCTTTAAATATATGCTAAAATGATATTAGTAACCGCCATTTTGATTCCAAAGTAGTGGGCAAACTAATTGCAATACTCTATAATATTTAAGGATTATGGGCACCACTAAAGTTTCTGTATATTACAAAAAATAGTTTGAATGCTACTTTAAAGGCTTGAATTTAAAAAATAATGTCACTAGAATATCAGGTGGAAGACAGTGAAACTTTTTGACAGAAATATAAAATAAAAGTTCTCTATTTTTTGATGAACTTTTTTATGATTTTTATGTACAATTCGTCTGTACTGTCGAATGTGTGTTTTATTTGCTCTTAGAAAACTCTTATTTTTAAATTTACCTGCCTCTCAATGGAGTCAAAACGGAGATAATTGCGATACTACATATAATATCGAAGGGCTTTAGTGGGATCTAGACAGTTTTTATAAAGAAAAGAGCACATTTGCAATGCTGAGAGACTTGTGAACATCTTTTGACTAGCTATTCTTTTCTTTGTAATGTTGTTTTGTTTCTGATTGGTATGTTTGTATCATGTTATGTAATATATATGTTTCAATTTACTTTCTTTGGTTTTAGTGCGAAAAAATAATTGGTGATAATGGCGTTGTCATAACAACTTTGCTTGCTACTGGCAGGGATTCTAAACATGTTTGTGAAGCCGTAACTCTGTGCAGTTCGTCAAATAATTTTCTTAAAATAAATTAATTCTATTCTGTATTGTATATTTCTATTTAAAATATCAATATTACCTTACTATGGAGATTTTAAATAGATGTAGAGACATAACATGAACCCTGTAAAATACATATATACTTATCTGAATATTTTAGTTCTTTTTAGATATAATTTCATAGATATAGGAACATACAAGAAATAAAAAATGTTATTAACATTTTGTTTATTAATAATTAGTTAGATCATAGTTTTTAAACTGTTATAATTATCTCAATTTAATTAAGTTTAGTCCGCTGTGATAAAGCTAACTTTTTGTATAAATATGGAGGTAAAATCTAATAAATTTTGGCCGATTTTATAGTGAGTTTTTCTGATGCTCTCCCATTAATTTATCCTAATAATTAATATAAATACTGTATTAGAATAATATTTAGTAACATGCTTAGCTAATAACAATGCTTACAGTGTTTTGAAGAAATGAGGATAGAATGGAATAGGTTGTTTAAAAGTGATAAAAATATGGTTTTAAATAATTTTGCATATCAAGTTAAAAGCCGGCTCACCTTACTTGATCAATGCTTTGGCAAACTTGGCATGCAATTAATTTTCTATATAAAGTCAAACGCACAACTGTCTTTGACAAAGGTCTGATCATGGTCTGATGATGACTGGAATTGCCGAAACCGGTCACTAATAAATAATTTTTTTTGACAGTGGATTGGATTTTGTTATTGATTTTAACATTAAGTTTTTTAGAAAAACCACTGATAAATTTCAAGGAAGTGAGTACAGAGGGTATTTAGAGGGCCCGGCAATAGTGCGTCGGGTATCTGTAGCTCCTATAATAAAAAAGTTAGGAATTTTGTTTAAGTGCAAACCTAAAATATGTGTTAATTGGATATATTTCAGGAAAATATTTTAACTTCTACAGGGTAGCTCAAAAAGTGCGAGTGGATCGGTATGATTTTTTTTAAACGGAACATCCTGTGTATTATTACATTTCTGGCTTCCTTTTTGATCACTTTACATAATCCTAAGATATTACTAAATATGTTTTGATGGTTTCAAAGATATTAAAAAAAATATATATTTTTTTTCGGCCTTTTTAAAAAAAATATTAAAAATACAAGAAATGTCTTGAAATCAAAACTGTATTAGGTATTTACTGTAGCGGGTCTGTACTTACTACAAATATCGTAATCTTAAACCCTACAGGGTGTTCAAAATTCTATGCCAGACTTTCTAAAATATAAAATAGTTTACTATATGTTTAACGGTTTTGAGGATATTTGTGGTATTACATTACATATGGGGATTTCAACAATAATGTTTTATCAAAGCCACCCAATGATTTTTGTCTGGTATTTTACCGTTGAAAGACCTATATGTAATAAAACCGCGAATATCTGCGAAACCGCTAAAAATTTTGAAATACTTTAAATACAAAAAATGTTCATTTTTCAATTCTCCATCTAAGAAAAAAATAATATACGGGGTGTTGCATTAAAAAAAAGTAGAAATACTCTTTTATATTTTAAAAAGTTTGGCATAGCATTTTTAAAAGGTTTGACACCTGTATGATTTAAGATTACGATATTTGTATCCAAGTAAGTACAAACCCACTACAGTAAATACGTAATATAGTTTTGATTTCAGGACATTTCTAGTATTTTTATTACCTAATTTTTTTGAAAAAGGCTGATTTTTTTTTAATTTATTTATTAATATCTTTGGAACCAGAAAACATATTTAATAATATCTTATAGGATTATATAAAGTGATCAAAAAGTAAGCTAAAAATGCAATAATATACAGGGTGTTTCATTTAAAAAAAATCATACCGATTGACTCATTTTTTTAGCCATCCTGTAAAAGTTAAAAAAAATTTCCTGAGATACATCCTAATACATACTTTAGGTTTGCACTTAAACAAAATTTCTAACTTTCTCATTATAGGAGCTACAGATGCCCAACACACTATTGCCAGACCATGTATATTTAAAACTACAGATTTCCGGACTCTTGTTTGTAGAAACATTTTCCAAATTTTTTAATGAGGAATAATCTCCTGAAATTTGACTTTACATTTTTCGATCAGCCTGTATACCTGCGTTAATACCTTTACTGTATAATAAAAAAAAATATTTATTTTGCGCCCTACAAAAAATTATCTAGATCAATTACTGCATTATACTACCACTATCTATTCATCTGAGCTTTTCTCCCGTAAAGTGTTTGTCTGATAGTTAAGTTTTGCTTAATATTAGAATTTACTTAAGAAAATCAACATCCTCCTTAAACTAAAATAGTATATATTATGTTGCAACTTAAATAGAATAATCCGGCTTTTTGCAAAATGCCGAGTTATTCGATATACCTGCGACATATTATAACCTGGTCATTTTGGAAGTGTGGTCTGGATTTTAACGTGTAAGATAGAGGATAATATAAATGACCGGTTGACAGATAAAAAGCGCCATACAGTGTTGCCGGTTTTTACGTTTGTAGGAAAATGTGTGTAGGAGTAAATAAATTATTTTAAAAACTTTCTTGTATACTACTGAAATGAAGATAATATATCTAAGCTAAATATAATCTATTACAGCTGTAGTAAAATGAGTAACTAATTATGAAAAATAAAGTTTCCACCCTAGATGCAACATTTTTCGGAAACGCTCACTTGTGCGGTTTGAAATTTTGATGCAAAATCCTGCAATACCGTGTAGAAGAAATGTATCAACCCAACTTTTTTTCTCTCTTTAATACATTTTATTTGTCATTAAGCTGCCTACATCACTGTCTTACGCGTTAAAACCCAGACCACACTTCTAAAATGACTAGATCGGTATAATATGCATGTATATGTACACGGGGTGTTTTAAAAACAAATGCTAGAAACTTTAATTTTGGAGTTAATTAAGAAAGTTTTATTGGAGTACCTATGATTACAACCTATCTGCATATTTTTATCTTTCTAACAAAGCTTCAAAATAAAATCTAGTTTGGCTTTTCTATACAGATATCTCAAAACTTTATGCTTTGCAACTATGAAGACGACTCTGAAATAGACTGTCCAACATCTGAAGTGACATATTTTCTTCAATTTAAATATCTAGTCGAAGATTTTCTACAAAGAAACTTATGTTTTATTTTTAACCAACATAGAGCCAGCCAATCAAAGTCTGCAATTTCAAGCGCCGACGGTAAGTAAAGATTAAACTATCAACATTTTTATTAGAGATATATCTCTTATGGATTAACGGAGATATACAAGGTGTCACAGTATTCTGTGGACATAGAACTACTATGTATTTTTTGAATCAAAATAAGTTAATTGAACACAATTTATCTCTATACAAAAGTGCTTTGTTTATCCGTTAGAGCGCATGAAATTTTAAAAAAATAAACACATTTTTCCATATATTTTAAAACCTGTTATTCCGATTTGAACGAGATTTTTGCTATCTATGTTTAGCTAAGTGCTTTAACATTTGCCTTTCACAAAAATCAAAATAATACGAGAAGGGTGAAAACTACTCCCACCCCTACATAAATTTTAGTATAAATATTTTCCAACTCAACCGACAACCGATTTTTTTTCATAAATAGTCGTATTTACTACATTTTTTATCTCTTGTAAAGAAAAAAATATTTTATCAAAGAGCTGAATTTCAAAAAATGTTTTTGTCACATCAAGCTATTTATTAGGTTAGTTTTGATTTGGTTGGCAATGCAATATTAGATTTGTGTTACTCACAAAAAATGTGAGTATCACAAATGATTTTCTAGAGTAACACAATTATTTTTAAGAGGAAATAATCTCCCAAAATGGCTGGAATAGTGCCGAAAATTCTTTAGAGAAATTAGACGATCCAATAGAATGTTTGCTCTGCAAAGAAGTTGTGAAGGAAGTTGAGAAGGAGATCAAAGGACCTAAAACTAAAGTGTGTTGGTAAAAGTATAATTAAAATATACCTAAATCAAATATTTCATTCTATTGTAGGAGAAAATCCAAGAAGCGTTACAAAAAGTATGTAGCCACTTGCATAAACTTAAAAACTGCAGCAAGTTTGTAAATAAATATTCCGACAAGTTGATTGATTTAATTTTAAAGTATGAAAGTGCAAAAATAGTGTGTTCGCAATTGGCTTTATGCTTATCTGACGCTGTTGATTATGATGACAGATCATCAAAATTGTTATCATTGTTCTATATGGATGATGAAGTAGTCAGTAAGTCACCTAATCAGTAACATTGATTTGCACAGTAACATAAGTGTTTTAATAGATTCTGGGAATAGTTGGAACAATGCTGAAAACTCTTTAAAGATACTAAACAACCCAATAGAATGTCTGCTGTGCAAAGAAGTTGTTAAGGAAGTTGAGAAGGAGATCGAAGGTCCTAAAACTAAAGTGCGTTGGAAAAAATGTAATTAAAATATACCTAAATCAAATATTTCATTCCATTGTAGGAGAAAATTGAAAAAGCTTTACTAAAAGTGTGCAGCCACTTGCATAAACTTAAAAACTGCAGCAAGTTTGTTAAAAAATATGGTGACAAGTTGATTGATTTAATTTTAAAGTATGAAAGTTCAAAAATAGTGTGTTCGCAATTGGCTTTATGCTTGTCTGACGATGTTGATTATGATGACAAATCGTCAAAATTATTAGTATCGTTCTCTATCGACGATGATGTAGTTGGTAAGTGACCTAATCAGTAATATTTTTGTTTTAAAACAGCCTCTGCACTATGCGGAGAACTCTTCGAAGCAGGTCAACGTCGCATTTTATCGGCCAAGTTCGTCGCATTTCGGTTTATTTCCAGTTGTCTTGGTTTGGTTTGGTCACTTCGGTTTGCCTCGACCTACTTTCGATTCTTAAAAGCGCCTGAAAACTACTTGTGAGGAGGGCGTGGGGGGATTTTTTGGCGTTTCCTGTGGCCTCGTTCAATTTTGTTTCGTTTTGAGATATTTCCAAAACGTGGCGGTATCTGTACCCGAGACAAAGGACTTTTTTTCATAAATCTCAGTGAAATAAGTAAACCTAGACGTTTCTAAAATAGCTGTTGTTACGATGATATTTCGTTAATTAGATCTCGTTTTATGTTGATATATATATTCCACAAGATTAATATTTGAACACCCGTTTATAATATGTAGAGTAGATATTTAAGAACAAAACTTTTCACTCATTCGGCAGGAATATAATTACAATATGTTTATTATTTAATTTTATTATAATGAAATAGTATATAAAATTGTATATGCTATGTTTGTTTACGCGGCCTTAATTGATTAATATAACAGTAGTATTGCTTGATGAGTAATATTGTCAACATCATCAATATATCGAGCTGATTGGGCAAATTATTCATTGACCCGATGTCAATAAAAGATACTTTTATGTACAGGGTGGTCCGAACTGTATTCCGGACAGCAGCATATTCTGCAGATAAAAATAAGTAAAAAAGTTCGTATAAATGTATATCCAAAAATGCTTAGCTTCGGAGATACAGGGTGTAGAAGTTTGATTTTTATTTCGATTTTTTTCCAAATAATTTCTGAAGTAACATCAATATTTGGATGAAAATTGGTGCCTGGGAGTTTTTTGACATGAGAAATTTGATTTTGATGTCAATATGACTCCTATTTGTAAGGGTATTGTAATAATATATATAATTGTAAACCTACATGTGTTTTAACTGTTTTGAAGAGTAATAACTTTTCGTCCGTAGCTGTATAAAACGACTGTGTCAAAAAATATACAGTTTCGTGACTTTTACGTAAAAAATGTATCTAGTAGTGTATAGTAAAAATCGCTACGAGCAACCGTTCTCAAGATATTTCGAATGAAAATAGTTAATACGTGTCAATATAGACTAAAAAATAAACACGTTGAATAGATATTTATTTGACTGAAATAATAAATTTGGATTTTTTTTTAATTAATCATAAATTTTTCTGCGGAAAAATTATTTCCTGCAGTTTATGTTGAACTTTTGGCACAAAAACATTTCAAATTTATGATTTCAAATAACTATTTAGTCAGCATGTTTAATAATTTATGTCAATAATGATAGGTATTGATAAGTTCGATTCCAAATATCTCGAGAACCATAACTCGTAGCAATTTTTACTAAGAGACTTTTTTACGTAAAAAATGTCGCAAATGTATATTTTTTTACTCTGTAGTTTTATACAGGTATGGACGAAAAGTTATTACTCTTCAAAACAATTAAAACACATGTAGGTGGCGCCCCCTACAAATAGGAGTCATATTGACCTCAAAATCAAATTTCTCACATCAAAAAACTTTCAGACACCAACTTTCATCCATATATTGATGTTACTTGAGAAATTATTTGGAAAAAGTCGAAATAAAAATGAAACTTCTACACCCTGTATATCCAAAACTAAGCATTTTAGGACATACATTTATACGAACTTTTTTACTTATTTTTATCTGCAGAATATGCTGTCGATGTTTCCGGAATACAGTTCGGACCACCCTGTATAATAATAACATGGTTTGATATAAATCCATTCAAAAATCAGAAATAATTAGACGATTTTTTAAATAGTTTAACAACGTGGATTATAACCTATAAAAGGCATAGAACAGTTAGTCACTGCGTATTGCCCTGCAGTTTTACGATTTTAAGTTTTAGAAATATATTTTTTCACTATATTGTAATTAATAATGTTAGATAATGATTAAAACTAAATTATCTTGTGTAACCTTAGAGGAATAGCCAATTTCATCTACCATTAATAACTGTTTTCTAAAGGCACTGTTTTTGATTTTTCATATAAGTTTAATATAGTGGTGTTACATTACACTTTACACTCCATTACAAGTTATTTTTTTGAAGTCACCACAACCTTTGACCTTGATTGCTTCGAGCTATTTCACAAAATATTACGATAAATATAAGCCCGTGTTATAAAAATTACTTCCCACGTTTCCTGAAATAATTTTTTATTGTTAACCCAGATTAATTTATTGTTAACCCAGATGGCTTATATTTGAGTTTACTTCTGTAAGTATTTCCAGAAATGTTTCACGAAATATTTCCAGAACTATTTCGTAAAGCATTTCGAGGATAGTGTAGAGGCTGTTTAAGAGTAACATAATTAGAGATGTGCAGGCAGATTATGCACTCGCATAATTGCATAATTTTAAAAAGGCTTTAAAACGGTTCAAAGTTGATACCTGAGTCATCATTTAACCTTCCTGAGGACGAATACACCTCGCATAATAACGAATAATCGGGTCGTTTTGCAGCATAATGCGCAAAGTGCATAATTATCGCATAAAGTGTCATTTTTTCCTCTTTTTTCTGCAATTTAAATTTTCTCAACCCAAAAGGTTCATTTTTCTTAAATAAAATCAATTTAACGGCGAGCTGAACACCCTAAATCTGTTTTTAATCAAAGATTTGTCGGTAAAGTTTGGCCCCCCGAAAGTGCCGCAATGCGAAACTTTAGCCACTTTCGAGCTTTAACCACTCCCGTACGCGAAAAGTAAGGTTAGAAGTTAAAATTTCACAGAAATAAGCAGTTTGGTGGTTTATCATTTATCATGCCGAAATCAATATCAATTTTTTCCCGAGCTAATGATTATGCGCGCGGCGAAGGCATGCAAGTGCATTAAGTGCGAAGAACTTCTGAACAAATTTATGTTTAATGACCCATCTTCTACGTTTTTTTAAGCAGTAAACAAACTGTTGGAGCCAATTAAAATTGTTGTGGCGACTTGTAACGATGTTGGAAAAGAAAAGGAAAAGATTCATCTGTTACACAAAGTATATACCTACGGCTGATTTCAGAGTTTTACATGGTATAATTTCGGATGAGGTGAAAGAGGCAGTTCAGAACTCCAAAACAAATAAAGATAACACAGATTTTCTTTGCAAGGTACTGTTAGGATTGAGACCCAATTATCCTGAGTTTTTACATACTTCATGCAAGTTTTGCATATCCCAGTGGCAAATGTCGATAGCGAACGAGCTTTTTCAGCCTATGGAGGTATTCTTTCCCCTAGACGTTGCAGACTTTCTCCTGAAAACGTTGAAGTTATGATGTGTATGTATTTTGGAGATGATTGTTCGGATTGGGTTGTCGAAGATGATGTTGAAACTTAGCTTTTTTTCTTTAGCTTTTTTTATGAGATTAATATTTGATAATCTTATTAACTTTTGTTATCTTGTTAAGATGTTTTATAGTTACCAAAAAATGACATTGTTTAAATATAACATGTTGCGTTTTGTGAAATCTTGTGTTTTTTTTCTGTTTTTAAAAAAACTAACCATTTTCAACACCTTTATATACACCTTTAACGAAAATACCGACCTTTATGTACTTTTTTACGTAAAAACATAACATTACTTTTCTAGGAGCATTTTTTCGCATAATAAGTAACTTTTTAACGCATAATAGCCGCATAATCAGCCATTTTTGGGCGCATAAAAGCCGCATAATATAACAAAATTTGTTCGCATAAAATAGGGGGTGTAAAATGCATAATCTGCACATCTCTAAACATAATTTCTTTCAAAATTAAATAGATTCGGGGAATAGTTGGAACAATGCTGAAAACTCTTTAGAGGTATTAAACAACCCAGTAGAATGTCTGCTGTGCAAAGAAGTTGTTAAGGAAGTTGAGAAGGAGATCGAAGGTCCTAAAACTAAAGTACGTTGGTAAAAATATAATTAAAATATACCTAAATCAAATATTTCATTCTATTGTAGGAGAAAATCCAAAAAGCTTTACTAAAAGTATGCAGCCACTTGCATAAACTTAAAAACTGCAGCAAGTTTGTTAAAAAATATGCCGACAAGTTGATTGATTTAATTTTAAAGTATGAAAGTTCAAAAATAGTGTGTGCTCAGTTGGCTTTATGCTTATCTCATGCAGTTGATTTTGATGACAGATCGTCAACATCTTTAGAGTTGCATTATACGAATGCCCAGATAGGTAGTAAAATCATAATCAATTATAAATATGTCAGAATTAATTAGTTAATATTGTTTATAGGTGAATTAGACTCTCCCAGTGATAATGGAGGTTTAAACAATCTTTTAGACTGTATGTTATGTAAAGTTGTAGTAAAAGAAGTACTGAAAGAAGTCAAAAAGAATAAAACCAAGGTAGATTTTCTTACTTAATTTTGTTCAAGCTATATCTAAAATATTAAAAAAAAATCAAAATTTAAGTGAGGATGCAGTCAATAATCACCACATAGGCTAATAAAACTACTTTTTCAAATTTGTCAAGCTTTCGAGAATTTTATTTCCATCATCAGGGCAGTTTGACGATTAGCAGGGCAGTTTGACGTTTGAGTCGATTAGCAAAAAAACATCCTCTGCACAAAAAAGCCTTAAAAACTATCATCGTATGACATTGGAATACAAGGACATTTCCTTTATAAAATATTAAAATACATATCCAACGACATTACTTTTCCTTTAAACACAAAACAAAAAAGATTTTTTTTTAAATTTACTAAACTAATTTCTACATTGTTATTTCGAGCTCGATCAAACAGTGACTCTTCAGTCACGATTCAGTCACTGTTTGATCGAGCTCGAAATAACAATGTAGAAATTAGTTTAGTAAATTTAAGAAAAAAAAATGTTTTGTGTAATGTCGTTGTATATATATTTTAATATTTTATAAGGCTCCAGTACACGTTTGGTCAACTAGTTGGGCCAATGAGTTGGGCTAACGTGTACAGAACCACTTGACGTTAATTGGTGATTGGCAGCCAGCGTTGGTTTACAAACTGAACGTTGTCGGTTTTTCGTGAACACATCAAAAGACCTTGGCGCGATATACCAAACAGCGTTTACACGTTGGTCGTTGGTTGAGACTTGTTTGTGTTTCGAGTTGCTATCGGAAGGAAGTACAGTACAGTACATCTGCTGGATCTGTGTCTATGAAAGGAATGCGAACAAAAAACATTTAATTAAACAGCAATATATTTTATACGTCGACTTGACGAGTACGTCACCGCAAATCGCTCCGCCCACTCCTTTTCCATCAGCATCCAGTAACTTCTTTTACGCCATTTTTTTTTAATCACTTTCGTTTGGTGCACCTTTCTATAAAAATTGAAAGCACTGTACAAATAAATTGCCGCGGCTGCGATGGTTTCCACATCCGTCCTTCTCGTCTATAAATGGCCAATGCAGACTGAGCAACTTTACCAACGTGTAAGCACTGTACGTATTTTTGGCCCAACTCATTGGTCCAACTAGTTGGCCAAACGTGTAGTGGAGCCCATAAAGGAAATGTCCTTGTATTCCAATGTCATACGATGCTAGTTTTTAAGGCCTTTTTGTGCAGAGAATGTTTTTTTGCTAATTGACTCAGTCAACTGTCCTGATAATGGGAATAAAATTCTCGAAGGCTTGACAAATTCGAAAAAGTAGTTTTATTAGCCTATAGTTTTATGTGGTGATTATTGACTGCATCCTCACTTAAATATTGAGTTTTTTTCTTAAGTTAGTCAGTCACGACTAACCTGCTATTTCTAAAATATTATATGGTTTTAGGAAAATATACAGAAAGCCCTGCTTAACGTATGTAAACACTTGCACAAATTTAAAAAGTGTAGCCAGTTTGTTAAAAAGTATTCAGTAAAATTAATTGATTTTATTATTAAATATGGTGGTGCTTCTGAAATCTGTTTAATTTTTTGTATATCTCAAGATTCTAACTCTGATTCTAATTTTATGATTGAGATGACCAATGACAGATTGCAAATTTCAAATCTTGAAGATTCCGTTCAGTGTGATTTATGCAAAATTCTGCGAATTGTATTTAAAATGTTAGAGGGTTCAAAGAGCAAGGTTTGTTTTTGACATTGTTTATTTATTTTTTATTGAAGTTGCTTTCTTTCAGGCAAAAATTCTAAGAGCACTAAATGACGTATGCAAATTTTATAATAAATCTAATGAATGTAAAGAAATTATAAAAACATACTCAGAGAAGTTAACCGAGCTTATTATTAATTATAATAGTGCCGAAGTATTATGTTCGAATTTGAGAACTTGTAACTCAAAAGGATTTCAATATGATAGCGATGAACAGGTTTTAAACAGCATCTCAGTAATTGATGCCGAAGACTTTACTAATGGCAATGGTAAGACGCACATATTAACTGATATTACTATAAGCGATACCAATTAAACTTTTAGTTGCGTAATCGAGGGTGCGATTTTTAAATTCATTGTTGGCAACCATGGATATATTCGGCACCGGGCTGACCAACTGGAATTTAAATTTCCCGCTGGTGATTCAAGTGGTAGCTCCGCTGTAAAAAGTCAAGTTGCCACATCTATTTATTTCCTCACATGAGTTTTGTTGATATAAATAATAATAACTGTTTATATATTAATAATTAATTTATTTGTGTTTCCCAAAATAGTTTGATTAAAAGAAAATATGTAAGAGTGGCCAACGCTGTGCCGGTCAAGCTTAATCACGTGATTAAAAGTTTATTTGGTATGAACTGTATGTATCCAAAATGTAGCTTTAAAAGGTATTGAATTTTTTTTCATAATTTAATTAACGATGAGACACATTTTCTTTCGAAAAAAAAATCAACTGTAGCTTGACATGTCATATTGTGATAAACTAATACACATTATAAGCAACATAAGCTGTTGACTGTGTCTAGCATAGTTTTCCAGTGAAATAATTTATGGCAATGACTGTTGTGTGTTTTAATTGCAAAGTATACTGTTTTTTTCGGTAGTAGAGTAACATTTTCAATATGTACACTCTGTCTAAATTACAAACACTCTTCAAGATAGTTCATTTTGTTTTCTTTATTACGGTTTGCTCTCCGATATACGTAAAAAATACAGGGTGGCGCCTCTCATACTCCAGGAGGGTCCAAGGAGAACGACAGTTTGTATTGAAATTAAATTTTGTGAGCATACCTATGTAGATTATTTTTTTTGAAAAGTCAGTATCTAAAAAATAGGATCAATGGTCACATCTAAAAAATCGGTCAGTATCTAAAAAATAGGATCAATGGTCACAAGTATGATAAGAAAAATAAAACGGCGTTAACAAACCATGAAATTGAATGTCAACACACTTTTAACTTTAACGACACAAAAATTTTGGCAACCGAAAATCATACAAGAAAAAGAGAATTTTTAGAAATGATATATATACAAAAAAATAACAATACCATAAACGCAAAATCTGATACGCAAAATTTGAGTAAAATATACTATAATTTGATTAATTAATTTGTGTGAACCAAAATTAATACATTTTTTACAACAAAAGAACTATCGATTGTTTCATATCCATATCAATAGCGGTTCACAGGGAGAAAAAAATGCACCAGTCGAGCAACCAAAGAAATATATTGGTGTGTCAGTCTATGTGTTTGTTTAATATTGAATAGATATACCGTATGATCGAATAAAAACGGCGTCAACGATGGCTATGAAATGAAGATCGCTGTCATTTTATATGTAAAATTATATGGGAAATGTCATCGATCGTCATTTCCAAGCCAACTGGACGCCGTTTTTTTTTCGATCAAACGGTATTAGTAGGTGCTGTGTTGAAATGTAAATATATAAGTTGTTTTTATGACGTCCAAGTTTATAATGTAAGTTTTAAATCTTTCTATTTTTTGATGTTTACTAGTGATGTATTTTACTTTGTAGAACATGTTTTGATAAAGATCTAATATAGATCGAAACGTTAACTTTGATAATGTGTTTCACTACAAAATAAAAAAATAAACAAATTTATATACGGACCATAACTCCAAGAACCAATATTCAAAAAATATGTATATCTTGTCCGAAGAATGGTATATTCCAAAAAGAAATGTAGATTAATTTAGAGCATTATTTTTTAAATATAAAGAGTTTACAGGGTGCCCCCAAAAATAGTTACACATCAAAGTTGTGTTTTTTGTACAATTTTTTTTTGTTACAATTTAGGTTACCGTTATTGAAATTGAAAGTTTATTGTACGTTTTCACAAAATGTGAAATATGTCAAGAACCTTACATTTTAGGCATATGCTTCTTTAATAAAAGTCATCTTTTTTTTTCTAGAATGTGAAAATCAATTAATAGAACTATAATAACCACAAAAAAACAACTTTGATGCGTAACTTTTTTTGGGGACACCCTGTCGAATTCTACATATTTTTATAAAATGCTTTCAATTAACCTACATATCGTCCTATTGCTGCCAAAAGTCACTAACTAACATTTTTCCGAACAACCAAATTTAATCACTATGTTTTGAAGCGGAGAATCGACTGCAAAAGTTATTAACTACGATTTCTGCCTATTTATGTTTTATTTTAATACCGAATACTTACTAACTACAACATCTTTATGCAATGCAATTCATCTTTAGACGCATTTTTCTCGGAAGTAGGAAAAAGTAAGTTAGTGACTTTTGGCAGCAATGGGACGATATACTCCCAAAATTTCATTTTGATATAAGCTACCGTTCTCCTTGAAGCCTCCGCGTCGTATGAGTGGTGCCACCCTGTATACAGGACGAGTCTTAAATAAAAATATTTTCAGGACTGGTAGATAAAAGATGAAACATATTTTCTCTTTACCATTTTTCAAAAGTCCAAAATAACCAAGATTTTTTACTTTAAGATATTTTTTGCTTATCGGATCTCTCCTTTACTTTTTGTGGCCGGTCGTAGTTCCAGCGTTAGTGTGTCGATCTGCGGAGCGGAAGGTACTGGGTTCGATCCCCAGCCAGTACGGTCGCGTTATTTATTTAAATAAAAATATTTATTTATCTAAATAGAGCGACCAACGAGCCGCCACCTCAAGGAAGGTAATGACAAACCACCTTGAGTATATTTGCCTTGTACAGGGTGTCCCACTAAGAATAGCTCTCGGCTGTATCTCGGAAAGTATTAGCCGTAGCGGCTGCGGAAAAAATATTTATAACTAAACTGGGCACAGAATATCTAGCTACGCAACAGAAGCCTCGTTACATGTATAAAATTGTAGGTAGCAAAAGGAGACAGGCTTTAAAAGTCTGTCTCCAAATCAGATATTTTGATGTGGTAGTTTCGCTACTACATAATAGAGGGCAATAAATTTAAAAGAAAACAGTTTTCTACAAACAAAATTTAAAAGAATTTTGTACAGTGTTGCCATTGTGTAATTCATATCGTAATACTTCCTGATAAAGCCTGCCTTCTAATTTGCTACATCATTTAAACATATTAAAATAGATCAGAGCTGTTTTTTTCAGTTTGCCATGTTAGTTGGAATTAAATCTTATGAGCTAAATTACAATCACTTCCTGACGTTTGATTGTATAATTGAATCCCGAATTTTCATTGTAATTCGGCGACAATATAATAAGTATTGTTCTACTATTATGATACCACTTCCTGACGTTCGATTGTGTTCATACCAAGTTCATATTGTATAATCGGGAAAAAACGGCGTTAGCGATAGCTATGAAATGAATATCACTGTCATTTTATATGTAAATTTATATGGGAAATGTCATCGATCGTCCTTTTCCAGCCAACTGGACGCCGTTTTTTTCAGAAGCATATCAAGTGAGACCATAATATAGTACTATATTACGATACATGGCGTTCGATTGGGCTTAAACTTGGTATACTATATCTTCAGTGACATTGTAATATCATGGTACCATGGAGCATATAAAGTGGTACCTTCTATAGTACAATAATATAATTTTCTGTACAGTTTGATGACATAGCAATATTAGGTACATGGCGGCAATAGGGCTTAAACTTGGTATACTACGTATTTTCGGTGACATTGGAATATGATGGTACTATGATGCATATCATCTGGTACCATAATATAGTACCATATTATGTACATGGCGTTCGATTGGGCTTAAATTTGGGATACTACGTATCTTCGGTGATATTGTAATATTATGGTACCATGGAGCATAAAAGAGGTACCATATTACGATACCATTTCCTGGCGTTCGATTGGACTTAAACTTGTTATACTACGTATCTTCGGTTACATTGTAATATGATGGTACTATGATGCATATAAAGTGGTACCTTAATATAGTACCATATTTCAATACCATTTCCTGGCGTTCGATTGAGATCATATTTGATATATACTTGCGTATTTTTGATGACATGCATTATGGTACCATGAAGCATACCAACTGGTACCATAATATAGTACTATATTACGTACGTGGCGTTCGATTGGGCTTAAACTTGAGTTGCTACGTATTTTCGGTGACATTGTAATATGATGGTACTATGATGCATATAAAGTGGTACCTTAATATAGTACCATATTACGATACCATTTCCTGGCGTTCGATTGGGCTCAAACTTGGTATACTACGTATCTTCGGTTACATTGTAATATGATTGAACTATGATGTATATAAAGTGGTACCTTAATATAGTACCATAAATACGATACCATTTCATGGCGTTCGATTGTTCTTAAATTTGGTATACTACGGATCTTCGGTGACATTGCAATATTATGGTACCTTAAAGTATATCGAGTGGTACCATAATATAGTACACTATTATGATATCATTTCCTGGAGTTCGATTGGGCCCAAATTTGGTATACTTGCTTTTCTTTATAAAGATTTGTTTAATTAATAATTTTAATTTATTTTACGAATTTTAATTTATTGTTCGATGTCGTGACAGCAACTTTTATGCCGAACTAATATATTATTAATTGTACCTGTGTCACTTTTTAAAATCTACCTAGGTCTATATAAATAAAGTGGCAAACGGAAGAAATTTGTTATTATAGTATTTTTTAATCAGTTAACATTTTTTGTACTGCATTTTAATAATTTCCATTATTATTAAACTTATATTTCATTACTAACGTTCCAGCATTAATAAATATCACTATCAATCGCCCTGTATATTATTAATTTTAAAGGTAATTAAAGGTATTTTCTTAGTTAACATTATAAGGTAGTGTATATTAAAAATGTATATGTTTTGTAATAATATACTTAAAACTATTTTAATAGCCAAAGGAATAATTAATATAAGTGTATCTGATAAGAAAAGAAGAATAGAAAGAAACACATACTGCATTATATACAATAAAAAGAATGGGATGCCAATTCAAGTCTTTTTGAATCTGGCAACTGTGCATATTTAGCCGAGCTATAAGGCCGTCGACGAGCCGTCGATCCAAAACCGAAAGTTCAAAATTTCTAATTATATTCTGATTATGATATTGTCGCGCCATCTAGTATTCTATTTGTGCAATTTTAGCTCTTTCATTTCGAGTATTTTTCTGTTGCGTAGCTAGATATTCTGTGCTATGGGAAATTGCTAGAAATTATTTTCAAGTTTGTAGAACGATCGCTAGGGGGCGCAACTGCAACAAAAAATAAGAAAATGGAGTTTTTACACAATTTTGCCTAGATAAGGTGTACTATAAGTAACAGCTTCATAATCTTCAGTAAATTTTGAATATTTTTTGCTAGAGCCATTTTCCCCTATCTACCAAAATAAAGTGGTGGGGGAAGGTTAGATCTGTTTTTATTTGAATATTAATAACTCTGGACTAGATGATCGAAATCCCACAAGCGAGAGCTCGTTTAAAATAGCGTTTCTTACTCTACAAGGTGGTCCGAACTGTATTCCGGAAACTTCGGCAGCATATTCTGCAGATAAAAGTAAGTAAAAAAGTTCGTATAAATGTATGTCTTCAATTGCTGAGTTTCAGAGATACAGGGTGTAGAAGTTTCATTTTTATTTCGATTTTTTCCAAGTAATTTCTAAAGTAACGTTAATATTTGGATGAAAATTGGTAGATGGGTGTTTTTTGACATGTGAAATTTGATTTTGATGTCAATATGACTCTCATTTGTAGGTGGCGCCACCTACATGTATTTTAACTGTTTTGAAGAGTAATAACTTTTCGTCGCTACCTGTATAAAAGTACTGAGTAAAAAATATATATTTACGACTTTTTTTACGTAAAAAAAGTCTCTTGGTAAAAATCGCTCGAGATATTTGGAATCGAAATTATCAATACCTGTCATCATTCACATAAATTAAACATGTGAACTAAATAGTTATTAGACTGAAATCATAAATTTGAAATCTTTTTGTGTCAAAAGTTCAAAAGAAATTGTTTAATCATCATTTTTTCGCAGAAAAACTTATGATTAATTTAAAAAAATAAAAATTTATTATTTCAGTCAAATAACTATACTCAACGTGTGCTTATTTTTTGTCAATAATGACATGTATTGACTATTTCCATTCTAAATATCTTGGGAACAGTTGCTCGTAGCGATTTTTACCAAGAGATATTTTTTATATAAAAAGTCACGGAAACTTATATTTTTTTAGTCAATGGTTTTATACAGGTATGGTCGAAAAGTTATTACTCTTTAAAATAGTTAAAACACATGTAGGTGGCGCCCCCTACAGATAGGAGTAATTTTGACATCAAAATCAAATTTCTCGTGTCACAAAACTCCCAGATACCAATTTTCATTCAAATATTGAGGTTACTTCAGAAATTATTTGGAAAAAATCGAAATAAAAATGAAACTTCTACACCCTGTATCTCCGAAACTAAGCATTTTAGGACATACATTTATACGAACTTTTTTATTTATTTTTATGTGTAGAATATGTTACCGAAGTTTCCGGAATACAATTTGGACCACCCTGTATATTGTACCATATAAATAATAATAATAAGCTTTTGAACGTAGACGCTATATATGTAATTTTAGCTCATAGTAAAGAGTAGTAAAAGCTTAAAAAGTCAGCGAAAACCGCATCTTGATATCTTCTTTCAAACCGAAGATATTAGCAAAATTATAATAAATACCAAAAAATAAGCCCTTAATTACCTTATTTTTACAACACGGTATCAGTAGCCCTCTTGATTATGCCCATTCTAACCTAAAAATAAGATAGAACCAGTTAGTTTGTTTTAAAATCGACGATATACCAGAATATCATAATATCAGATGTATTAATATCTAATAATTAAGATATCAATAATAGTGAACAAGAAACGATGATTCAGTGAAGTCATGGTAGGCTTTGGAAAAAAGTTGCTTTTGACGTAATAGTATAAACGTCAAATTGTTATTAGATCAACATATTGATAGTCTTGGCAGCGTTTTTTATTTTTTGATTGCTTTTTCAAAATGCCAACAACATCAACTACTTCAAATAATAAAGGCATTTTGAAAAAACATTTAAAAGATAAAAAAACGCTGCTAAGACTATCAAAATGTTGATCTAATAACAATTTGACGTTTATACTATTACGCGAAAAGCAACTTTTTTCCAAAGCCTACCACGACTTTAAAATAATTTCGAGCAATTTCTCATAGTCCCTTTAGTTATAAATATTTTTTTTCCGTAAGCCCTACGACTAATACTTTCCGAGATACAGCCGAGAGCTATTCTATAGGGCGCGCTAATATAAACATTTCGGCCTGTAGAAGCCAGATTCCTATCTCTACCTATCTACGATAGTCGAGTCACCGCCTTCGCCGGACTGGTACCGATTCAGTGCGCGTACACCTTTAGTGGGACACCCGGTACAGCCTCTCAAATAGTGCCGTTCGGATTCGGCAATAAACTGTATGTCCCGTGTACAGGGTGGGTCAAATTCGACGCTTTTAAATGGAAACACCCTTTTCTCTAGGAGATAGACGAAAACTAATATCGGTGTCTGGAGCTCATTTTTTGTCAAAAACATGATGGTGAAATCCGCACAAGAATTAAATATACTTAGCAGTTATAATCTTTCAGCACCACTGAGTTTATGAATTCCGCGAGAAATGTTCAAAAACTGCCCCGTCTGTCCATAACAGAAGACGGTCGATACGTCGAACACCTGTAGCAAAATCTCATGTCTTGGTTTGCTATTTATTCTTATTGTATTAGATATAGTTTAAATATGTTGATGTTGGTTAAATATATTTTAAATTATTATAAAATTCTCCATCTCTCATAGCAAATATTATTTTCGTTTTAATTGATGCTCACAGCTAGAATTTTTGCATTACAGCCGGTGCCGTTCAAAGCCTACTTATTTAAAGCGGGCGAATTTTTATATACTCTATATCTCGAAGAGGAATCGAGCAAAATATCAAGTGTGTTATATTTTTGGAAAGGTAATTTTAAATTCTTTTCAATAAATTAAAAATATAGAGGGTGTCCCATATAAAAAATAAAATTTTCTGTTGATAATTCTTAAATTATTAATTTTAAAAAAATTATACTTAAACCATTAAATTCTACGTAAAAAGGTGCTTTGGAAATGTTTTCATAAAAATACAAAATTTTCCTTAGCAAAAAAGTTACAGCGATTTTTTAAAAATGCATATTTTTTAAAAACACCCCGTAACTCCGAAACGGTAGCAAATATCGATATACGGTTTTCACCATCATGTTTTTGATAAAAATTGAGCTCCAGACACCGATATTAGATTTTGTCTGTCTCCTATAGAAAAGGGTGTTTCCATTTAAAAGCGTCGAATTTGACCCACCCTGTACTTGTGAAACACTGATGACACACATCACAAGTACATGCGAGAGGTAGCCGACGCTCTATATAGAGTATGGCACTGTAAGAATCGGATCTTTTCTGGGTTTTCTTTTTTCTAAATTTAATCTACTAGGTACCTATGTTGTCATATTATGAAGATATTAAAAAAATCACGAAAAAACCTCATTGACATGTTTCTGGGTCGAAACATACTATCCCTAAAAATATTTGCACTTATTTAAGACTCTGTATAATAAAAATATAAGGTTCTTTTCTGCAAATTTATTTTTAACCAAGAAAGAAGTACGTACATACTTTATTAGTAATTTAGCTGACGTAATCAACCTTTGCAATGTAGTTTGGCTGTTATTGGTAGTTTTAAGGCATATTTGATTGTGTATCATAACTCCTATTACACACCTATTGTTTAAGCCTTATTTTTAAAAACATAATTAAAAATTGTTGTTTAGGTAATCAAGTTGAACCTAAAGACAATATTTCCTGGAACTCTAGTTATATATCGACTCGAATTGTTTGTGATATGGTACTAAATAAACAGTTTACTATTTTGAAGTCCAATATTAAAGTAAGTAATCAAGCCCAAAAAAAATTATGTGACATAATAAACTATATCACGTATTATAGTCCATGATCCCAGAGAGATCTGGCATAACTTATTTTCACAAGGATGAAACCTTAGGCTCTCAGTAGTGCTCTCATGTGCTTTGAATACCAGCGTGTTTGGGAAGTTCGCCCTGTGACACCTTGGCAGATACAGGGTGAGAAAAATAAGAGTTACTTAACTTAAATTTGTATGGCTGATTTTTGTATAAATATTGTAGAATATTACTCTGAAGTAGTATAAAAAGTATCAGACACTTTCCATGGATCTGAACTTTTATCAGACGATAGCAAATCAAAAAGTGGATCTTGATAAAGATAGACTTTATCAAAGCTCCACAAAAAAAAATGAACTTTACTTATTTTTACATATTGTATGTTATTAAGATAGCTATTATAAAGTTATATTTAATCAGTCAGACAGATTGTAATGACCAACCATCCTCTAAACATAAAAATTATTCAGCCATGACTATGACTATGAGCGCGGGAGAACTATGCGCATGCGTTTCCAAGTAAAGTATTTTAATATTTTAAAAATACTTATTAGTGCTTTCGATTATTTTTGCATCTCTATTTAAATGAGATGAGCTGTTTTTATTACTAATAATTATTAAAGTAAATTAATTATTGCATATAAACTACTCAAAACAATTATCGCATATTTTCTAAAAAAATATTAATTTGATAAACAAGACACCTTGAATTCTCTGGCTTACGTTTTTAAACAGTTTGGATACTGTAAAGAGAAATATTCGAAAATAAGGCTGATAGGGGTGACATGCAATTTTTATTCGAGCGATTATTTAGTTGTAAAAGTGAAAACAATACATACTGGAGCCGATCGGCCGACTATTATTTGATTTTTGATTGCATGTGAGCGCGGCTCCATAAGAACTCTATTGGTTACAAATCTGCAACTAAATAGTCAGCCGACTAAGAATTGCATGTCACCCCTAGACTTATTTTCGAATACTTTCCTTTACAGTATCCAAACTATTTAAAAAGGTAAGTCAGAGAATTCAAGGTGTCTTGTTTTTCAAATTAATATTTTTTTTAGAAAATATTATGCGATAATTGCTTTGAGCAGTTCATATGCAATAAAATTTACTTTAATAATTATTAATTATTACTTTAATAAAAAAAGCTCATCTTATTTAAATAGAGATGCAAAAATAATTGGAAAGAAGTATTTTTAAAATATTTAAATACTCATAAACGCTTGCGCATAGTTCTCCCGCGCTCATAGTGACGGCTGAATATTTTTTGTGTTTAGAGGATGTTTGGTCATTACAATCTGTCTGACGGGTTAAATATAACTTTATAATAGCTGTCTTAATAACATATGTAAAAATCAGACATGTAAAAATAAGTAAAGTTCATTTATTTTTTGTGGAGCTTTGATAAAGTCTATCTTTATCAAAGATCCACTTTTTGAATTGCTATCGTCTGAAAAAATTCAGATCCATAGAAAGTATCTGATACTTTTGATACTACTTCAGAGTAATATTCTACAATATTTATACAAAAACCAGCCGTACAAATTTAAGTTAAGTAACTTTTATTTTTAGTTATCTTCCTCACCCTGTATCTGCCAAGGTGTTATAGGGCGAACTCCCCAAACACACCGGTATTCAAAGCACATGAGGGCACTACTGAGAGCCTAGGTTTCATCCTTGTGAAAATAAGTTATGTCAGATCGCTCTGGGATCTTACTCTAATACTTGTTGCATTTTAGGAAGAAATGTACTATAAACTTGTGAATTACTGTGTTTTGAGTATTTAAAGAGCATCATTAAGTATGATGAACAGCAGACAAATCTGCATCTAATTTTTGAATTTTTATTTTTTTATATGAATCCTACAACATAAGTAGGTGCTACATCTTATACGTGTAAACATTTTATTATAAAATTTATATAATAAATAAATAGTTTCATGATTTTGTAAATATATATTTTTTATGTTGGTGTCACAGCTATTGCCTCGGGCAATTTGGGTTGGTAGGGATTGTGCAGTAACAACCATTCTGCCAGGGAGATCACGGGATCTATAGGCTTGGTTTTGACTATTTCGGCCAAGCCTGAAACTAGTGTTGGTTTTAAAAATACAGTTACGAAGTCTTTCACTTTTTGAAAGTCGGATGGTAGTGGTTCCAGAATATCTAAATAGAAATGGGTTAGAATTAGAATTATTAAAGTGATTAGTCTTTATATATGTCACTGTAAATGTCCGAAATGCGGTAAAACCTAGGATAAGCGCGCTAAACCTAGGATTTACCAAAACCAAGTGGTAAAAGCTCGAAGACTTCTTTATTTTGCTTCCATTTCGGACTTTTACCGGACCCAAACAGTAAATCTTAGGATTTACCACACCGCATTGGTAAATGTACGAATTATTTTTCTTATAGCAACAATACCGACAAATTAAGGATGTCGATATACAAAGACATCTCTGTTTTTGTTTACTTAGATATTGAAATTTTAACGATTATCGTTTCACTATATCGATTTTTGTAACGTATCAGTCTTATATTTGTTACTGTAAATGTCCGAAATACGGTAAAACCTAGGATTTACCACAAACATTAACTAATTAGGTTGACCTGGTTATTTGGGCGATGTTAATGCATTGGTTAGCCTGGTTATTTGGAGGGTGTTAATGCATTGATTAGCCTGGTTCTTTGAGGGGTGTTAATGCATTGGTTAGGTGATTATTTGGAGGGTGTTAATGCATTGGTTAGCCTGGTTATTTGAGGAGTGTTAATGCATTGGTTAGGTGGTTATTTGGTGGGATTGGTTGGTTTTTACTACCACTTGCTCATTCGTACTTTTACCAATGCGGTGTGGCAAATCCTAAGATTTACTGTTTTTTTTGAGTAATAATTTTATGTATACAGGATTGATCATAAAGTCGTGGCCCATCAAAGTTTTATTTTTTTAAATAGACCACCCTGTATATTATTACATATTTCAATTCTTCCTTCAATTCTAAGCAAAAATCGAAATACACACAATATACCTCAAACAAACCGTTTCCGAGTTATTGACTTTTGAATCACTTAAACAATTTGATTTAATTAATTTCGATATATTCAGTTTCATTTAATGATGCCGAAACTGTGATATACTCTGTTTTTTTTCTCAGGTAAGATTTCGACAGACGATGACAGAAAAAAAGCAGATGACGTCCCATACCAATCTATTTATTTTACTAAAAAAAGTTTCTAATAATTTTTAAGTTAACTATGGATGGGTTTAAATATAAATCCGTCATGCGTCGTCTCTTGTTGTTTTTAACCAGTTTCATTGGTTTATTTCAAAAATGACAGATCGTATTTCAATTTTATTGGTTTGAGGGAACGATGAACGACAAACGGACGCCGATGCGTATGAACTCGCCTTTAGATTTTTGACGCTTGTCAAAGTCTTGCCAAATTATAGGTTATAATTTTGTGTCAACTTTTGTCAAATACTCTGCATTTTGGAAGATGATGCACTTTCATTCATGTTATTACGTGTGTTTTGTGTCTTTTGAAGTCAAGTGGAGGAAAAATCGAGTGAAAATTAACTGTAGACCCAGAGCACAGTTTATGGTTAATAATCGCTGCCCAGGCAGAAAGTCTTATACACCAATAAAGTTCCATCAATAAAGTTCGTATACCAATCTCGCCGTAGATAAGTGCATCTCGAATATGGTAGAAGGACCATACTAAAAACTGGAGTAGCTGAAAATATCGACATCACACGATAGGTAAATAATGGATTTTAGTACTGCAGAAAAATAATGGCAAAAGGTACTGGTTTAAAAAAATTAAGATTAAAGTTAATTGATCAACCTTTAAGGTATAAAATTTGGTAAGTGTTATTATAAATAACTTAAAATAACTTAATATAAAAACCATAAAACTTAATTATAAATTTGGTAAGTGTTAATAAAATAGTTTGTTTTATTTATGTTGTTTTATTTATTCCTGTGGAATATTACAAATTTGTATTTGTGCATAAGTTATATTGATAAATATAATCATAAATGCGTTTAATTTCATAAAGCTTGAAAGTAAGAAATAGTTCTTTTTTATATTTTTTGGTATGTTGTTCTTGTTTGTTTTGTATTAACACATTAACACCGTTTTTTATTAAATAAAATAACTCGATTATATTTTTTTCAGTTTTATACAGTTTTTTTCACAATATTTTGAAGTAATCACTTGTCAGTAAAATTTTAAATATATTAATTTCCTGCTATGCGTTCCAGTTGTATCAACTTATTTCTTTGTAAAATAAAATAAACTACTTTGAAATTAAAACGACAGACACATCTATCACTGTCAAGGATCTTCTCGTTGGACAGACTATACTGTTGTAATGGATTTTTAAATGCCTATTAGCCTTTTTGTAAATTTAAGTATACAGGGTCGGTCATAAAGTTGTGGCACATCGAACTTTTTTTTAATGAAACCTCCTGTATATTATTGCGTATTTCACTTCTTCCTTCAATTTTAAGCAATAATTGTAATACACAATGTACATAAATTGAAGAATTGAAATGTTAAACGAAAATTTTGTCATTTCCTGACTTGTATAATCTCATTTTATACACATCTACAGTGCCGGTTTAAGCAACTTTTCCACCCGGTGCTAACTGAAACGAGCGCCCCATCCTCTATTAACTTATAACAACAAAATATTGTGGTTTCTATATTTATACCCAAAAATTGCTTTAAGAAGTATGAAATTCCGACTTTTTAATACCTGTAGCTTGAAAAAGGTTGATTTTTTCAAGGAATCAAAAAAAGTATAAATATACAGGGTGTTTCATTAAAAAAAAGCCATTTTTCTGTGCTACCACTTCTGTGATGCACCATGTATATTGGTAAATATTTTAAGAATATACAGCTTTACTACCTCTACCTCTTTGAGGTATACAGAGATGGGGTTAAAATATGGAACGTATTTATTTAAAAAATTAGGTGCTAATTTTCTAAAAAATGCTCGGACACGACCAATATAATTTTTTCTTGCGCATTTTTTGCACTAAAAATGAAATATGCAGAAGGCTTCAAAAAGGAGATATGGATATGGCAAGAAATTTTTTTTAATGGGTCACTCTGTATCTTCTTCTTCTTAAGGTGCCGACTTCTTGCGAAGGTTGGCGACCATCATGACTAATTCACTCTGTATATTGTAATCTAAAATGAAAGATCTTTCTGTTCTGATTTCAAAAATAGGTACCATACAAGTTAATATTTGGTTCAGCCATTTTAGCGCCATTATAATTAAAGGTTGTGATAAAATACCCTAAAATACCGTAAAATTCGAAATATTATAATATTAATGAGGAAGTTATAGCAACTTAGCTTAAAAATTAAAGGAATAATTAAGTAATATTAAGCCAATAACCTTATTCCCTTTTTTAAGTTAAGTTGCAATGTTGAATATCTCATTAATATTTCGTATTTTAGGGTATTTTATCATTTAACTGAAAAATGGCTGAACAAATATCAACTTGTATGGTATTCTTGAAATCAGAAAAGAAAGCTATTTCATTTTAGATTACAATATACCAGCCCCGGATGTACATTTTTTTGAACCAGGGCAAAAAATTGATAGTAGCGCCCCCTCTCTCCAGCGTTTGCAATAAATTAATTTAAAAAACTTACAAATATCTAGATATAGGCAGATATAGGTAGGCATTTTTCGTAAACGGGGCAGAATGAGCCCTTAAGCTTCATTCAGAACCTCGGAATTAGTGGAATAAATTAGTGGTTTTAATTAGCGTAAAAGTTTGTTTCTGTAATTTCAATGTAAGCATTCAGAACGTCTAAATTAGTGGTAGTCATTTTCAATTAGTAGAAAAAGTAAAGAAACTTTTGACTTTTCCACTAATTATACTTCAGATTTTGCGGGAAATGTCATTTTGGCCATTGGTCCGTCAAGAGAAATCGTGGTTAGAAATCAAAAGTTTATTGTTTTATAAGCTAAATATTTGGCTTTCTTTATGGTTACATCTGACTACCGCAAGCTGTTGCTAGGATATTCTATTAATTTTAATTGTGTTTTTCAAACAATGTGTTTAATAATCGAAACCGCTAATTTATTCCACTAATTGCGAGGTTCTGAATGAAACTTTAGAATGTGTTCAAAAACTAACTGAGCGTTTTAAAATTAAATGAATACTTGATAGAAGAACGTAAAGTGCATACTAGGCGCTTTGTGTAGCAATTTTTTTGATTTTCAACCGCATTATAAAATGATTTTGGCGCCCCTTAACACTGGCGCTCGGGGCAGGTGCCCCGGTTTGCCCTCCCTTAGATCCGGGGCTGCAATATACACTATGGTGACCCATTAAAAAATATATAAATTTCTTATCAAATCCACTTTTTGAATATTTTCTTTTTAATGCAAAAAATGCACCAGAAAAAATTATAATGGACATGTTACGTCTTTGAGCATTTTTTTTAAAAAACTAGTACCTGATTTTTAAATGAATATGTTTAGCCCATCTCTGTACAGTTTTAATAAAAAAAATATTCTCGGAGAAAATTTACTTTACTCTATCGTTCGAACACCTTGTACATATCTAGCGAGTTACTTATCTAATTTTTTCAAAAATTGGTAGGTTTTAGTTCCAAGTTACCGCGGATGGCGCGGATCCACTCATCGCGAATACCAACGAATCCGTCGTAAGTTCGTAATTCCATCTCAGCATTTTCAATTTAGTTGAAATACATACCTGTCTTTAAAATCCGTCAAAAGCTAGAGGCTGGTTAAAAAAAACAGAAAAGCTTGCGAAAACAAGCAAATTCAAAATTACTCGCTGGAAAAACTGTACACATAACCTTAAAAATTTTTAAACAGGTGTGTCTAAAGTCTAAATTTTTATTACTTTTACGAAGACTTTTAGCCAGAAGTCATAAGTTTTTTAAAAGAAGACATGACACTCATGACAGGTGCTAAAGGATTTAGGATTAAGGCAAATTTTATGGGTTAAGAATTTGGAGCTATATTTTAAATATATTTTATTATTTCGAAGGAAAATTAAGTAAATACATACTAACCAATACTAACATAATTCACATTACCACAGTTCTCTCAACGTGTCACCGCCCTCCTAAGATTTGCCGCCCGGTGCTATAGCACCAAATAGCACCCTTGTAAAACCGGCACTGCACATCTATAAATGCTAACTTGAGAACTAATGTCAAATATTATTAAATATCACAGTTTCGACAGAATGGCATCGTTATATGAAACTGAACAATATCGAAATTAATTAAATCAAATTGTTTAAGTGATATTTTCAAAAGTCAATAACTCGGAAACGGTTTGTTTGAGGTACATTGTGTGTATTTCGATTTTTGCTTAGAATTGAAGGAAGAATTGAAATATGCAGTAATATCGAGGGGGTTCTATTTATAAAAAATGAAACTTTTATGTGCCACGACTTTATGAACCAAATTAATTTAGCGAGTAAATTTTTTACTCGCTAATAGATATTTAAAAATCCTGTAACTTTTGTATTTAACTTTTTGCGGTACCTCCTATAGTTTACATAACAATCGACCGTATACATACATAAAAGACCCTGTATACCCACCTCTTGGATATACATATTTGTTCTCCATCTTAGCTTCGTTAGCATTGTCAGAGGCGTGAAGCACATTTGGTATGTCTCTGTACAGACCAAATCTCGTTCTTACACTGTATGGGAAAAACCATTCTTCTCTCAGGGTACCCATAGGCCCTATGAGATTTTTCCATTTTTCCACTGCGTTGATTGCTTGGAGGGACAACGAGACAATCGGACCAGCGCTCATGGAGATTACCATGTGTGGAAAAGCTGGAGTACCATAATATTTTTCGTAGATTTCGGATACCTGTTCTGGAGTCAGATGGATGTTTCTTCGCTAGAAAGAATTATTAAAGTAGACGTGATGAAAATCTGAGATAATATCTTCCATACTATACAGGGTGGTCCGAACTGTATTCCGGAAACTTCGGTAGCACATTCTGCAGAAGAAAATAAGTAAAAAAGGTCGTATAAATTATGTCCTTAAATGCTTAGTTTCGGGGATACAGGGTGTAGAAGTTTCATTTTTATTTCGATGTTTTCCAAATAACTTATGAAGTAACGTCAATATTTGGATGAAAATTGGTGTCTGGATGTTTTTTAACATGAGAAATTTGATTTTCATGTCAATATGACTCCTACTTGTAGAGGGCGCCACCTACATATGTTTTAACTGGTTTAAAGAGTAATAAATTTTCGTCCATACCTGTATAAAACTACTGAGTAAAAAAATATACATTCACAACTTTTTTTACATAAAAAAGGTCTCTTGGTAAAAATCGCTATATGTAATGGTTCTCGAGATATTTGGAATCGAAATTATCATGTTGACTCTGTTGACTACCTACTTTAACATGTTGACTAAATAGTTATTAGACTGAAATCATAAATTTCAAATCTTTTTGTGCCAAAAGTTCAAGAGAAACTGTTTAATCATCATTTTTTCGCAGAAAAATTTATGATTAATTTAAAAAAATAAAAATGTATTATTTCAGTCAAATAACTATACTCAACGTGTGCTTATTTGTTGTCAATAATGACATGTATTGACTATTTCCATTCTAAATATCTTGAAAACGGTTGTTCGTAGCGATTTTTACCAAGAGACATTTTTATATATTTTTTTAGTTACCGTAAAATGGGGTGAATAGAAACAGTTTCGTAGGCTATTAGCGATATACCGGCTGATAAAAATGTGGTATTATTTTCCCGAATATTTTAAAACATGGGTCTTTGTTTGTTCTTTGCGTATACATATAATTTGATTTTTGAAAAATATGCCTATAAATATTAAATAAAAACAACATTTGTGTTTCTATTCACCTGCTATTCGGGAGAATAGAAACACACATTGATATTAAGGTTTTTATCTATTCTACTTCCAACAAGGTGATTAGAAACAGTAAATTATTACGTGTTTAAGTAGATTTAACAATCATTAACAATACATATAATATAACAACTTACATGTACCAGCTTATGTATTACTTTAAAAATAAATATTTTATTTATAAAGTTTTCGCGCCATACCAAATAGGTGATAAATCAATCTCACATTTATTGATCAGGTGATTGACAGAAACAGTGCTGCCACAGACAAAAATATAGTTTTTACATTTTATTGTGTATTACCAATGATAGAAAAATTAGATATGTCGACTCTTTTTACTTTGAATATTTTTAATCGTGATTTAATTTTTTTCAGAAATGTTGTTTCTTTTCACCACTATGTTTCTATTCCCCCCATTTTACGGTAGTAGTTTTATACAGGATGGACGAAAAGTTATTACTTATCAAAACAGTCAAAACGCATGTGGTGGCGCCCCCTACAAATAACAGTCATTTTGACATCAAAATTAAATTTATCGTGTCACAAAACTCCCAGACACCAATTTTCATCCAAATATTGACTTCAGAAATTATTTAGAAAAAATCAAAATAAAAATGAACATTCTACACCCTGTATCTCCGAAACTAAGCATTTTAGGACATACATTTATACGATCTTTTTTACTTATTTTTATCTGCAGAATATGCTGCCGAAGTTTCCGGAATACAGTTCGGACCACCCTGTATAATACATGTGATGATCACATACATTGAGATATAGTTTGTCCAGCTGGAGAATGAATACCTCAACATCGAAGAAAAAATCGACCTCAGAGTCGGCTTGGAAATGAAAATCCTTATCATTTTATATGTAAAATTATAATTATGGAAAATACCATCGATTGTCATTTTCAAGATATCTCGACACGGCTTTTTTTTCATCATATAGTGTAAGTATACGATTTTGAGAAACATCCAATATGATTTAAAGGCTTACTCCTTTAACTTTTTTATTTTTTCAGATAACAAAACGAGATTTGGTATATTATATTATATGACATAAATTAGGGTTGATTGACATATTCAATTGTTTTTTATCACTTCCTGTTTCACCGGAAATGATTACAACTTTTGATTTTAAATCATACCCTCGGTATTTTTTTTTACTTTGTTCGATAGAAAATAACACTCTGAATAGAATGACACATCATATGTCACTTGTGACTTTTGACTTTTTCGCCTGGTACCAAATTATTCGTAAAAAAAATACTTTTTCCGACACTTTTTCCGAATATGCTAATGAGCCACCCTTGTTCCATTTGCAAAAAAATAGATGTGATTAAAAATACGATTTGGGCATCTTTTCACCGACCAGGACAAGACACGAAAAGCATTAGAAGAAAATCTATTTTTCCAAGGCTCCTTGATTAAACATTAGTGTTTTTAACACCGAACAATCATCATTGACAATTTTTTTTCGATTATTAATTAAGCTGTACCCAAACAATACACTTTTTAAAACTGGATATTATGTCGCACAAAAACTTAAAATATACACAATAACACAATACTACCACAATTTATTAGGTACTACAGTTTATTTTCGGGGAAAATACGCTATTAAACAGTAAAACAAAATATATTTTTTATCTCAATGACCGACCGCCGACAAATAAACAATTAAATAACGAGCCCTTTTAAAAAAGCCGCCCGTATTTCCTAGAATTACTTGGTTTCATTTGGCCTGAAAGTGTGCTGAAAGGTTTCCAGATTAGTCTCAAAGTCGGAGTTAAAGAAACAAAATCAGCACAATTTAAAGCAAAACCTATGAAAATTTTATTTCCCACATGAAATTATATACGAAAATATTAAAAAAGTGTTTAAAATAATAATTTATTTATATTACAATATTATTAGTCATTCAAGTACATGGCAACAGTGTGTTAAAAACAGCAAGAAAAATCACTCACACACAGCGGCGAGTATTATTCAGGTTTCGATCGAGATATTATACAGAGAAAATTTTATAACCGAGGATTCCTCGGGTGATCATCCGATTATTGGAATCCTCGAGGATCAACACTCGAGTATTGAAATCGTCCGATTTTTCGCTACACTACAATAAAGTAGTCGGCTTCAATAATGGAACCACAGATCTGCCCAAAGCAGGTCCTAACACAGCAGATACTGCTGCTGTGTTAAAACCTGCAAGTATTATGGTACAGATCATAAGCATGTAGTCTATCTACACATAGAATATATAAATTTGACAGATTAGATGACATCCAAAAGGATGACGGAAAAAGCAATCTACCTACTGAAATAAAATAATAAACAATATCTTTCATTAATTAAAGTTTAAATAATATAATAGCTCTTGCATGCTTATTTACCTACAATAATTGTTGATATCAGAATTTTTCTGAGCGACATCCTGTATAACAACGATTTTTAAAAATTTATAACAATTATGTCCTCTTCCATAAATGCCAACACTAAAAAACAACAAAAAACAAAATACGTATTTCTTAATTATTATCTACAGCTTCTATAAAGCTGAAACACCCAACCTATCCGAGCCATTACCACGACTCGTAAACCACGTACCTACCAGCATAATAACCATTAAAAAATTGAATTAATGGGTACTTACTCGTGAAAGTAATTTCAATTTTACCATATTAATTTTAGCCGCAATTAAAAGGTATTGTTTCGAGCCTTGTTTATTACTAGTCAGCCTTAAATTACAAGTTATTAACTTTCGTTTTTATAATGCAGACGCTCCTAAGAGTAGGCAATTTTCTTTGTTTTAAACAGTCGTTATAAGTGGGTCTAATTCGTATAGATGATATATCTAATTAATTTTTGCGAGTTTCGCTGTTTGTATGATTTTCTCTCTTGTAAATTTTAACGATTTTTAATTAAAATTCTTCGTTCTGTTAATGGCGTGATTTTGGAAAAGATACTTCATACTATTTTAAAGTTAATGATATACAGAGTGAGTTTCCTACGAGGTTCTCTATGGGTATCTCGGAAACTACTGGAGATAGAGAGTCGGTTAAATGGGGAAAGAATTGCAGTTTTGTGGGGTCATAAATATGCGCCTTTTAGATTTTTGAAAAAGTTCATGGCTTACTAGATATTTAGAAAAAACAAATTTCGGCTATTTTAAATGTCCCTAATTCCATTATAAGCTATTTTAGACAAAAAGTTTTCAGATAAAAGTTGTAGATAATCAAATCCTTAATGAGATTGTGTCCTCCGTTTTTTTTAAAGCATGTCATTTTTGACATTTGACACAAACATATGTTTTTTTAAATGGAAACCATAGTTGGCCATGACTTTATAAAAAGTGCCATTTTTTAAGCTTTTCAGCGATATAAGCTATAATATGTTTTCTTCGAAAATTTATCGAGTTATAGCCAATTCTTATCATTTTTAAATAATTTCACTTAGTTAGCCATGGAAACAATCGTCTTTGCTCTTATAAATGTGAAGCTGCCACATCCAAACTTTGTAAATTAAAGTAAACAAAAATTGTAAATATGAATTTTTCAAATGAAGAAAAGCGTGTAAGATTATTGGTTCAACTTTTCTTGACCATACAGTTTCGAGGATACGTTGACCGGTGAATGTTATGTTTTTTAAAGAACGATTTTCAAGACTTGTTAGAAAAGTTAAATTTAGTTATAGCCATTTCTTATCTTTCTTGACTAAATTCACTTAGATTGCATGGCATTCTTATTCTTTTGTGATTTATAACTTATAAAAAGTCAGAATATATTACTAAACGGTTCTTTAGAATTTACATTACACAAACTAAAACTTAAAAATATAATATCGCTGTAGTCACTGCATACACTTTAAGTTATTTTAGAAACTGTTCAAAAAATCCGCCATTGTTTTGAGTTACATCTTTTTAAAACTGAATTATTACCTATTCTCACAAAAGGACCGGTTGACTTAATTAAACTTCTCTCGTACCGCCACTTCGAGTGCCTCTCTTAATTCATAAGTTCTTTTGTAAACCTTATTTTTAACCATACCGCATAAAAAAATCTAAAATGGATAGGTCAGGTGATCGAGGAGGCCCATGCAATTAGTCCACCTCTTCCTATCTCTGAGTTTATATTATTATGATATCAATGATTTTTAACATTTCTTTCATTATCCGGGGGGGGGGGGATAATGAAAGTCATTTTGGAAACACTCTATTGATGCGCGAGCATCTACACGCTTTTCTTCATTTGAGAAATTCATATTTACAATTTTTGTTTATTTTAATTTACAAAGTTTGAATGTGACGGCTTCACATTTCTGAGAGTAACGGCGATTGAACTTGTTTTCATTGCTAACTAAGTGAAATTGTTTAAAAATGATAAGAATTGGCTATAACTCAGTAATTTTTCGAACAAAACATATTATAGCTTATATCGCTAAAAACTTAAAAAATGCCGCTTTTTATGAAGTCATGGCCAACTATGGCTTCCATTTAAAAAAACATATGTTTGAGTGATATGTCAAAAATGACAGGCTTTAGAAAAAAACAGAGGACACGATCTCATTACGGATGTGATTATCTACAACTTTTATCTGAAAACTTTTTGTCTAAAATAGCTTATAATGGAATTAGGGACAATTTTTAAAATTGCCGAAATTTGTGTTTTTCAAAATATCTAGTAAGCCATAAACTTTTTCATAAATCTGAAAGGCGCATATTTATGACCCCACAAAACTTCAATTCTTTCCCCATTTAACCGACTCTCTTATCTCCAGTAGTTTCCAAGATACCCATAGAGAACATCGTAGGAAACTCACCCTGTATGATAAATTCGAGGATTTAAAGAAATCTTAAATTTATTTCTTTATTTATCTTAAAAAAGGTATCAAATTATTCGTAAAAAAGGCATTTTTTACGAATAATTTGATACCACACAATTGGTATTTTGAGTCAAATTTTCGTTACGAACCGCATGTTACATTTTCAAATAAACCATATGAGAAAATGTCAAAACTTGACATTTGATATGTCATTCTATTCAGAGTGTCATTTTCTATCGAATAAAGTAAAAAAATACCGAGGGTGTTATTTAAAAATCACAAGTTGTAGTCATTTCCGGTGAAACAGGAAGTGACCAAAAACAATTGAATGCGTCAAGCGTCAATCAATCCCAATTTATGTCATATACTGACATACGAAATCTCGTTTTTTTATCTGAAAAAATAAAAAAGTTATAGGGGGTGAGCCACTTTTGAGACGCACCCGGTATACTATAAAATAGAGAAAATACGATATGAGAGATACAATATGAGATTTTTAGGCGTGGATTGAAGCAGATTGATTAGTTAAATTTTATAATATACACAGTTTGTCAAAAAAATCGTTTATGTAAATTTTATATACCGGGTGCGTCTCAAAAGTGGCTCACCCCTATAACTTTTTTATTTTTTTAGATAAAAAAAATGAGATTTGGTATGTTATTATGTTTGTATGTTAGTATAATTAGGATTTATTGACGTATTCAATTGTTTTTTACCACTTTCTGTTTCACCGGAAATAACTTCACATTTTGATTTTTAAAAGGCACCCTCGGTATTTTTTTCTTTATTTGATAGAAAATGACACTCTGAGTAGAATGGCATATCATATGTCAACTTTTGACATTTTGTCATATGGTTTATTTGAAATTATAACATACGGTTCATAACGACAATTTTAGCCGGAGAGCGGGCGACATATTTAGAGAACATATTTTAGGCAAGTTAGAATAACAAAAAAAAAACTTTAATAACTTGTGAACCCAGAATCCTAAGTCTGGCTGGGGGGTTGGGGGTATTTCGCTACTGCGCAACCCATAACATTTGCAAAAAAATAAATCCAAAAAACATTCTTTAGGCAACTTGAAATTTGTTTATTCTTAAATTTTAGCATCTATTTAACCTAGAAATAAGTATGCCAGACTTTTTTTTCGGGTTTAAAGTGTAACCCGACCGTTCCAAATATGTTTAATTATTATACCTGGAAAACATACTTTAGGCATTCTAAAATTTTTACAGCGTGTTTATTAGATGGTATTAAAAAATATGTGTTAATTGCCAGACGAATTCAATGGGATTTAATACTTGCCAGACGCGAATAAAGATTTTAAATGAGCGCGACAAAAAAGTCTTATGAGTATCTATAAGTGCGAGAAAGATAGTTTATTGAGACCCATCGGCAACCGATGATGAGCCGATGCGGCTGACGTAACAGTATTTTGGAGTACTCCAAATTTTCATAAAAACAATTTTTTTTGGTTTCATTTCAATTATTTGCAGGCTTTTAATTCAGAGATTATTTTGTTGGAATTAAGTTACCATGTACAAATATGTATTTATAAATTAAATATTGACGTGCATAGTGTAAATAGTTTAGAATAATTACTGCAAATAAATATTTTAGGAACTACTAATTTCGCTACTAACTACTAAATCACAATGGATAAAAAATATTTAAGTTGTGTAGTTTGTAAACAAGTTACTAGTGACAAAGTTATTGTTTTTGATGAAGGCAGACTACAAAAATGGCATTAAAATGGCTTTTTTATATTGTCAATCAGGTCGCAAAAATTGATAATAATATAATATGTCACAAAAGTATAATAATAATTATACTTTTGTGACGTTTGAAAAAAATATATTTTATATTATGCTAATTTTTAAATAATTATTCGTCTTTTTATTCTTTCAGATACAAAATACTTAAATTAAAAAGTCTTCTTATTGAAAGGATTTCAATCATACATTTTTATTAAAAAATGTTTCTTTTTATTTATTCAATATTAGTTAATTTTTTTTTAAATTTTACGACTCCAAAATGCTGTTACGTCAGTCGTTTAAAATCTTTATTCGCGTCTGGCAAGTATTAAATCCCATTGAATTCGTCTGGCAATTAACACATATTTTTTAATATGATCTAATAAACACGCTGTAAAAATTTTAGAATGCCTAAAGTATGTTTTCCAGGTATAATAATTAAACATATTTGGAACGGTCGGGTTACACTTTAAACCTGAAAAAAAAGTCTGGTATACTTATTTCTAGGTTAAATAGATGCTAAAATTTAAAAATAAACAAATTTCAAGTTGCCTAAAGAATGTTTTTTGGATTTATTTTTTTGCATATGTTATGGGTTGCGCAGTAGCGAAATACCCCCAACCCCCCAGCCAGACTTAGGATTCTGGGTTCACCAGTTAATAAACTATACATTTTTAGTTATACTAGCTTGCCTAAAATATGTTCTCTAAATATGTCGTCAGCTCTTAGGCCATTTGACTTGAAATTCCAAGTACCACATCCAAATTATGCACAAAAAAATGCTTTTTCGAAATATGCTAATGAACCACCACCGTTCCATTTGAAAAAATTGAGATACGATTAAAAATACGATTTGAACATCTTTTAACCGGCAAGGACAAGACACGAAAAACATTAAACGATCAAATTATTTTTCCAAGACTCCCTGGTTAAAAATTAGTGTTTTCAACACAACCATGGCACTCTAGATTGAAATTTAAAACACAATCTTTTTTAAAGCGAAAATGTCAAAAGTTGACAATCATTTCCTATCGAATAAAGAAAAAAAAAATACCGAGGGTACCATTTAGAAATCAAAAGTTGTAGTCATTTCCGGTGAAAAAGGTGATCAAAAACAACTGAATACGTCAAAAAATCGAAATTTATGTCATATACTAACATACCAAATCTCATTTTTTTATATGAAAAAATAAAAAAGTTATAGGGGTGAGCCACTTATGAGACGCACCGGGTATATTTAAATCGACTCACGTGAACGATTCTAAACCCAGCTTTGTCAACAGCGCGAAGGACTACATCTTGGAACTCCACAGCTTCGGGTTTTATAATGGCCAGCGTCCTCTGGAGGATATTCTCTTCGCAGGGCACAGAGGTGGACGATGAACTCGTCGAAGTGGACCTGGCTCTGGTAACGGGCAGCTCATGGATCATAGGAAGGTAGTAGAGGTCTTGGTAGTCGAAGTCGCCCTCGCATATTGTGTGGGCGGCGGTACTGGCCGGGGAGAGGTAGTGGATGGTATTGGGAAGATCTGATACCTAAAAACGAAATTTATGTTGGTAAGTACCCAAAATAAAATTATTAATTAAAAAAAATCTTTAAAAACAAGCTTCTCAACCTCAACCACCCTGCTACGTAGAGACATCAGTTAAAGTGCCGTTAGACGATGAGAGTGGACAGACGGGTGAACGTCTGGACCTCTCTCCTGCTATCTTTCCATGACCAGAGTGTAAATCTAATATTGACACACACTGCTCGTTCACGTTGCGGTTCAGATTCCGCGTAAAGAAAGTAGGCTCCGCACAGAGGGCCAGGGTCACTAAAAACATTGAATATTACAAAAAAAAAATATTATTATATCATAATTCTTGTTATCAGTTTACAACAAGTACCTAGGCTTTGGAGCATCACAAAACAAAAGCAAATGAATAATGGAGTTGTCTTAAATGTCAAAAATCGCTTCACTTGATAGTAGGCTTTGCGAAATGCCATTATATCGCGGCAGAAGAGTCTCAACTTTGTAATTTTTTTTAAATGTATAATTTACAAATATTTTTTTATGATGAATGTAGATGATAGATGTAAGTTTTTACTGGTTTTCTACTCTTTCGCATTTTAATAATATTTTCCCATATATTTGTATTAGGGTCATTATTGTTAAAATATATTTTTCAAAAAAAAAACATGTAAAAATATCGTATTTTTTTATACATGTCTACACCCTGTGTGGTACAGCATATTGTTCTGTTGGATGCACAGTCCGGCAATAATGCGTCAGGTATCTGTAGCTCCTAGAATAAAAAACTTGGGAATGTTGTTTAAGTGCAAACCTAAAGTATGTACAAGGATGTATTTTAGAAAAAAATTTTAACTTCTATAGGGTGGCTCAAAAAAGTGTGAGTGGACCGGGATGATTTTTTTTTAAATGGAACACTCTGTATATTATTGCATTTTTGACTTCCTTTCTGATCACTTTACATAATCCTAAGATCAGATGTAAATATATTTGGATAGTTTCAGAGATATTAATAAATAAATAAAAAAATATATAGTTTTCAGTAAGTTACAAAGTAAGTTGATAAAATATTGTATTTTCAAAAATTACAAATAAAATGAAGGTACAGCTGTTGTCATATTTTTATGCAATTGCCTCAAAAGTCTTAAAAATCGATTTTTAAGATAAACTATTTTTATAAAAAGTTGGTTACTTTTGACTATTGAGACATCCTGTATAACAAACATGTTCACATATTATCATGCTTCTAGGCTCATAAATTTTTTGGAAACTAGTTAAGGTGTGACTTTGACCTGAATCTGCGAAAATATAATTTTTTATGTTATATTGGTTAATATTGTAACACCCTGTATAAACCATTTCCTATTGACTAATAATTGTTAATTTTTTCATATTTTGTATTGATTTTGTAATTTTAACACATATTGAATGCATAATAATTTTTCCATAAAATATAGTCCGCTGGCCCTCTGTGCTCCGTCAAGATTAGCCTATAAGCCGGTACTACACGATGCGTCGAACGTTGGTTCCAAAGTTGTAACCAACATTTGGCACATATTTCGACAATATTGCAATTGACAAGTGTGTTTCCTACAGGATGTGGCAAAAGTTCATGTGTCCAACGTTGGAAGGTCTTTGCCACATCGTGTGGGACCGGCTTAAGCAACAAAAAGGAGACGTTAACTAATTTTTAAAATTAAACTTCTATATTATATATGCTCTAAAATACTTCACAAAGGCATTAACCTCAAATCCAAGGAGGCAATTGAGAATGAGAGATAATATATCCTCTATTATAATAGATTCGGGACAACACCGGTATCAGGTAAAAGGAGAGATCAAGTTAAAGAGGTGGAAAAAATGGATACAGATCCGTCAGCCTCCACGTCACGGGCACCTCAGCCGGAGCCAAGCTCCTCGACAGCGCAACAAACAGTGCAAGTTCCAAAAGACACAAGCTACCATCTCCTCTAGTGGTCAGGAGCCTAACTCTAGACCCAACAGGCACAACAAGCTACCGTTTTCTATACCCGGCCTGGGTATAGAAAAACCAGGCGGGATAGACGACCTGCTGTGAGTAGATCTCAGTGAAGCAGGAATACGGAGATATCTCCGAGTGCTCCACGAAGGATTTGCTCCAGGGGAAGCAAAAGCTCAAACACTACTCGGAAAATGTAAAGCTAAAGGAACCAAGTAACAGCCATCAAAGGGCAAAAGAGAGAGTGAGAGAGAGAGAGTGAGAGAGAGAGCGAGAACCTCTCACCTCTGCTCCGGTAAGGAGAGAAAAAGCCAGGATGGGAAGCCGTCCAACACCGGGAGGCAAGAAGTTTTGCCAGTACTCCAATGTAAGGACATCGAGTTGGCGAGTCATCAACTTGAGCGAGGAGGGCCATGGTCAGGTCCTCACAATAGGAATTGACCTCAAATCCAAGGAGGTATCAGATCTAAGAGAGAGGAGATTAAAGAGGTGGAGAGAGGGATCCTCCAGCCTCCACCTCATGGGTACCTCAGCCGGAGACAAGCTCTTCGACTGTGAAGGGCACGGAGAGTTAAACCCCAACTGTGGAAGTGCCCATGCCCTTGTAGGAGGTAAATGTCCACTTCTCGGAGGATGAACAGCTGTTGTTAAAGGAGAATGGAAATACTCTGTCCCCCCTACAAAATGGAAGATTTCCATGGATGTATAGACTGTGTTTTTATGTTTTGTATGTTTTATGTTCATGTTTTAATAAAATGAGAACTTACTCTACTAGAATTTAATCCGGAAGTTCTCTGTGAGTTGGGACGAGATCCATACGGTGTAGACCTGATTGAGCTTTCCGTTAAAAGTCCCACGTCGTCCTTAGAATTTATACGAATATCCATTTTCAAAGAGAAGAAAACTAAATCTTATTTGATAGAGATAGTGAAGTTATGACTCAACTTTTTCACAACTTACGATTATGATAGATGATTTGCCAAATATTCTGTCAATTTCTGTTCTGACATTTTTAATTAGATAGGTCATATCTGTGGATGCTATACTTTTTTTCGTAAAACTTCTCGTGACTTTAACCACTATGACCAAAAACGATCCGGAATGCAATTGGTATTTGTGTTTTTTTTCAAAGAAATTAAAAAAAAAAGTCTGCTTTACCTTGAACAGTTAGAAATATTAAAATCTGTTAAAAACTAAACACATTTTCCATTATCTTTATTGTAAACTGCCTGAACCCACCCCCATAGTATTATTCCGGAAACTTCGACAGCATATTCTGCAGATAAAAATAAGTAAAAAAGTTCGTATAAATGATGTCGTAAAATGCTTAGTTTCGGAGATACTGGGTGTAGAAGTGTCTTTTTTATTTCGATTTTTTCCAAATAATTTCTGAAGTAACGTCAATATTTGGATGAAAATTGGTATCTGTGAGTTTTTTGACATAAGAGATTTTATTTTGATGTCCATATGACTCCTATTTGTAGGGGGCGCCACCTACATGTGTTTTATCTGTTTTGAAGAGTAATAACTTTTCGACCATACCTGTATAAAACTACTGAGTGAAAAACTATCATAACTCCACCGACTAAATATAGATGTTGCCGCTCTTGGCGAAACCCGCTTTGCGGATGAAGGTAGTCTCACTGAGGAGCATTACACCTTCTTTTGGAAGGGTCACCCGGCAACACACAGGAGAATTCATGGCGTAGACATTGCAATCAAAAACGAAATCGTCACCAAATTAACAGAGGTACCTATTGGTGTCTCCGAACGTCTTATGGCCCTAAGGTACCCCATATCAGACAAAACTTACGTCAACATCATAAGTGCCTACGCTCCTACCCTAGACGCTAAAATTGATGATAAGGATAAATTTTACCAAGCTCTGCAAAATATACTCCAACAAATTCCAAAGCACGAACGAATCATTTTGCTAGGTGACTTTAATGCCCGTGTCAGCAAACAACAGGAAATATGGCCTGACGTGTTGGGAAAACATGGAATGGGAAACGTAAATAGCAATGGTGAACGCTTATTAACAACATGCACTGAGTATAATCTCTGCATCACCAATACGTGGTTCATGCTGAAGGACAAATTTAAAGGTACCTGGAAACATCCGATATCAGGTCATTGGCACCAATTGGACCACGTAATCGTTCGAAGGACGCACCTAAAAGATGTCAGTCTCACAAAAGCCAGAGTAGATGCCGAATGTGGCACTGACCACCGACTTTTAATCTCAAAAATGAAAATCCAGTTAAAACCCAAACATCCACACTATAAAAAGCAAAGCTACATGACCAGATTGAACGTACGGGGTCTAGAGAACAACGATACCGCCGACGCCCTCCTGGAAGCCATCAAAGAATCACTTCCACCGATAACTTCAATCTCAATCGTGGATGCTGAACATGGCTGGACACAACTAAGAGATGCGATTCACAAAACCAGCGAAGCAGTACTGGGAAAATCCAACAAAAAGAAACAACCAGACTGGTTTAACGGAAATCAACCGCATATACAGGCTTTGTTGGAACAAAAGCATAGAGCACATCAAGCCGTCACTGCAAATCCACACAATCCAAGACTAGCAGACAACTTCAAGGCAGCCAACAACACGCTCCGAAGAAACCTGCGCCAACTAAAGGATAACTGGTGGTCGCAAAAAGCTAGTCAGATTCAGGAGTATGCCACGCATCACGACTATCGTAAATTCTTTGAGGCTGTAAAAGAAGTATACGGTCCAACTAAGAAGGCAAGATGTCCAATCATGGCACAAAATGGCGAACTTCTAAAAGAGGAAGAGCAGATCAGAAACCACTGAAAAGAGCATTACAGCCATATCCTTAACCAAGAAAACAACCCCAATATGGAAGCACTCAACATAATACCTCAGTATAACAGCTTCGGTGTAGTAGACATTCCAATAACAGAACAGCAAATAAAGGACTCCATAAAACAGCTTAAAAACAACAAATCAGCTGGCTATGACGCGATTCCCGCGGAAATCTATAAGTGTGCAAGTAAAGAACTTATTGGTCATCTTAAGGCTCTCTTTGATGTCATATGGGAAAGCGGAGAGGTACCTCAGGACTTTTGCAACGCGAATATAGTGAATATATTTAAGAACAGAGGAAGTGCATCAGACTGCGGAAACTACAGAGGAATTTCACTACTGGCTATCGGAGGAAAAATTCTTGCAAACATTATGTCAAACCGCCTGCACCCACGTATAGAAAAATTCCTCCCAGAATCGCAAACGGGTTTTCGCACCAACCGCGGTACCGTCGATTCCATATTCTCCATCCGACAACTACAGGAAAAAGTAAAAGAGCACTAGTCTAAACTTTACGTTGCATTCATCGATCTAACAAAAGCCTTCGACTCTGTGAACAGATATCCACTTTGGGTAATTATGAAAAAGTTCCGGGTACCCATCAAATTTCTTACAGTGTGTAAAAGCCTCCATAACAACAACAAATCAAGAGTGTCATATCATGGATCACTGAGCGATCCCTTCCTAACAAACACAGGCGTTAGGCAGGGATGTGTCTTAGCGCCTCTTCTATTCAATATATTCATGGCAGCGCTCTCCATTATAGTGGACAGCAAACTGCAGGAGAGAGGTTTGGGCATTAGATACAGATACGACGGTGGTCTGTTCAACATAAAAAGACGTACAAAATTCATCACAGAACTTCTATACGCTGATGACTGTGCTCTAGTTGCAAATACGTTACAGCAATTGCAAGAAATGTTGAACACATATACATGGGCATACGAGCCTTTGGGACTTAAGCTGAACATCGATAAAACTAAAATCATGTGCACTCCCCCGGAAGATCACAACAATGCTATAAAAATCGGAGATGCGCGTTGGAATATGTAGCGGAATTCAATTACCTCGGCAGTTTGATTTCGGAAAAGGCCAATATCGACTCTGAAATTCAGCACAGGATTAGCAGCGCCTCAAGAGCATTCTGGAAATTAAAAGACAGGGTTTTCTACAATCATGACTTGAGCACAAAAACGAAACTTGCGGTGTACCGAGCGATAATAGTTCCCACCATGTTATATGGCAGCGAAACCTGGGTGCCGATGCCGTACCGCTGACACATGAACGCATTAAACAATAAATAATAATAAATAATTTTATAAATAATAAAATGGTTCCATCATGTTTCAAACGTATCGGTCCTTGAAAAAGCTAACTGCGAGAGTATTGAAGTCATGATTACAAAGTCCCGCTTAAGATGGGCTGGTCACGTATGCAGAATGCAAGATAACCGAATACCAAAATCTCTGCTTTATGGTGAGCTTGTAGACGGTAAGAGGAGGCCAGGTGGACAACTCAAAAGGTTCAAGGATATTTTCCATGAAAACTTAAAGGGAATTAACAAGCAGAGTGAGTGGGAAGAGGCAGCTCACAATAGAACGGAATGGAGAAGAATTGTAAAGTCAGTTAACAGCGACAACCAAAAAGTAAAGAGGCAACAAAGCAATGAGATTTTTGAATGTCTGGAGTGCGGCAGACAGATAACATCACGTATCGGGCTTTTCAGTCACAGAAAAGGTCATGAAAGAAAACGCCTTGCGTGACTATCTTCTGATGTGTGTCAAATACTCGGCAATGGCGGTATGGTATGGTATATGAAATTCGCCCCCATTGTAGGCCCACATTTCGAAAGCATCTATTTTTCTTCTGTTTGCAGTTTTCAGGTCCAACCGGTCGCGGTCTTTCGGTCCAACCGGTCTTCCGGTCCAGCCAGTATACCAGTTCAGTATCGGTCCCACCGATCTAATTGTTAGAACCTGTATACAGGTTGTAGGACCGGTACTTCATGGTACCGGATACTGGTAGAGGAATCTTAGGACCGAACATCCCTATGTTATGGGGGAGCAGAGGTAATTGAATTTTTCGACCATTTCAACATCAATAATTTAGATCTATAGAAACAATATTTTCTATTATGCAGTCAAAACCTAGCTAGTATTTCTGGTGAGCCTTTTTCTTCTAAAATTACGTCACACGTCACCGTTAAAGAAATTACGCCGCCGTCCCATTATTTATAAACAATGATTTCTCTTAGCAAAAACGGTGGTGTTCCGTGCGGTTTGCTTCTTCGGTTGGCTGATGGCGGATCTCTCTAATCTGCGATCACGCTTCGTGTCGTTCAATATCGTGTGGTGGTGATACGGTTTCCCATATTCGTTGGGTGATCACACGCGCCTAATCTTAAAAGATAATCCAACGGTTGTCAAATTGAAGAAACAAGAACTCTACCGATATTCATCATTTACTGGTGAAAATATTAAAAGGGTTCGTTAATTTTTTGAATCGGAAAAAGGACCCAATATTTTGGAGTAATGTAACTTAGTAACGAATATGAACAAGAAATTGACAATTTTGCTAGTGCCGATAGAATCTAAATAACTGCGAAAATGTTTTAGTTGTGTTATTAGTGAGAGTGATAAGTTAAAGTGACAAACTTTTATTCTTCCTCACACATGGATCTATCATATGGAGAAGAAGAGTAATGAATATGTTATAAAGGTAAGTTCTTTTATTTGAAAGAATTTAATAAGCAAACCAAAAATCGTTATGATAAGTTGTGAAATAAAAAAAGGTTTTTTTTTCATAGAATACGATAGTATAGAATTATGTTTTTATTTTTATTATATTCACGCATTTATAAACATAAGGTAGAGGTACCAATACGAGCTAGCCCATAAAAAAGTTATTATAAGCGATACCAATTAAACTTTTAGTTACGTAATCGAGGGCGCGATTTTTAAATTCATTGTTGCCAACTATGAACATATTCGGCCTGACCAAGTTAGGTTAGGTTGCTGGGGTTTGCGAGTGGGTTTGGGATCATGTTTGATACCTCACTCGGAGGCCTTGGACCCATTGCGATACCCCTGTATTGTTGTACCAAACCTTCATTTCATTCTTTCTTTGCGTTAAAGCACTTCCAGCTCTTTGCAAAGTTCCCGATGTCGCTGATGTTGCCTTCTGCTGATTCCTCTAGTCCCTTCAAAAAACATTGCAATAAAGTTTTTAAGCGTCGGTATTCTAGTGCCGGACAGTGGCACAGCAGATGCTCTATGATTTCTTCTTCTTCTCCGCATTCTCTACATAGTAGTAGTCGTTGGAAATCTTACTTATCCATCTCACGAGGTTTACCCCCGTGGGGCAGTTTCCAGTGATCAAACCTACAATTATGTGTACTAGGTTCTTTTTGTGCTCTAGTAGTTGTTTGGTCTTTTTGCTATCTACCACTGGCCATGGTCTTCGAGCTGTCCTCACTATCTTTGGCCTGACTAACTGGAATTTAAATTTCCCGCTGAGGATTCAGCTGGTAGCTCTGTTGCAAAAAATGTCAAGTTGCCGCATTTATTTATTTATTTCCTGACATTGTAATTCGTTTTGACACTTTAGTTTTGTAACGTAAGGTTCTGAAGACTGTCAATAAAACAAACTGCTGCAGGAAATATTAGCTTTTTTTATTTTCCACGCTGATGGTTGTAGGGGTGGTTTATAAAAGTTCTAACAAAATTCTAAAATAAATTATAATTAATAGGGAACCCAGTTAAGGGTTGTAAATCAATTTCTTACCTAACACCAGGTTTATACTTCAAAATAATAAGAATCTAATATATTTGATAATAAATCTAAAACCAAAGGCTGTTAGCACTTGTAGCGTTATAAGTAAAATGGCGATCACCCGAATTCCATTATTGCAAAAAAGCGAAATTTATAAATTGAAACTACCAGGGCCATCTATATATTAGTTTATAAGAAACCTAATGTTAAGATCCAGAAACCTGTTTTACTATTATATTAAATTAATTCATTATATCTAATATTTCCCGCATATTTTATTAATTATGCTACAGTTTTGTATTACGAGTTTTTGGTTTAAATGAATTGGGTTGTGATACTTTAAGCTTAAACATTTCACTAGGAGCCCTTGCAGTCAATGTCCTTTACTTTCTTTTCGTCCAAAAATTTTAAATATTTTTCCCTCAAAAACAGTTAATGTTAGGTGTACAGTGTTTGATATCAAAAGTCAATAAAATTTTACGTCTACTATACTTAAAATTTGACGTATATATAATAAAAAATGGGGGCACGGGGCACCCATTTAAAATAAGAAAGCTGCTGTCAGCTGCCGGTATTTTCGGAAGTGCCGCCATATTGAAAATATTTTTAATCGATAGATCTCGTTGTAAAACAATGACGTACAAAAAATCTCCGATCTAGATATTCTATTAGAAGTTCTCTAGAAACTTCTAATCACTTCTAATTCACTCAACCTGGGACACCCTGTATATCAACATATTCGACTTTATACACTTCAGTCCTTCAAAAATCATATTTTATACTGAGCAGACCGTCAATATCTAAAAGTTATATTTTCGTGTTTACTATATTTTTTTGCAACAAGAATTGTATTTTTCGACCATAAAGCTCTTGCCGCATGTAATAAACAAATTAACAACCTGTATGTAGCTGCATTTTTATTAAGTATTTCTTTATATTAAATTTCTCATACTGATAATCAATCTCGAGATCCAGGGATTATAGGTTCAACGCAAGCCCGATCTTGAAAATTGGGAACCCTAATTATGATCAATTTTATAACGCACTTCAACAAAAAGTTCCGATAAGCAACTATCTTAGGCATCATAAGGCACATATTATAATGCGCATTAATCATTCAGCAAAAATTATTAATTGCTATAATTTGTATTAAAAATTACACAAAAAAAATTACAATACTTTTGAAGTAAAAATATTGTCAAGGTGTATGTGGCGCTAAACTGTATTACTAGTTGCCTACCTTACCGCAGCGTGTCAAGAAAAATGGCGCATTCGCCAGAAAGTAAAAGAATATTACAGAATTCTTCAGAAAGTTCCAGAAACACTCGCCAGAGAGTATATAAAGCCCGCGCTTGGCCTTTGAATAAGAAGACTAAGGAAGGAGCATAATGCTATCCATGTATTCATGCATGGTGGGCGGAAAAAGCGCCATAAAAGCACTCTAGGGTGAGAATCCTTGACAGTTCTATTTGACGATTCATTTGACACATTTGAATTTGATTTGAAATTTTGTGGATTTGTCAGTCTTTAAGGAGCTTATTTTATGTTATTTATTATTTATTCTACTACTGATAGTTGTATAAAGGTAGTAAATCTAGATGGAAATTGTGGCAGAACTTAAATTAACAGTGACACTATCGCGATTTATCGAAAAAGACTCTAAAATAGTTGGTTGTGTAGCGTGCGGTAGATCTCGGCAAAAATTGAGTGAAATAATGGAACAACTTTTCGCTAGTAAGTGACTATATAATATACATACGTGTAGTAAACCGATCATTTATGAAATTCACTTAAATTAACTAAATTCTATATTTTTCTTGCATTTTAGCTTTTATTTATTACTTGTCAAAGATTAGATGTCAAAGAATTTAGATACGTTAATTTGTCTTACCTGCTTCAGTAGCGTATCGGATGTTTGTGGTAATAAATACTTATTATAACTTATCTATTTTTATTAGAATTATATATTTTTATAACAATTTTAATAACTACCAACATTTATTCACAACGTAAAATAAAACAACAAATTATTGAGTCTACCCCACGTCTACCCTACATCATAGTTCTACATTTTTTAAATAAAATTAGAACGACACTGATAAACCGGAATTTAAGTCGGCCATATTTGAGGCCCATCGCGGTGTACCTAAGATTTTTGATATGCTCCTTCCTTAAGCCGGAGTCTCATGCATCCGAAATCCGATGACACGACGATCCGACGGTGCTCCTATTGGTCGAAATATTTTGACAACAATTTTTATCCGATAATTTTAACTAATCATCCGACGTCGTATAAAGTTAAATTTTGTTTAACTTTTGTACGATATCGATGTCGTTTTAACCTCACTTTTTTTGAAAACATTTGTTTTTAAAAACAAGTTTAGTGGGAAGTGGGCAATTTCGGGATATTTGGCGAGGAAGTTATTTTTATAAGTGTTTCTCCAATAAAACATGACATGAATCTCTATTCAGCGCAGCAGAAAAATGTTAAAACTGTCAAATTTCGGAACGAACTTTCGGATGTATGTGACAGGCTTTTTTTATTTCACACGATAACTTCAAATTTCGGATGTCGTACCATCGGATTTCGGATGCATGAGACTCCGGCTTTAGTCTTCTTATTCAAAGCGCTTGGCAGTTCGACCAGTTTGAAGTTTGAATATACCGCGTTTGGTAATTGTGAATTAATTGGAGAAGGTGCCAGAGTTAGAGTAATAGTAGTTGCATAAATTGTGTTTTATAATTAGTATAAATTGTGTGTACATAGTGAGAAAGAAATAAATTCGTTAAGTATTTTATCGTGAGTTTAAATTAGTGGATCCACGGAATCCGTAACCATATAAAATGTTAATAACAATGCAACCTTGTGTTTAGTATGCAGTGCTCAAGCACTGTCGGAAAAGGTCATCTTACTACTCTGAATATTTAATTAAGTCAACTGATCAAATTCACTTTATAACAAACAAACGCCTAAGTAAATTAAAAATTAAAATATATTTCATTTATCAGTTATATAGCATTCGCTTTCGGCTTACATGTGATGTCTTGGATCTCTTCTATGGCTTCCTCATACATGATCTTACCTGAAAATACATAAAATTATTACTAGGGTTGGAACCTTTGGTGTTGTTAACAGGAAAATAAAACACTAATTTACCACAATACACCAAAACGCTTTATTTTTGCGCTGGTCGCGCGTTTTGCTATCCAGGTTAGCATCATAAGCAGATGATTAAAACAAAACTAATATCTACAAATTGAGCGTTTATATAGGCGCTCAGTTAGCACCGACTAAACTGTATTCAAATTCAAAATGCACCAGTATAAACAAATGCACAGTGCGTGATCAGCACGTGTCAGGCGAGAGCCAGCGGCGAAATCTACCCTGATTGGCCGGCCAGCCATACAGCCGTTGAAGTAGGCGGTTGAGATTTTTTACAGGGTCGGCTTGCATAACGCGTTAAGGAATACTGTTTGATAAAATAAAAATGCTTTTTAAATTTATTCCCAACCAAGCGAGTAAAATCAGAACGGTCAACTATTTTAATAATAATTGTTGGTCACTTCGTACAAGTTACAAGTTACAAATAGAGAAAATAATATTTATGTTTGCATAAAATATTTTTACAATTAGTACACACGTACCTACTACAAAGAGTCAAAAGTTATATATTTTATATAAAATTATTATTTTGTAAATGTTAATAAAATTATAAATTTTGTAAATCTAATGTTAATAAATGTTATGTTTAAAAATAGAAGTTTTTATTTGACTAGTTTTTTAAAAAAAATGTCGTTATACTTTAAAACGGATAATACAGCAGGCTACGAAAGCAAGTTAAAACTAAGTGCTTTTTTTGTCAACTAAAATGTATTAAATTATGTTATAATGCAATTGGTCTTTTAAATTATGTAAAAACGTTTACATCATTGGATTTTTTGCAAATAGTATTATAGAAACAGATACCTATTTATACCGATATTCAGATATTGCTGTCAATAATGGAAATAAAAAAAATCAGTAGTACCAAATAAAAAGATAATTATTTTAAAGGACAAATTAAGCCCTTTTAAAAAACACCAAATTTGTTAAAATCGGTCGTGCCAAAGAGTAATGTAATGTTTTAATATTGCCGCCCCCTTCCCATCACATTATTTCTCTAATTATATGTAGTTTGATAATAATTAAAGGTAATTATTGAGAAAACTGGAAATCGTCCGATTTTCACCAAAAATACACCCTATTTTGAGGTCGTAGATTACGAATCTGAACATTTTTGCTGGCGGTCTCTTACCGTTTTTCAGAAAAACGGAAAATAGTTTCAACATAAAATTTTACTTAATTTCTCATATTTTTAAGGTTTTCTAGCACATATTTTGTTAGGTATTCAATAAACAATGAGGTTTTTGCTATTTTCTGTTACCTTTTTAACCAATTCTATGCATAATAGAGGAAAATTTGCTAAAATAAATTCGTAAACAATCTGAAAATGTTGGGTTATGTGTTTCTGGCATTTAAAGCAATGTTGCCAATGCTGAACGTAAATTTAGCGTGTTTTTTTCATTCTCAGATTACGAAAGGCGGTCGCCTGAGGAACGGCTCCTTCCCATAACTGCTATTTTGCCAACGAGATCTGATTATTTATAACCACGAAGTGGCACGAAAGAGTTTTGTTTGCATTGGTTACAACTTATACTAATGGAGAAACTATTAATACACTATGTGGAGGGTGATAATCTTTTTTTGTTATATTATATAAAAATGTTATTATATAAAAATTATAAATAGTCTTTATATAACTTCTTTGCGAAGGGGTTTAATCTTTTTTTAATATAATATAACATTAAAATATCAACCCCCTAAGCATAGAAGTTGAAAGCAATGTAATTAAAACTCTTCCGCGTAACTTTGTGGATATAGGTATATTTAACTATTGTCAGATCTCATAATAGGTAATTTATTTAAAATCCCTAATCACCCGAAAAAATTCAAATATTTGTCTCTCTCATTACATAGGAGAGAGAAAGAAGAATATATGAAATGTCAAACTTCCATCTGGTCTGAATTTTCTTTGTTATTTTGTTAAGAAAAGTGTTTTTCAGTAAAATTTTGGACATTTTTCAATCCTCAATCAAGTGTGGCTTTTAGATAAACTATGATATAATAAAAATATAGTGAAATTATTACTTTATAGGGCTGAAATAAAGAATTATGTTGTTACTATGTTGAAATTATTTTCCGTTTTTCTGAAAAACGGTAAGAGACCGCTGGTTGGTTAGGTTTGGTCAGATTCGTAATCTATGACCTCAAAATAGGGTGTATACCAATTTTGGTGAAAATAGGACGATTTCCAGTTTTCCCAATAATTACCCATTTATATAATATAAATTTCCATCATAAAATATAAACAATAGTAAAAAAAAATCATAAAAATATACATAACAATTTTATGATTTGAAATATCTGACCTTAGTGCGGTCCTGGTTATATTACTACAGCGTTCCTGTTCACGTGCTTGCCTCATGTCTCTGTTTACGTTTGGTGCATCTTGGGGTTGAATTTACTATAGGCGCGACCAAACAGGCAAGCGAGGTAAAACCAACCGAGCGTAACAATTAATTACCGAAACTAGAGCAAGAGGAACAGAGAACTAGATTGGACCATTGTCTCTGTTCTATACTATCTTTACATTTATTAATTTTGACGCTCTCATATGCATCTAATTGCCTGTGTAATTTGGGACTTGTTTAATTAAATTTAAATTATTAATATCTGTATATGTTCAATGTTCTTTATCAACAAGAAGTTGAGCAACGCAAGATTTATTCGGTCTACCATATCTTATCCGAGTCATATGTTCTTTAAATCTAGTTAATATTGATCTTCTAGTTTTACGATTACAATGTTTACATGAAATTTTATAAATACCCGATCTTTCCAGTGTAGGTGTGTTATCTTTGGGATTACCTAATAATTGTTATAATTTATTATTGGCACTATATACAAGTTTATAATTGACATTGTTAAAAAAACGGGATAACTTTCTATCAAACGGTATTGAAAAATATTTTGACGTATCTTTCTCCAAATTGAAAAGTCGAATTTGCAGAAATCGCAAACTTATGTTTGTGCCTTTTGCCTTTTCAAATTATTTTATCAATAAATGAAGGAGAATATCCATAACACCCAAAATAGAAAGAAATTACATTGGGAATGATAAATGATGGGGAGATATAGTTATTATTAATTTTGATTACCGTCATATTTTTGCTGATATTAAAGTATTACATTTTCCGATAACTACTTCACCGATCACCCTTTCCATAGCATTGAACTAAATAAATTTTGTGCTTCTTTAACAGTTTAAAATAGCTAAAAATATGACGTTAAATAAAATCCATATAAAATCCTATCAATAACAATCTATCAAAGAATGAAAACGAAATTATATTAACGGAGACTCCAAAGAGAACGACAGTTTATATTGAAATGAAATTTTGTGAGCATATGTAGGTTAATACAGAGTACTTTTTAAAAGTATAGAAAGTTCTACAGGGTGTCCCCCAAAAAAGTTACATATCAAAGTTTTTTTTGTACCCTATATATTAATTGATTTTCGGATTCTGGAAGAAAAATAAATGTGAGTTTTATAAGAGAAGTATATTATGACTAAAATTTAAGGTTTTTGACTAAAATTTACGGTTTCTAGACAATTTATCATTGTCTAGAAATAAAAAACAATTTTTAAATTACAATAAAAGCTACCTAAATTGGAATTTACCCGGTATGGCTGTGGTATGGCCTAATATGTATTTAGTTAATTATTGTACTTTATATCAATTATTACTATTGTACTTTAAATCAAATTAAAACTTGATCCAAAAATTTATACCTGGTGACGCAAAATTAATATTGAACATTGGTCACCTTTACAAGCATGTTACTCTCTTATTTTAAATGGAACACCGGAACACCCAGTATAGATATTCAATGGAGAATTCATGTCTCTTCAAAATACTATTAAGATTGCCTACCCCACAAACAAAGATTTTTCTAGATATTTTCATTTACATGATTTGATCTCGAGTAGATCTTTATTATTTGATAAAATCTAGGTGGCTGTAATATGTCTGACGTTACTTCAACATAGCTGCCTAATTACTCCAACTTTAACAACTAGTTGGTTCAACAACTGAAAAAAATTCTCAGAAATTTGCCGAAAATGCAAACTTATTCTACATATATAGAATACTTAAATGCTCCTGATTTTATCTAGTCTGGGTTTTTTTACGCGGATATGTAAAAGACAGTGTTTACAAAACTCGACCAACTATAGTGTCGACAACATGAGAGAAATTCTTGTAGCTGCTTTTCGAGGTAGAACTTCACATACTTATGCCTTTTAAAATGAAAAGATCCTTTTGAAAAGACAATCATTTTATGCAGTTAACAGGACAGATTTCATCTAGTTAATTTTTGTCGCATAATTATAGGTTTATATCTAATTTTAATTTTGTAATAATTAAAATATGTTTTAAACGTGTATCTTTTTATTGCCGTTGAGTATTTCACTCTACAATCTTTAATTTTTGTTAAATTAACAAACGGTATATCACAGCCACCCTAAATTTTTTCAAATAATAAAGATCTACTGATCAGTAATAAAAATTAAAATATCTAGGAAAATTATTATTATTATTATTATTATATAAATTCCCCATTGAAAGTCGGAATAATATACTGGGTGTTCCATTTAAAATAAAGGAGCAACTTGCTTTTAAAAGTGACTAATGTTCCATATTAATTTTGTCTCACCCTGTATATCTTTTCGGGTCAAATTTCAATTTGGTTTAACATACAATGGTTACTGTAATTAAATATCAGGCTATACAAGGTCAACTAAAATTTAGGTAGCTGTTGTCGAATTTAAAATTTACTTTTCATTTTACAAAATGTGAAATATGTCAAAATCCTTATGGTGCGTTTAGACTTGAGCACGCACGAGCTGAGAGTGCGCGCACAGCATTCATTCGCGCTCTCGGCTCCGTTCAAATTAAAACTTATTTTTCGACGAATGAAGTGATCCATTTGTGCGCGCACAGCAGAGTTGTGTTGGCGAAAATAATGGACGACCAAGAAATAGTCGATGCTGCAGTCATTGTTATGCACAGCTTAATTATTAAAAAGGAGAAAAATCGAAAACATGATGGCAAACCCAAATTTTTAGAAATCGATATAATTTACTGCAACAACTTAGTGTCTGAGGAGGGCTATGATCAGTTCAAAAACTTTACAAGATTGACCAGACCCGACTTTGAATATTTACAAAATTTAATAACACCAAAAATTACGAACAAAAGATACAATTTTTAGAATAGCAATTTCATTAATATTGACAAACTCAATATTAATTTTATTTACAAGATCTTACCATGCGTTTTTTTTTTATTTTTTAATAATACAAAGAATGTTTAACATTCCATAATATAGGCAACTTTTCATATTCTTCAATTAATAATAACGAAGATTAATTGATCCACTCCATAATTTTAATAAGGAAAACGAAAAAAAAATCACACACGCACGCACGAACGCAGACAAAACAAATTGCCGGTGCAAACTGAGAGTTCACGCACACATAAAATCCCTTTGAGCACGGACCAAAAACCGACACCAGACGGCTCAGGTTCGCGGCTGCTCGCGCACAGACAGATTCAGAGTGAGCGTGCGCGCACAGCCTACACTTGACATTCGCGGAGGATCAGTGCGTGCGTGCTCAAGTCTAAACGCACCATTAGATTTTAGGTATATGCTACTTTAATAATAAAACTCACCTTTATTTTTTTCCTAGAATCCGAAAATCAATTAATATATATAGGGTGTTTAGAAAAAAATTAGTTATTAGAAAAAACACAACTTTGATGTGTAACTTTTTTTTGGGACACCCTCTATAATTTTTATAAAATGCTTTCAGTTAACCTACATTCGCTGCCAAAATTTCAATTCGATATAAACTACCGTTCTGCTTGGAGCTTCCGCGGCGTATGAGAGGCGCCACCCTGTAGAAACACGTTTTAATTTTTAAGCTTTCATTCAGAACCTCGTAATTAGTGGTTTCAATTAGCGTAGAAGTTTGTTCCTTTAATTTCAATATAAGCATTCAGAACGTCAAAATTAGTGGTAGTCTTTTTCAATTAGTAGAAAAAGTTAACAAACTTGACTTTTCCACTAATTATATTTTAAAATTGTCCATTGTTAAAAGTAGAATGTAAGTAGTGAACTAGTAACAATAACTTTTGGCAAAAACCTCAAATAAATCATATTTAAACAGAATAAAAGCATTTATTGATCAACAAACAAAAAATATATGAACAAACAATTACTTCGACAGCGTTCTTCTAAGAATTGCACCCTATAGGCGGTGTTTGAACCCCGACAGAAACAAAAATTTTAGCCGGTGTCTTTCCTTCCAACAAATAAGGTCTTACCATTAAATTGGTCTGGTTTTCCCCGTCCTTGTAGCTCTTGAGCGCCTTGCCCGTTCTCATTCTGGACAACAGGTCGATACAGCATTCCGATATCCCGTCATCATCCAGCAGCGACAACGCCCTCAAGCTATCCGGAGAGAACTTCGAGTTGAGAAGAAACGTAATTTTATGTTTTCTGGGCAAATCCAGCACTGCAACGTTATCTTTTTCGATTTCATGAAACGGGCAGTACTCTAACATTTTGTAAAATTCTTCGTTATCTCTATCAGGTTCCAATGTCAGTAATGTGCTGAAAGATTTATCTTCTGAAACATTTGCATGTTTATCACTCGGTTCCAAAATAAACGGATATACGTGGATAACTGTCTGAACCTCCTTTTCTTCTGTCTCTTTAAGACTCTTCCTGGACATTATCTATTGTTCTCGATAAGCATTTTATAGATGATTTTTTATTACTGTTTAATTTAGACCATTTTAATTACATTGTCAGCATCTTTCAATGTCATCAACTGTCAAGTAAAAACACCACTCATGTCTCAAGAAAAGATCAATCATCTGGAGATATATATTACTGATTTTAGAAAAAGTTGCAAGCAGTTGCATTATTTTTCGGTAATCCTGCAGTTTAGGCCGACGAAAAATTGCGATCCAGATATTGACCGCTGTGTTGCCAAACTTAAGAATATAGGTTTGGAAATAGGGAAATCTGAAAAATATTCACTCTGATGTTGATAAAGATTGTATCAAGATTTACTCTGAAAATATTTTATTGCATAGGACATTGTTCAACAATGCACTTTAAAAAGTTTGGAAATTCTGGCTCTTCTGAGATTTTGTTTCTCCACATAAATTCCTATAAATAAGAGCCAAACAGATTGGGAAAGGTGCCAAATTGCCTTTTTAATTTTCTTTTAGCTCTCATCCATAAATTTTCAACATTTTGTGTGTGAATTCGAGGATCATTGGAATCAACAAAATTTTCTTGGTGAATAACGACAACGTGTTCATAACACCTCCACCGAGGACATTTATGTTTCGATAGGCTCTCCACCTATCAGAAACGATAGTAGTACCAGGAAGTATATATCTAAAATTGTTAATACCTATTTTTAAGAACAAACAAAATGTTAGCTATGTTGTAAGCTATGTATTTACCAGTCTAAATGATACTAGGCATGCAATTTATACCCGGTATTTCTCCTAGATGGTTCCCTCCCTTTGAAATGAACAAGTTATAGCCATTTTCGGTTTAACAGGAAGAAACAAAAATAACAACTGTATGCCAATCAATGCATATTTATGTAACAAACCAACCAACCAACCAACCAGTTAAAATTCATTTGTTTATCTTGCCACAGCTTAAGTAAAAACCAGCTCGGACAGTGTAGCGTGCCGCTTTGATCTTTTTACGCTCGGATTTGCGATTCGAAAGAGGGGGAACACTAGAGCGGCGAGCCAAAACCAATAGCCGCGTAAGCGCCAGTCAGCCCAGAGATGTATTGAAAAAAATTTTACACGTGACGTAAAAAATTATTCGACTGGTGCTAGAACATAATTTAGATACACGTTTTTTAAATTGTTGACTTTAAATAAATATGCATTCTCAAAGAAAAACATTTAAAAAACAAATTAATTAATTTATTTCTAGAAATAACAGCAAAATGAAATAGGTACATTGATTACTTATAGTTATTTACGAATGTTTCTAAATTAGGAGCTTTCGGTTTTTGTTTGCTACATTTAAGTTCTTATTAATATTCTTTAAGGTATAATAAATTCTAACTTTTGCATATAATTTTAACAAAAAATACATTATAGGAAAATTTTGATTGATGGTTGAATTTAATTGTCTGAAATAATTTAACAAATTTACATAATATTGTTACGTTTTTCGTCGGTTCCGTATGGATAGAAAGTCACAATTTATTTAAACACTATTTATTTAACACTAACTAACAAAAACAATAACGATAAAAGACTTATAGAACTATTTACAAACGATTTATAACTAAGAATTTATTTTGAATTTTACCGCGTCAACTGCACTTGTATAACTGCCTTCTGTAGGCCACAGCCGCCGGCTTTTATACCGACAGGTAAAGAACACTAGAATAGTCCATAGATCGTTAGGTGCGTAGAGAAGGTTTTCGAATGTTCTCGTATGTACTAGTCCATTCCAGTGGGACTCGATTCTTCTCGAACGAATGAATCATTACCGTGTCTATTCTTTAATGCGATGTTAAGGTCATCTGAGGGCGGGACATATAGTTAGGTTAGGTCGAGTTCACACGGGTCCGCAACACTGCCCCCTTCTTAGGCATATGCTCGTCCCGAGATTATACGGTGAATGAAGGTATTTGCAAAGCTGGCCCCTGGTACATTGCGAAGTCTGGTAGAAATAGCAGTCTACAGTTTTCTCTCCCGATCTCAGCTTTGGGTTGTAGCAGCAAACGAGGATCTCGATTCCCGTAAATCTGAACAAGACTTCAATCATGTTCCGGATTGTACGCCAACTCAAACCATCGAGTCCACACGCCAGCTTCGGAATGGCTAATCGTGCAATGTTGTTGTTTAGCAGGGCTTCTCTCAGTTCAATCAGGGTCTTCCATAGATTGAGATAAGTCGGCTTACTCGGGGACCATTCCTTGGTGACCAGGTAGAAGATGTGCCTTGCTTGACCATGTGCATTGTCGGTTAGCCTCAAGACGCTTCCAACCTCTGGATCCTGTCGGCGTAGTTCTCCGACACGCCCAAACTTCTCATTGAACGTCGCAGCGATTCCTCTGGACATCCGCAAATCTCGAGCCACACAATGAGCGAGCGAATAATCAGGAGGCACGGAAAAGAGGTCTCGTTGATCTTCTTTGGTTACACCATAGCGAGCCTTCTCACTGCTGTTGTATCGGGCCATGAAATCGTCAAAGGACATCTCCGAATCAGGGGGATCAAAGCTGCAGGTTCTCACGGTCCCAGCACGATCTTCTATTTCGCCTTGGTAGGGGCTCAAACGGTTGAAATGGACTACCCTCGGTTTTCCTTTTGGCAATTTTCTGATACGGTATACGACGTCATTAATTCTATCCATGACTTCGTATGGCCCTTCCCACGAGGATTGTAGCTTCGGAGATAACCCACGACGTCTCTGCGGGTTATATAGCCACACCAACTTCCCTGGTTGGTATCCTCCATGCTCAGCTTGAATGTCGTAGTGTTCCTTCATTCGGTCACTAGCACTTTGAATATTTAGGCGGACTCTCTGATGAATGTCGTCCATCCTTTGACGTAGTGTGTGGACATAATCTTCTCCGGCGACTTCTTCTCCCGGTCGGCAACCAAATTTCAGATCACAGGGTAGGCGCACTTCCCGTCCCATAACGATGCTGGCTGGAGTTTGCCCTGTAGATTCTTGGACGGATGAACGGTAGGCCAACAGGAACAGGTGAAGAAATTTGTCCCAGTCTCTTTGGTGGTCAGAGACTACTTTGGCCAGATAACGGTTGATAGTTCTGTTCATGCGTTCAACCATCCCATCGGATTGTGGATGTAGAGCAGTCGTCCTGGTCTTGCGGATGTTCAGGACTTCACAGACGCCTTGGAACAGATTGGACTCAAAGTTTCTTCCCTGATCTGAATGAAGCTCCATGGGAACACCAAACCTGCAGATCCATTCTTTAACAAGGGCATCAGCAATCGTGGACGCTTCTTGATTTGGCAACGCGTAGGCCTCGACCCATTTGCTGAAGTAATCCATTACTACCACAATGTATTTGTTGCCATCGTTCGTCTCCGGGAAAGGACCAGCCACGTCGATCGCTATTCGTTCGAAGGGACTACCAACATTGTACTGGCGCATAGGGGCTTTACCACGCTTTTGTGGCCCATTAATGGCTGCGCAAATGTCACATTTCTTACACCAGGCCCTCACATCTTCTTTGCAGTTCACCCAGTAGAACCGTTCACGCAGCTTGCCAAGTGTCTTGGTAACACCAAGATGTCCACCGCTGGTTCCATTGTGAACTTCCTGCAAGACCTCCGGGACCCTCTTCTTTGGAATGACGATCTGCCTTCTCTCTTCTTGCCCCTCTGGCCTCTCAATCACACGGCGGAGTAACCCATCATCTATTACCAAAGGAATTCCACTGGGCCCAGTACGACTTCACGTTCGGCGAATATCTGCAAACTTCCTCCCACGTTGGTCTTTGGTCCGCGTTTTTCCAGTTAATCACTAAGCCTAATTCTGGGTCACTGATTTGGTCGTTTGCAAGATCTTCGGGTTGCCAAGAATCGTTAACCACAGTTGTTCTTAGGAGTTTCGCTTCTTTCTCTTCTGCTTGGGAACAATGCTTACAGTCCTTAGCACAAGGTCTTCTGGAAAGTGCGTCGGCATTTCGATGGATTGCCCCAGCTCGATGTTCTGTGTCGAAGTCAAATTCTTGTAATCGTTCAATCCATCTAGCTACCTGCCCTTCAGGATTCTTAAACTGCAACAGCCATTTCAAAGCAGCATGGTCTGTTCTTAACAAGAACTTTCTTCCATAGAGATACTTGTAGAAGTGTTCCACTGCTTTAACTACCGCTAGTAATTCTCGTCTGGTTACACAGTAGTTCCTTTCCGGTTTCGACAAGGTCTTACTAAAATAACCAATTACTTTTTCTTGACCATCCTGGATCTGAGACAGAACAGCGCCTAACGCAACATTGCTAGCGTCGGTATCCAATATAAAGTTTCCGTTGCCAAGAGGGTAGCTAAGTATGGGCGCACTAGTCAGGGCCTTCTTCAATTTTCGGAATGCCTCGTCAGAATCTGAGTCCCAAGAGAAACGCCTCTCGCCTTCGGTAAGTCTGGTCAATGGTTTTGCGATGGTGGCGAAACCCTGTACATAGCGGCGATAGTATGTGCATAGTCCCAAAAAGCTTCGTAGTTCATGTTTATCTTTAGGTATCGGCCACTCTTCCACTGTCTTGGTCTTCTGTGGATCTACCGCAACTCCTTGGGAGGAGACTACATGGCCCAAGTAGTGTACCTTTTCTTGACACAGATGACATTTCTTTGGGCTAAGTTTCAAACCAGAGCTCCCTAGTCGCTTGAAAACTTCTTCCAAATTCTTCAGATGATCGTCAAAGGATTTCCCAACCACTATGATGTCATCCAGGTACACTAAACAGGTAGTCCAGGATAGTCCCTTTAACACAGACTCCATTAGTCTCTCAAAGGTAGCTGGCGCGTTGCACAATCCAAAAGGCATGACGGTAAATTGCCACAGTCCGGAGCCCACCGAGAACGCTGTCTTCTCTCTGTCTTTCGGCGCCATGTCGACTTGCCAATATCCACTCTTCAGATCTAACGTAGAGAATATCGTTGACCCCGCCAGCGTGTCTAGAGTATCGTCTATCCTCGGCAGGGGATAACTATCCTTCTTGGTAACATTATTGAGCTGCCGATAATCAACACAGAACCTGGTGGTACCGTCTTTCTTCTTTACTAGTACTACCGGCGATGTCCACGGGCTGTTA